TGTTAATCTATTAGGTGACAATGAATCAGTGGCTAAGTTGGTTAATAATTCCTGATTCATTGTTCTATTTGTAATGTTTATCTCTTTGAACTTTTCGCTATTCTAATAACAGCTTTTCATATTCGAATTTGAAACTGCAAATCTTAAAGTCAGAAAATACGATGCTAAGCTTTATGACACAGTCCAATCTATTCCCACTCATTTTGGGCCAAATTGCCCATTATGATAAATCGAGGCCCAGTGCTCAATTTATTATTATATTGTAATCGAGATCCACTTTCAGAAACTCAAAAAAAAAAAAAAAAAAAAAAAAAACAAATGACAGGAAAGACTCCATGTGATCTAACTTTCCCACTAAAATAATTTGAACATGGTCATCTTATAAAATTAAATAAATGTTACTATTTATACATTGTATTCTAACAAATCCATCGTGAAGATTTCTTTTATTTTCCATTTTTTTTTTTTGAACCAATCGGTGAAGAAAAGGTTGATATGTAACCATTTTTACACTTAAAATTCATTTTTAGTTTTCGATCCTTAAAATTACCGAGAAATACATTTGAAATGCACCTGCTTCGACTTATCCATTTTTTTTTTTTAAGAAAAAGATTTAATTTTTTTATCCATCAACTTATTTACACACAAAAATAAAATTAATATGAAATGTATGACTGATAAAGACAATACAATTATCAACTTTAATTAATGGGAAAGACGGGATGGCGTTGCATTATTGAGAAGAAAAGAAAAAATCAAAGAGAGTGTTTGCCTATAATACGCTGCCAACGCATTTTTGTCGCTGATCTATTTATCTATTTCGCAAATATAAATATATAGATTGTGCTAAAGATTCCTTGAAGGGAGAAAAACTGAGTGCTTTCAACTGCTAGCTAGACCACTTCTTCAGACAAACATCTTGCTCTTCAGGTTTGCACACTCTCCTGAAAAATTTGCCATTTTCTTTTTTCAGTACTGAAACATTATATTCATAACCTTCAATTAACTTTGATTTCCAATTCTTATGCATGTCGTTGTATATCATTCTTTTTTTTTAAAAAGAATTAGCTAACATTCTTTTTTAAAAAAAAAAATTGAAATATATTAGGTGTTCTTCGGCAGATGGGACAGAATGGTGCAGGAAGTAATAATTCAAATGATGTCAAAGATGAAAGCAGAAGGCAATTAGTGATTGATATACCAGACAACTTAGAGGATTTACTATCGCAGCCAGCTTTATGGCCGGAAATTTGTATCTACAGAGTTCCAAGAAAACTTCGAGCTATAAGTCCGTCAGCCTACACTCCTCAAATGATTTCCATAGGCCCTTTTCACCACAATGAAAAATCGTTGAAACCTATGGAGAAGCACAAACTGAGATATTTGGCAGAATTCTGCAGAAGGACTGGTAAGAATTGGGCTGATCTTGCTGAGAAAATTATAGAATGGGAAGAAAAAATCCGTCACTGTTATGACCAAACATTTGAGTCGTATGAAAGCAACATGTTTGTAAAAATGATTCTATTGGATTCTGTGTTCATTATCGAATTTTTCTTGAGAAGAGGAGAGAATTTTATTTCGACAGAAAAATATAAAGCTGATTATATGTTAGGCAAACCATCGCGCGAACATGGCATATTAGAAGATTTGATATTGCTTGAAAATCAGCTCCCTTATTTTGTGCTTGAGGATTTATATGAATTTGCTACTGGAAATTCTGGTTTTCTTTCTCTCGTGTCCTCCAACTTATTGGATTACCTGCTTCCTCCAAGAATTGATGATGACGATCATAAAAAGAATAGATCTTGCGATTGCTTCTCCATTTTTTATGGGTTTTGGATTTCGAATAGGTTCTGCTGTCAAAAAGAGCACAAAGACGATGAGAGTACAAGCGTAGAAGGAAAAGAAATTGAGGAGAAACCTAAGCACTTGACTGATTTGGTTAGAAGATCAAGATCCTACAAACATCCAGTGTCAAAGAATGATGCTTGTATTGAAATTGAAAGTCTTTATAGTGCTACAAAGTTACACGAGGCAGGAGTCAAGTTTAAGGTGGATAAAAAGGCGTGGCCTCTTGATATAAAATTTGAAAGGGGAGAATTGAAAATGCCAAGATTTGAAGTTCACGATGGCACAGAACGATTGATAAGAAATCTGATGGCTTTTGAGCAGTGTCACTATCCAAACGATCCTTACATATGTGAGTATATATTGATATTAGATTTTCTAGTAGATACTGAGAGAGATGTGGAATTGCTTATTCAAAATGGTATTATCACTAATTTGCTTGGGGAGTGCAAATCAGTGGCTAGGATGGTGAATAAGCTTTGTCTTGAAATTACAACATCTGGGTCTTGTTTGGGTCTTGTTTCTATGGAGTAAGTGTGGATCTTAATAAACATTATGAGAATCCTTGGTTTAAGACTGTGGCTATCATGAGAAGTGTATATTTTAGCAATCTCTGGAGAGGGACTGGAACTATTGCAGCACTTATACTTTTATTTCTCACTTTTATACAATCTGTATACTCTCTCAGACGTATATTTTAAGTTCAGTGTGCTTATGTTGTAGTAGTGATGTTCTTATAATATGTTGTTATGGTGATGTTATTATATTTTAATGTTCTTATTATAGTATATGTTACTTTAATAAGACTCTGCTCGGTTTGTGATTTGTATTTGTTTTCCAACTTTTGACATTCTATTAAGAGTTTGCTTTATCTGTATTGCAAAGTATGCAAAGTCTTCGGGCCTCCTTATCTCCCTCCCTGTCTTTTATTTCTTTGTTTAGCTATCAGAAGGGCAGTGTCTTACTTGTTTTAGCTGTTAAGTTACCTTATCGGCCGCATTCGCCAAGTTTAAAAGCCATAAACTTTTAAATTCATAGTTCAATTTTCATAATGACCATTGCGCTCAATGATTCTAAACATTTATTTCAGTCCACAAGCGAATTAATTTTTAATCTACTATTAGTTTACAAGCCAAATTGATAAAAGAAAAAAGGGTTAAACCTACTCGTCATTAAACTCCCTAATCAACTGAAAAATTTTCTGGGAAGGCACCACCCGAGACTCAAGAACTTTCTCTTAATCTCTCTTTCCAAGCACTGACCCATCAACATCATAAAATTAATCCTATTAATAATTAACCAAATAATTCTAAAGGGAGAGTGGAGTCGAAATCCACGCTATCTATTGAAAGATCCCAATCTCCGATTGGCGAATTGGTAACTGAAGTTGGAGCGGAATTAGATTCTGGCGTTCTTGCATTGTTGTCTATTCCAAAGCCGGACGACGTCGCCGGAGATATAAATGCAGGTGAAAAGTTAACAAAGAAATCATTCTCCATTATTGACTCCTTGAAAATATCATTTTCTTCATTGAGAGAAAAGGGTAGAAATATTTCCAAGTCTTCGCTTTTACTGAGTCCTTCTCTGTAATTGAAAGATATCTCTTTTAATAGCTTGGGCTTCACTTCTTTGTGTTGTTGCGTGTTGTTGCTGTCGTTCTACTGAGCAATTATCCTCACCTTGTTGCGACTTGTCGTTTATTGAAGCTGCTAAACGAGCAGCTTGAAAACATGTGTGCCTTCCTCTATAGGTCACTTCAAATATTGTAGGGTCTTGATCTGATCTCTGAACCTCGTGAGGGCATCTATAGTATCTCTGCAATAAAGTTTGCTATCAAAATTTTACCTAGGAAAATTTACTATAGTGCACTGAGAGATCAAGACATGAAATATAATCAATTACTAGTCAACGACAACATGTACCTACAAATTTGTCCGTTTCAGCGACATTTGATTTTTATCCCTAAATTGATTGGAAAAATATGCACCCCACTATATATAATATACGTAACACATTTTTGTCGTTTTAAATATTTTTTAAATAGATATAAAGATAATTAGACCTTTAAAATTTTAATATTTTTTCAAACACTTTTATATGTTACTTTGTAATTTTTTAATCTAATCTCATTTAAATCTTCTTTAAACTTGATAAAGTACATTCTATTACCAATATTATTGTTTACAACTTTACATATTGATACTCATGTAGAGTTGAAAACTTTAAGTAATTTATTTTTAATTTTGTGCAAAGATATGGTCCAAAATATTACATGTTATTGACAAAATTTTAGCTTAACTTCATCAATTACTAATCTAAGTATGTGAGACCAAGACATGAAATATAATTAGTTACTAGTCAATAACAACGTGGACCTACAAATTTATTACTTCCTCTCTTCCAATTTACGAGCGACATTCAATTTTTTCATAAAAATTAAGAAAATAATTGAAATATAATGATTTTTTAAAAATATAGAGTAGAATGTGTCAATTGTCCTTCTTAAAATTAAAAGCTCCTCATCTAATTTTGCTACAAAATACTTAATAAATATGGATAAAATTTTAAAAAATAATAATTAATATAGTCTCAGAATTCTGAATAAATACTTAAAGTGGAATAAGATAAAATGCATAATTGTTACTATTAAAGTGTAACGAAGGAGGGAGTACCATATTAGGACAGAACAGATTGCATTATCAAGGAGAAAAGAACAATGAAAGAGAGCATTCGACTTAAATTGGTTGGAAAAATATGCACCCCACTATATATAATATACCTAACATATTTTTGTTTGAAAGGATAAAATCTGCCTTTCAATCTCCAAAACACTTCTTGCACTTCAGTTTTGCGCACTCCTCCCTTTCACATAGAAATATGTATTTTCACATTTAAATTGAGATAGTATTGAGTTAAAATTTTGTACCAGTGAGTTTTTAAAAAATTACCCAGAAATACACTTTTGAAACTACCTTATTTTTTTAAGAAATAACTTTAATTTTGTGATCCATCAACTGATTTACAAACAAAAGAAATTAATATAAAAGCTACGACTGATAAAGGCAATACAATTATCAAATTTAATTAATTAATTGGTAGGACCAGAGCGTTGCATTGTTGATGAGAAAAGAAAAATCAAAGAGAGCATTCGTCTATAAAAAGGTTAATATTGTTTGGATACACCCACGCCCAACACATTTTTGTCGCCTTTGAAGGAAAAAAACCTGAGTGCTTTCAACTGCTAGCCAGACCACTACTTCGGGCAAAGATCTTGCACGTAAGGTTTGCACACTCTCTCCTGAAAAATTTTGCCTTTTTTTTTTTCATTACTGAAATGTAATATTGATAACCTTGAATTAACTTTGATTTCCAATTCTTATACATGTCCTTGTATATCAGTTTTGATCTCTCCCTGTCAAAAGTTCTTTTTGGTTGCTAAAAAGATGTGTTGTGTGCAACTGTAGTTAATTAATTAACAAATAGTTTTTTAAAAAAGAATATATATGTGAAGTATATTTCGTGTTCTTGGGCAGATGGGACAGAATGGTGAAGGAAGTAATTCAAATGATGTCGAAGCTGAACGCAGAAAGCAATTAGTCATTGACATACCAGACAACTTAGAGCCTTTACTATCGCAGCCAGCTTTATGGCCAGAAATTTGTATCTACAGAGTTCCAAGAAAACTTCGAGCTATAAATCCGTCAGCCTACACTCCTCAAATGATTTCCATAGGCCCTTTTCATAGGCCCTTTTCAAATACAAATCAATAAATCATTGAAACCTAATGGAGAAGCAAAAAACGAGATTTTGGCAGAATATATTTGGCAGAATTCTGCAGAAGGACTGGCAAGACTTGGGTTGAGCTTGAAAACAAAATTAGAGAATACGAATTAAAAATCCGTCACTGTTATGATCAAACATTTGAGCAGTATGAACAGAACATGTTTGTAAGAATGATTCTATTGGATTCTGTGTTCATCATCGAATTTTTCTTGAAAAGAGAGACAACAGAAGAATCAGAAGAATATAAAGCTGATTATATATTAGGAAAACCATCTAGCGAAGATGCCATATTAGAAGATTTGATATTGCTGGAAAATCAGCTGCCTTATTTTGTGCTTGAGAATTTATATGAATTTGCTACTGGAAATTCTGCTGATTTTCGTCGGCTCGTGATGTTCAACTTATCGGAAAAACTACCTGGATCCCCGACTTGAAATGATGCATGAGTTCCATAAAAACATAAAACTCTGCGATGCTTCTCTCCCATTTTTATGGGGGTTTTGGATGTCGAATATGTTCTGCTGTCAAAAAGAGCACAACAGGACGAATGAAATCAAGGAAAGAAGGAAAAGAAATGAGAAGCCTAAGCATCTTTACTGATTTGGATTAGAAGATCAAGACCGCAAACATCCGATCCAGTGGGTAAAGAGGGCTTGTATTAAAAGTCTTTATAATGCTCACAAATTACACGAGGCAGGAGTTCAAGTTAACAGATGATAAAAAGGCGTGGCCTCTTGATATAAAATTTGAAAGGGGAGTTGAAAAAAATGCCAAGATTTGAAATTGAAGATGCACAGAAAGATGATAAGAAACTTCTGATGGCTTTTGAGCAGTGGTCCACTATGCCATATGATCCTTACATATGTGACTATATTATTGATAATTAGATTTTCTAGTAGATACTGAGAGAGAGTGTGGAATTGCTATTCAAAATGGTAATAATTTGCTTGGGGAGCACAAATCAGTGGCTGAGATGGTGAATAAGCTTTGTCTTGAAATTAAAACACGTGGGTCTTGTTTCTATGGAGTAAGTGTGGATCTTAATAAACATTATGAGAATTGTTGGTTTAAGACTGGCGCTAGCATGAGAAGTGTATATTTTAGCAATCTCTGGAGAGGGGCTGGAACTGTTGTAGCACTTAGTAAGTGTCTGCTCGGTTTGTGATTTGTATTTGTTTTCCAACTTTTGACATTCTAATAAGAGTTTGCTTTATCTGCATTGCAAAGTGCTTCGGCTTCCTTCATCTCCTCCCTTCTTTTTATTTCTTTGTTTAGCTATACCTTATCGGTCGCATTTGCCAAATTTAAAGCCATAAACTTCTAGTTCAATTTTCATAATGACCATTGCGCTTAATGATTCTAAACATTTATTTCAGTCCACAAGCGAATTAACTTTTAATCTACTACTAATTTACAAGCCAAATTGATAAAAAAAAGGGTTACACCTACTCGTCACTGAACTCCCTAATCAATTGAAAAATTTTCTGGGAAGGCACCACCCGAGACTCAAGAACTTCCTTTAATATCTCTTTCCAAGCACTGACCCATCAACATCATAAAATTAATCCTATTAATAATTAAGCAAATAATTCTAAAGGGGGATTGGAGTCGAATCCATATTGAAAGATCCCAATCTCCGATTGGTATTGAAAGATCCCAATCTCCGATTGGCGAATTGGTAACTGAAGTTGGAGCGGAATCAGATTCCGGCGTTCTTGCATTATTGTCTATTCCAAAGCCGGACGACGTCGCCGGAGATATCAATGCAGGTGAAAAATTAATAAAGAAATCATTCTCCATTATTGACTTCTTGAAAATATCATTTTCTTCACTGAGAGAAAATGTTGGAAATATTTCCAAGTCGTCGCTTTTACTGAGTCTTCTCTGTAGTTGAAAGATATCTCTTTTAATAGCTTGGGCTTCACTTCTTCGTGTTGTTGCTGTCGTTCTATTGAGCAATTATCCTCACCTTATTTTAAATCCCCCCCCTCCCCACCCTTTGGGGGGGTTGCGACGTCGTTTATTGAAGCTGCTAAACAACAGCTTTCAAAAACATGTGTGCCTTCCTCCTATAGGTCACTAAACAAATATTGTAGGTCTTGATTTGATTCTCTGAACTTGTTTTGTGGCTAAAACCAAGAGTACGGTTAGTGCATCGTATGGTATACTCTGCAACAAAACCAATGTCGTAATATATGGTGTGGGTGTCAAGATTTTAAGATTAATATAAAGTCAAATTGATGAAATATAAAGAGAATGGAAATTTATATTTTTTGGTTCTTTAAAATCAAATAATTTTATGTAAAAAGTGAGAAGGGAATCAAATAAATTTTCGATAAAATGTTTATGAATTTAAAATGATATTAAAATATTTATTAATAACAATTAATTTTTTAAAACTATTAATGCTTAAAAATAATTAAAAAGTTAATACCAATTAAATTTTTATTTTAAATATTATCCTTAATAGATAATTAACGTTAACTATATATTAATAATATATTTTATTTTTTAATTATTTTAATGTCATATAATAAGGCTATACATGAAAATTAAAAATTCTTTTATTTACTATATATGTTTTTAATTTTATTCATTTTATGATTTAAATTAAATGTTAGAGCAAAATACATATTATATACTTCATGTATTTATTATTTAACTTAATAGATAATAAAATAAATTTACAATCTATAATCTACATACACGTGGGAATAGAGGAGGAAATTATTAGATTTCCTGAAGTAACCCTAGTTTAATTTGAAATTCATGATATATCATTTTAATTAATTTTTTATGCATTTTAATTGGAGAAAATAAATCTATCTATCATTTTGAAGATCCTTTTTATTCTCTTTTTATTCTATTTTTACTGCCTTTTAATTGAAAAAAATATATTTCATTTATACTTTTAAATATCCTTTTAGTTAGATTTTTATGCATTTAATTCGAGAAAATATTGTCCAATGATTTTTATAATTAATAGTTTTTTCTATTTTTAATCATATATTCTCATGTTATATTACTTTTTAGGAGGTAAATCAAAAACCTTATTTCAACTATTGAAAGTGGAACTTAAATTTTATTAATTTATAATGTTCTAAATTTTTTAAAATATGACTAAACACTTTATTATTATACTATATTAATTAATTACAATGAAATTAAAATAATTTTTAAAAATATATTATTTCTCTTTAATTTAATTTAGAGAGGATGTTGTACACTTATTTGAATCATTTACGTATTATTGTATTTTAAAATTTTTTAAATTTAACAAAACAATGGAATTATGAAATTCTAGTATTTGACTAATATAAAAAATAGATTTTTTTTAGTCTAATGAATTTTTTTTGAAAAAAATATGCTATAAATATTTGAATTTGCTATTATTTTTTTTTTCAACCTTTCTATATTAAAAATGAAATAAAAAGAAAATTCAAGAGCTCTATTTTCATTCAATATTTTATTCTTTTATTTTTGAAACATTCAAAATATTTACTTTTAATTTTTGAATTTATAGAATTATTTTATTTAATTTTTCTAGTAATTTAATGGATAAGTTTTTTTTTAAATATTTTTTAATAGATATAAAAAGAAATTAGAACATAATTAGACATTTAAAATTTTAATATTTTTTCAAATATTTTTACGTGTGACTTTGTAATTTTTGAATTTAATCTCATTTATATCTTCTTTAAACTTGATAAAGTACATTTTATTACCAATATTATTATTTACAACTTTGCATATTGATTCTCATGTGTAGTTGAGAACTTTAAGTACTTGATTTTTGGATTCTATGCAAAGACATGGTCCAAAATATTACATGCGATTGATAAAATTTCAGCTTAACTTCATCCGATAAAAATAATTGATGTGAAAATCAAAGTCATATATTATACGGTAGCTATGCAGAGTAAGTCGTGATTTATTAAATTAATGTTATAACATCGCCAAATTATAGAATATTTTGCGGTATGATAAATGCAAATTTGTAGTGATTTTCTATAATTAATTAACAATAAAATTATATATATATTATATATATTAAAGAGGGAGAAACATAAACATCATTTTCTTTTTTATTAGATATTCATTTTCTTTTTAATTAGATATTATAATAAAATACATGTTCAATATTTCATTGTATATATAAAATGCAACATTAATAAATCATTATTTTTATTTTTATCTAAATAAAAATTTATACTTAAATATTATGTAAATTAAAAATAAAAAAGTTAAACTAGTAAAGTACACGTGGCACTCCCGTCATAAAATAACTAGTCATAATAAATGTAAGAACATTAAAGAGTTAAAGACTTATGTTAGAAGGTGAGGGCTATTAAAGTTTGCCACCAATATTTTACTTTGGAAAATTAACTATAGTGTACTGCGAGATCAAAACATGAAATATAATCAATTACTAGTCAATAACAACGTAGAACTACAAATTTATTGCTTTCTCAGTTCCAGCGAAGTTTAATTTTTTCACAAAAATTAAAAAATGAATGAAACATATTGATTTCTTAAAATCTAGAGTAGAATGTGTAAATTGTCCTTAAAAATTAAAAGCTATTCATCTAATTTTTGATACAAAACATCTTATAAATATGAGTAAAATTAAAAAAATAATAATTTATATAGTTTCAAAGTCCTGAATAAACACGTAAATTAAAATAAAATAAAATATTTAATTGTTAATATTAAAGTGTAAAAAAAAAAAAAAAAAAAAAAAAAACAAATGACAGGAAAGACTCCATGTGATCTAACTTTCCCACTAAAATAATTTGAACATGGTCATCTTATAAAATTAAATAAATGTTACTATTTATACATTGTATTCTAACAAATCCATCGTGAAGATTTCTTTTATTTTCCATTTTTTTTTTTTGAACCAATCGGTGAAGAAAAGGTTGATATGTAACCATTTTTACACTTAAAATTCATTTTTAGTTTTCGATCCTTAAAATTACCGAGAAATACATTTGAAATGCACCTGCTTCGACTTATCCATTTTTTTTTTTTAAGAAAAAGATTTAATTTTTTTATCCATCAACTTATTTACACACAAAAATAAAATTAATATGAAATGTATGACTGATAAAGACAATACAATTATCAACTTTAATTAATGGGAAAGACGGGATGGCGTTGCATTATTGAGAAGAAAAGAAAAAATCAAAGAGAGTGTTTGCCTATAATACGCTGCCAACGCATTTTTGTCGCTGATCTATTTATCTATTTCGCAAATATAAATATATAGATTGTGCTAAAGATTCCTTGAAGGGAGAAAAACTGAGTGCTTTCAACTGCTAGCTAGACCACTTCTTCAGACAAACATCTTGCTCTTCAGGTTTGCACACTCTCCTGAAAAATTTGCCATTTTCTTTTTTCAGTACTGAAACATTATATTCATAACCTTCAATTAACTTTGATTTCCAATTCTTATGCATGTCGTTGTATATCATTCTTTTTTTTTAAAAAGAATTAGCTAACATTCTTTTTTAAAAAAAAAAATTGAAATATATTAGGTGTTCTTCGGCAGATGGGACAGAATGGTGCAGGAAGTAATAATTCAAATGATGTCAAAGATGAAAGCAGAAGGCAATTAGTGATTGATATACCAGACAACTTAGAGGATTTACTATCGCAGCCAGCTTTATGGCCGGAAATTTGTATCTACAGAGTTCCAAGAAAACTTCGAGCTATAAGTCCGTCAGCCTACACTCCTCAAATGATTTCCATAGGCCCTTTTCACCACAATGAAAAATCGTTGAAACCTATGGAGAAGCACAAACTGAGATATTTGGCAGAATTCTGCAGAAGGACTGGTAAGAATTGGGCTGATCTTGCTGAGAAAATTATAGAATGGGAAGAAAAAATCCGTCACTGTTATGACCAAACATTTGAGTCGTATGAAAGCAACATGTTTGTAAAAATGATTCTATTGGATTCTGTGTTCATTATCGAATTTTTCTTGAGAAGAGGAGAGAATTTTATTTCGACAGAAAAATATAAAGCTGATTATATGTTAGGCAAACCATCGCGCGAACATGGCATATTAGAAGATTTGATATTGCTTGAAAATCAGCTCCCTTATTTTGTGCTTGAGGATTTATATGAATTTGCTACTGGAAATTCTGGTTTTCTTTCTCTCGTGTCCTCCAACTTATTGGATTACCTGCTTCCTCCAAGAATTGATGATGACGATCATAAAAAGAATAGATCTTGCGATTGCTTCTCCATTTTTTATGGGTTTTGGATTTCGAATAGGTTCTGCTGTCAAAAAGAGCACAAAGACGATGAGAGTACAAGCGTAGAAGGAAAAGAAATTGAGGAGAAACCTAAGCACTTGACTGATTTGGTTAGAAGATCAAGATCCTACAAACATCCAGTGTCAAAGAATGATGCTTGTATTGAAATTGAAAGTCTTTATAGTGCTACAAAGTTACACGAGGCAGGAGTCAAGTTTAAGGTGGATAAAAAGGCGTGGCCTCTTGATATAAAATTTGAAAGGGGAGAATTGAAAATGCCAAGATTTGAAGTTCACGATGGCACAGAACGATTGATAAGAAATCTGATGGCTTTTGAGCAGTGTCACTATCCAAACGATCCTTACATATGTGAGTATATATTGATATTAGATTTTCTAGTAGATACTGAGAGAGATGTGGAATTGCTTATTCAAAATGGTATTATCACTAATTTGCTTGGGGAGTGCAAATCAGTGGCTAGGATCAAATCAGTGGCTAAGATGGTGAATAAGCTTTGTCTTGAAATTACAACATCTGGGTCTTGTTTCTATGGAGTAAGTGTGGATCTTAATAAACATTATGAGAATCCTTGGTTTAAGACTGTGGCTATCATGAGAAGTGTATATTTTAGCAATCTCTGGAGAGGGACTGGAACTGTTGTAGCACTTATACTTCTATTTCTCACTTTTATACAATCTGTATACTCTCTCAGTCGTATATTTTAAGTGCAGTGTGCTTATGTTGTTGTAGTGATGTTCTTATAATATGTTGTTATGGTGATGTTATTATATTTTAATGTTCTTATTATAGTATATGTTACTTTAATAATACTCTGCTCGGTTTGTGATTTGTATTTGTTTTCCAACTTTTGACATTCTAATAAGAGTTTGCTTTATCTGTATGTATTGCAAAGTGCTTCGGCTCCCTTCATCTCCTCCCTTCTTTTTATTTCTTTGTTTAGCTATCAAAAGGGCAGAGTCTTACTGTTTTAGCTGTAAGTTACCTTATCGGCCGCATTTGCCAAATTTAAAGCCATAAACTTTTAGTTCAATTTTCACAATGACCATTGCGCTCAATGATTCTAAATATTTATTTCAGTCCACAAGCGAATTAATTTTCAATCTGCTATTAGTTTACAAGCCAAATTGATAAAAAAAGGGTTACACCTACTCGTCATTAAACTCCCTAATCAACTGAAAAATTTTCTGGGAAGGCACCACCCGAGACTCAAGAACTTCCTCTTAATCTCTCTTTCCAAGCACTGACCCATCAACATCATGAAATTAATCCTAATAATAATTAAGCAAATAATTCTAAAGGGAGATTGGAGTCGAAATCCACGTTATCTATTGAAAGATCCCAATCTCCGATTGGCGAATTGGTAACTGAAGTTGGAGCGGAATCAGATTCCGGCGTTCTTGCATTGTTGTCTATTCCAAAGCCGGACGACGTCGCCGGAGATATAAATGCAGGTGAAAAATTAACAAAGAAATCATTCTCCATTATGGACTCCTTGAAAATATCATTTTCTTCATTGAGAGAAAAGGGTGGAAATATTTCCAAGTCGTCGCTTTTACTGAGTCCTTCTCTGTAGTTGAAAGATATCTCTTTTAATAGCTTGGGCTTCCCTTCTTCGTGTTGTTGCTGTCGTTCTACTAAGCAATTATCCTCACCTTGTTGCGACTTGTCGTTTATTGAAGCTGCTAAACGAGCAGCTTGAAAACATGTGTGCCTTCCTCTATAGGTCACTTCAAATATTGTAGGGTCTTGATCTGATCTCTGAACTTGTTTTGTGGCTAAACAACCTTGTGAGTGACGGTGAGTGCATCTATAGTTGAGGCATCCTATTAGTATCCTCTGCAACAAAACATGCCGTTTAGTGAAAGTGGTGTGATGGTCTGGAAAACTCAAATTTGATAATTGCTGCTAAACGAGCAGCTTGAAAACATGTGTGCCTTCCTCTATAGGTCACTTCAAATATTGTAGGGTCTTGATCTGATCTCTGAACTTGTTTTGTGGCTAAACAACCTTGTGAGTGACGGTGAGTGCATCTATAGTATCCTCTGCAACAAAACATGCCGTTTAGTGAAAGTGGTGTGATGTCTGGAAAACTCAAATTTTGATATTTTAAGATTATAGAAGTCAAAATTGGTGTGAATCTCGTGGAATGGAAAACTACTGTTTGCTTCCTTGACTCAAATCATAATAAATATAAGAACAGGAAAGAGTTAAAGACTCAGCTTGGAGGGCCAGGGGCTATTGAAGTTTGCCCCCATTATTTTACCTTGGAAAATTAGCTCCCAGAATATCTTTCTGGCCATACTTTCTCCAGTTATAACCGTCATCAAGTGGTCCTTCAAGTCCCATCCCTGAACAAACCTTTACTTGTTCAGTCCATCTGGGTTGTGTCTTTCTGCGCATCCAAACATAGCCAATTCCAATGCAGTTCAAAATTTTACCTCGAACTTTGGTATATCTATGCAAGTATAAACTTATTATATACATAAATATTTACCTCTTCTTGTAAACATCTCTCTGGAATTCTTGGTCGGAGATCTCACTTCTCGGGCTGCTATTAGCACAGGAATGTGGTGATTCCAATGCACTGATTGAAGGTTTAGTTTCCCAATTCAGAATGGAAAGTGCTTTCTCATAAGAAGAAAGTATTTTCTCAACAAGAAACTGACGCGTTTCAGGCGATGATAAAGAGGTAAGATGTTTCCTTAGCTGCTCTGTGTGCTCTTTCCCCTGAGTAAGCTCACTGATTAGAGTCTTTTGTTCCCGATCCATGGAATGGTTTTCCACTTACAAAAATTGACAAGAACGAACAACAAGAAGCGAGCTAGACAACGAGACGAAGTAGCAAATTTAAGATTTCAGTCATCAAAACAGACAAAACTCCAAATGTAAGAGTAGATATGAAATGACGAGGTATATATCTATGCAAAGAAAGGGAAAGGCTTTTTTCTTAGTGGGGAAGTTGTAAGGAAGATGGGAGATATAAAGAGGAGAAAATAGAAAATATTGACTTGGGAAAAAATAAAAAATAAAAAACAAAAGTTTTTTGTTTTATTTTGCTTCAGTACATAGGATATTATATAGACATAATTAGGTGAATTAAATGAAAATTGAATAAATGGAGATAGAGAAATATCCCAATTGCTGACTATTTCAAAAGATGCAAAAAAGGTGACCAATGACCAATGACCAAATTTCTCCATCTCTCTATTTTCTTGAATTTTAGTAACTCAGTGAGTCTAATCTAACAGTTTCTTGTCTTAGTGTGTGAGTGCCAACGCGGAAGAAGGATTGAAGATTCTTGGATCGGAGGTCTGGTCTTGTGGCTCTTGTTCAGTCTACATTTTGCGTTCACTCTTGATAATGATTTACAGTGTAAAGAAAATATTAATTCATAATTAATGGACCTTTGACGTTTCTTTCTTTGCTTTACCATTTTTAGCCCCTTGCTTACGCCCGATGTTGATGGATTGTCCATGCTAACAATTAACACCGCACGTGTGTGAAATTATAAGAGAATGAATATTTCACGTTCCAAGTTTAATTCTGGACAATTGGCTTTAAGAATGTTTTCTAAAACTAAAACAAGCGACCGGTTAAAATTATATTTCAAGTTAAAGTATTGATTGAGACGGTAAATGATTTTAATTTCTGTATAAATAATAATATAAGTTTAATTTTTAGAAAATGCACTTCAGAAAATGCACTATATTTTGGGTCTAAACCTAGTGTGAGAGTCGAGTTGATTTTATTTTACGGTAATGCATTCAATAGACTTTCATTACTCTCTTATCCTTATTTTGATTTACATAAAAGGAAATAGTTACATGGCATTCAGACAATAACAAGTAACATCAATTGAGTCTCGGAGCATCCAAACAATATTACTTGAAAAAGGAGAGTTGAATTGGATTAACGTCATTTCATTAATTATTGTTGTTATAATTAACTAATGAAATTTTATCAAAACATAAAACTTGTCACTGTTTGTTCTTACGAGTCGCAATCCCAGTGTCAGGCATTTCATAGACAGAAAATCAACGTATTCTCTAGAAAAATTTCCCGTAGGAATCACGCGAACCGATATACGGGGCAAAACTTCCATGAAAGTGCCGAGATGTTTACCCGAAAACACGCTTGAAGAAAGCGATGAACCGTGTGGGCTTATGAAGTCCTTGCCATTTATTTTCCGGTTACTGCTACTTTGATGTGTTTCGGTTTCCCTTTCTTTCTTTCTTTTAAATTAAGAATATTTTAAAAAATATTTTGTAATTAGATTAGACCACTTCAAATTGCAAATGTTTGGTAAGAAAAGGCAAAGGCCAACGCGTAAAGACGCCTGTAATTTTCACCATTAGTTTATTTGGAGTGTCGAAAGGGTTCCATCTTCAAACTCTTTGATTTCAAACAGAATATGCAATCATCAATCATTACATAGAACTATTTTTCTCCTTTTTTTTTTTTAAATTACTATATTTTTATTAATTTATTAAAGTTGTTCGGTACTCAATCCTAAAGTGAACTTTACAACAACAGTAATAATGATAATAATTAATTACTGTCATTTGATTTTTTTTTTGGGTCGCAAAATTTTTAAAATAAATGAATAAAAGCATCATTCATTCAATAAAAGTATAAAAAGAATATTACTGAATCATTTTTAAAATCAATCAATAGGGGACCAGTATATATTGATGTAAAAGTATAATATATGCAACCTATTGAATTGTTGATCTTCCCAATTTTGTACCAAATGGACAAAAATACAAAATTTGTAACCGAAAATAATAAAATCATATAATAATTTTTGTCTTTAATAATAGTAATAATCTTATCAATTAAAAATATTAAAAGTTATTATTTCAATTTTTTTTTTTGTAAAAAATTAGAGCTTTTTAATTATTTGGTGTAAAATTTGAGTGATAATTATATAAAAGATTTATTTTTGAATAAATTGTATATGCTATCTGAGTGTAGGGAGTAGATTGGGCTTTAGATGCTTTTGAGTGGGCCTCGCTGTCAAATATGGTAAAGATATGTTCAGATCTTTTCTCATTAGCGCATAGCAGGTTTGGCCCATCTTATCAGCCCATTATTGTTAAGACAACAAAACAAGTAATGTGCTGGGCCGAGTAAACAGATTATCGAACTCGGGCCGAGACGTGGATCTGACTACTGGAACGCCCAGTTTAGCGTCTGTATATAATGAGCCATCACGACTGAGAAATATCTTTCAATCATTGCAGTAACAGTGGTCGGTGAAGCGAAAACCACGTGATTTTTCTTTATAAACTAGTAGGCGAAGCGAAGCCGCACATTATCTCTTGACAAACCAGTCTCTCTACACTGCAATCTTCCGATTCAGCCATGGAATTTCCGTACTTAGAAGCTGTACTCGGTACTCTCTCTTAATTTCGATCATACAATACTTACAAATATGAATGCTTTTCTAATGATCCTTTATAATGGATATTGCTCCAATTTCTGATTAATTAGTTCTGCTGCGCTTTGATGATCTTTTATTAACTACGTTTGCTGCGGGTTTTTCTTGTATTCGTTTTCTGTTTTTGTTTGTGCAATATTTTGGGTGCGCCTCGAGTTTCTTTCGTTTAATATGGAGCTCATTTATCGAGAAAAGCATCTGCTTGGTTGTCGGGAAAATGTAGATGAGAAGAATTTGCGTTTTTGCGTTTATTGGTTGTTGACTTGAAGTATTTAAAGCTATTTTTCTAAGTTGACACTTGATCCATACGACCTTCTGGTAGCTGAGAAATGGATGCAAAAAAAATGAGACGAGGGTTTTTATGTTGAGCTTTGTTTGTTTTGCTTTCAGAAAAATTAACTGAGCTCAATGAAGCCAGATGCAAAAGGTATAGGGCTACTTTTTCTATATAATGGCGTTTTGTAAGCTTTTCATGGTTTTTGCTTTTTCAGTTGTCATGATTCTGATCTACATCTTTGAGACATATTTGGCTTTGCGAGAACATGCTACTCTGAAACTGCCCACACTCCCTAAAGCTTTGGAAGGAGTAGTCAGCCAAGAGAAATTTGAAAAATCTAGAGCTTATAGCCTTGATAAAAGGTTTATTGCTTCATGCAATCATCTGCAGTTTAATGCTATTATTTACCCGCTATTAATTTAACTTTCTGCAATTGTTGGAGTGCTTTTCTTTTATGGCTTTCAATTTCATTGATTGTTCTCCTGGTGCTTCTTTTAATTTTTCAGTCGCTTTGGTTTTGTTCACGGATTTGTGACTACACTGACGGACTCAGCCATTTTATATTTTAGGATATTGCCTTGGTTCTGGAAGGTAACTGTCTAATTGACTGGATGGAACTTTGTGAAATTAGTGAAGCCTCCCTTTGGGTTTCTTTAACATTCTAAGTTCTCTTCATAATTGCAGAAATCAGGAAACTTTCTTCTTTTGCTTGGTCTAAACACAGAGAATGAAATACTACACACCCTTGCTTTTTTGGCTGGTGTCATGATGTGGTCACAGGTATGCTGTATGCATATGACAAAAAATTTCTCTTTATGAGTGCACTTGCACATGTCATATATGCGTAGCTAAACTAATTACAATATATGTTGAAATAAATACCAATTCTATATTTGTACTGCCACTATTTTCTATAATAGTTTAATGCAAGAACAAAGACAAGGTTCTCATCTTTATTTATTTCTTTAATTTTTTTATGTTGTTTTTTATGAATGTCCCACACAAAATGCAGTTTTTGGTGATTATTTTAATATTTTTTCATTCAAGCTAATTTAATTTTTGAGTTTTTTAGCATTAAGAGCATTCACATAGCAATAATCGACCTGCAAACTTAACCAAAGAAAGGGTTATGCAGTTTAATAGTGAAAATACCTAGATGATGTCGATTTTCATCTTGGGCACAAAGCTGAAATTTTTGAATGTGATATTGCTTATATAGTTACTATCACCTTGTGTTTATGATTCCATTTTTGTAGGGAGATTATGCAATGTTGTCAGATTATGATATTGAACAATTTCATTCAATTCATTAGACATTTCTCATTTGACATTGCTGTGTTTTAAACATGTTCATGCAGGTTACGGAGTTGCCTTTTTCTCTCTATTCAACTTTTGTGATTGAGGCCCGTCATGGTTTCAATAAAGTTTGTATCTGCTTCCTTATCTTTCTAATTTTTCATCCATTGTTGTGGACTAGATTACTAGCACCTATGTTGGTAGCTTAGTCGGTGTTGCTAATTGTATTGGCGATGGTGTAAAGTTGGTTGTTATTTATGTTAATTCATTTTATATCCCATTTCTTGTGGGATCCTTATTTATTATTTTATCTGTTTTACAGCAAACTATAGGGTTATTCTTTTGGGACGTGTTCAAGGGAATATGCCTTGCTTTTGTACTCGGGCCACCTACTGCTTCAGCAGTCATTTTAATTGTACAGGTAAGATCACCTGTTGGTACTAAGAAAGTCAAATAGATGCAGCATTTGATTGTTATGTTTTTAGAAGTTTCCTGCTGTCTTTTACTTTTAATAACACACCTGCGAGTACTGAGGATTGAATGCGTTATTTCGAACATGTTTCTCAAAGCCATGATAATCTTCTTTTGCAATTTTGCAAGTCATCCCTCATTATGGTGAACTATTGTTTGTGTGGTTGCAGAAAGGAGGTCCTTACTTGCCCGTCTATATATGGGCATTTATGTTTGTTCTCTCTCTTGCAATGATGACACTATATCCAATTTTGATAGCGCCTCTTTTTAATAAGTTCACTCCTGTGAGCATCTGAAATCCTTTCCATTATTCAATTTGTGCTTTGCTGTAACAATTTTTCTTTATTGATTTACCTTTTCCTGTATTGCTGTGACAAATAGGTTCCAGAAGGAGAACTTAGGCAGAAAATTGAGGCACTTGCTACCTCCCTTAAGTTTCCTTTAAAGAATTTGTCTATTGTGGATGGATCTACCAGGACATGCCATAGCAATGTGAGGATTCAACTCTTGCACATATATTTAGATTTCCTACATGGGTTGTAACATTACCTGTTGTGAATTATTATTTTGCTCATAGTATGTCATCATGTGTGTCATTGTTCATAAATTACCTGGTTGTGGATGATGTTTTTATTTATTTTGTTACTATCAATGCGACATTCATTATGTCTTTTGTGATTGTTGCACAGGCATATTTGTATGGCTTCTATAACCACAAGCGAATTGTCATTTATGACACATTGCTTCAGCAGGTGAGAAGGCATTTCTGTTAGAAATTTTTTCTAGTCATCTTGTCCTTGTACATCTTCTTATATCCCTGACTTAAACTGATGACTAATTATTTTATTAATACCCAATTTATGTTGACAAGCCTTTTCAGTTTGAAGGAAACACTACCTCCCTACTTTATCAGTGTATGGAACGTAGGGCTTAGTTGTGCCCACCTCTCCCTCTTTCTACACACTAAATCTCAAAAAAAAAAAAAAAAAAACCCCTTTTCCATGTTTTGAAAGGAAAACACTACCTCCCTCTTTTATCAAGTGTATGGAAACGTAGGGCCTTTAGTTGTGATCACCTCTCCCTCCTTTTCTAACAAACACTAAATCTCAAAAAAAAAAAAAAAAAAAAAAAAAAAAAAAAAAAAAAAGAGGAGGTTGCTGCATGCTTTTGACAAGCACACACTAGCTAATAAAGTAAGGCAATATTAACCAACAGTCTGGGTAACTTTGTGATTAAAATATGCAGTTTGTGTCATCAGCTAGTTTTTATTGTTGAAACAATATGCTTTTCCTTGTGATATGTAAATGTTTTTACATGTTTCTGATAAATTGCAGTGTAAAGATGATGAAGTTCTAGCTATACTTGCCCATGAAATGGGGCACTGGAAACTTAATCATACAATGTACTTCTTTATTGCTGTGCAGGTATGTCGATGTTTTCTTGCAAAATTCTCGTTTTTAATCCATTGACTTGTTTTCTCATTGGCTCATCATATTAACAATTTTGTGTTAAAATCCTGCTTTGAAGTATATATCATTTTAAATGCATGCTAGGTAGAGTCTGAGCCTGTGACAGCTATCACTGAGAAGAGGCTCAAAGAGAAATTGTCATGGTTTTCACTTCTTCAATTCTTTCTTTGGTGTGAGTTTTGACTTCAAAATAGACAGGATTCACTTTTCATAAGCATTATGGAAAACTAGAACTTTCAACTGCCTAGCCAATGAAAATCGAAGGCATGTCACACATCACGCTTGCTGCCATGGTTGGGAGCAGAGCAGGAGTTATTTAGAATCTCAAGATTATTATTTCAAATAAAGATATGGATTCTCGAATAAGTTGGGAAACTTAAATGTGTAAGATAGAGTGAGTTAAAGGGGAGGAGCTCATAAAGCTTTTTAGGGATAAATCACAATGGGATGAAGTTCCATAAATGCTGCGTTATTTGGATTGGGCTATTTTTTTTTTTCTCCTTGATAATGTTTAATTAAAACCTCATTTATGAGTAGATCAAAATAAGGGTTTCAATTTCAATTTCCTTAAAATTGTGAGATCTAGATATTTTAGTTTTTTAGATTTGATATTTTCTGAGGTTTGAATCTCAGGTATTAATTTGCCTTTCAGTAAGAATTGTCATTGTTCTTTTTTTTTTTTTTTTTTTTTTTTTTTTTTTTTTTTTTTTTTTTTTTTTTTTTTTTTTTTTTTTTTTTTTTTTTTTTTTCAGTTAGAAAAAAGATTAAAAATATTTGTGATTTTTTTTTTTTTTTTTTTTTTTTTTTTTTTTTTTTTCAGTTAGAAAAGTTAAAATATTTGATTAAAAAAAAAAGCCTTGGCAGAAATAAACTATAAAGGACTTCTTATGTGTTGTGTGACTAGTTTTTGTTGCTCTGTATTGGTATTGATCAAATGCAGATCCTTTCATTTTTACAATTTGGAGGATATACTCTTGTGAGAAACTCGAGTGATTTGTTTCGAAGTTTTGGGTTTGATACACAACCGGTACTCGTTGGACTAATCATATATCAGGTATTTCCTTATGAAGAAACAAATTTTAGTGTTGGGGAGTCATGTTTATGTTTATTCATATGCAGATAATTTTGTTGGCTGTGCAATGTTTGATCTGTCAATAATATAACTGGTTTATATGATCTCGTTTCCAGTATATTATGATACCCGTCCAACACCTACTATTCCTTGGTCTTAATAGGGTGAGCCGTTCTTTCGAATATCAGGTAACTTCTTTTCCTAGTTGTCCCCTCAGTTTTTATTTATTTATTTATTTTAAAAAGAGAAGAAAACCCGTGAAAATCATGCTATCATTTGACACGCTTGCTACTTGTAGGCTGATGCATTTTCCAAGAAGCTTGGTTATTGTTCTCCTCTTAGATCTGGTCTTGTGAAACTGCAGGTGATTTATTAGTACTTCCATTCTTTGCATGTTCCTATGTGACATTTGTGGAGATAAGAGTGTTCCATAATCCTCACTGTCTGACAAATGAGGGATCTAAGCCTAGAATCTTTATACTTCTTAAAGCTGTTTTATTTCGTTAATAATTCCCATGTCAATTTCTCCTGGCTTAGTTCATACCATGCCAATTGTTCTCCAATTTTCATTTGGGTTTTTCTTCATTTTTGTTACTGTAGTGTTGGCCCCAATAGTCATGCCTCGTTTATTCATTTGCTTGATTGAGTTGATAATTTTTGTTACTGTAGTGTTCTGTTATTATAATTTTGCAACACGTGTTTCTAGGTACATTAAACCCTTGATTGAGTTGAAGTCTCTTATTTTTTTTAATTTTTTTATATTGGATTTTTTATGTTTCCTAGTGCACGTTACTGACCAGCGAGTTGATGTTCTTTCAGGTAGAAAATTTGGAAGCTATGAATACTGATCCTTGGTTCTCAGCATACCACCATTCTCATCCTTGTCTTGTGGAAAGATTGGCTGAACTTAATGAACCAGATAAAAAGGAAGACTGATATTGCAACCTGTGTGAATGGGCAACTAAGAATTCCATTTTTTTCGTTGCAATTGAGAATGAGTGGTAATAGTAAGTAAGAATCAGCTGTTGTTATGTAACTTTTGTCTTCCTGGATGTCAACGTTTCTGTAGTTCAGGTATCACTTCTGTCGAAACCCTGTTCAAATAGTTGTGTATCTTATGTTCGCATGGATTTGTATCTGTTGGTCTGCAGATGAGTAACCGTAACTTATGTTGAATAATGTATTGTTGCCAGTTTCCAATCAGTTGTTTTTTTTGTTTTTTTTGTTTCCTAATTCTTTTCCTCGCATCGGCTCTGGAATCCATCTTTAATGCATTTACTAGGCTTAATTTCATTATCCATTTTTAACACAATGTTGCATTCTTGTTTTCCTTGGATGTAAAAATGGCATGTCGTTTGCTAAAATATATGCATATAGGTGATGGTGTTTTTAGTACAAGATCATGTGATGAATTTTAAATTGGTTGAATGGACTTCCTACGTACCTAGAAAAAGTGGTAATGTGATTCACACTTGAAGATATTTTTAGATATGAGAATAAACCAATGTTATCTTATGTCCAATGAGGAAGGACATGTTTGGTATTGGCTAGTTTTAAGAAAGCAAAAGTCTTTGAATGCATTATGCTGACGACTCAGTTCCTGGGAGGCTTTCCACTATTGCTATTTTATAATCAATCAAATCCTTTCGGAGCTTTGTCCGAACATAATAAAATAATTATGATTAAAGATTCTAAGAAGATTACTGGTAACTTGCTATTATCCAGTCACAGATTAGCTTAAGCACAATACAAAAGAATATTATGGACACTGGAAAAGCAGGTCTTTAACTGCATTATTATGGTCCTACTTTGATGCTTCTCGCCCGTCTGATTATTCATCATTAAGGATAGGTTACGATTACTTAAATCATTTTCTCAATTAAACCGAAAAAACACATCTAAACTTGTTAGCAAACAAATCCTAATAAAAGTCTATAATTATTGAATTGGAAAAAGCAATTATGATTTTTAATAAAGGAGAATTCAGTATGATACCTAAAATTGATTTTGACTCTCAATCTAGATTTCTTTGACTGTGGTACGACGTCATTTCATTCATTTTTTTTTATCTTCTTTGCATTAAATGCAGACAAATCTTTTTATAATGAAGTAAATAACTAATAATGTCAGTAATGTTATTTCAAATAATAATAAAACATTTCAATTTATTTTTTTCAATAACTAATAAATTAATATTATAATATAATAATTCATTAATACAATTTTTTAATATAAATTTATAATATGAACGAGTTAAAATTTACACTACCTTATTAATTATTAAAATAAATTGAAAAACTTTTCATTAATGCAATAAACTTATTATTTGTATATGGCATTCAATTACTATATACAACTAATTATAATATATTTTCCTGAGATTTTAGAATATAATAATAAAAATATAAATATTAAACTCATACAATATTACTATTTAAATTTCTAAAAATATTATAATATAATTATATATTCCGCGCGAGGCACGACACATAGCTACTTTCCATACAAATCTTATCAAATTAGATAATTTACTATTTTCCATTAACCATAAGTTAGAAACAATAAACATTTTAATTACCTTTTCTCTTAGAAAATAAATTAAAGCCTTGCATTTCCTAATGTCGAAACTCAGAAGCACGAGCTGATCATAATGCCACGTGGAAATCAGTAGGCAAGGAAAAAAAAAAAAAGAAAAAAAAGAGGAGAAAAGAGAAGCCTAATGATGTGATGAAATTGAAGAACAAGATTCACATAATCGGTGTAGTGTCGTCTCGTAACATCACAGTCATCTTTAACGGTCCTTTCCTTGCGTATAATCGACTGACAATTGGGACAAATATGTCATTTTATAAGCCATAGTCTTATATACCCACTACCCTGACAAGCTTCTCTCTCCTTACTCACTCCTTCCACCTACACTGCCAAGCTGACAGCTCATCTGCTAATACTCTTCTCTCTCTCCATTTCCATTCTTTTCCTTCTTTTTTCGCATCTCTCTCTCTCTCTGTCTCTCACTATTTACTATTACTTCCTACAGAGGGAAACACTCTCTTTAATATTCCATTGATTCCTCTTTTTCCACATTCCTTTGTTTCTTTTTTTTTTTCTCTATCTTTTCTTTGTGTTTTGTATATATACATATCTATTATTCGCCGGAATTATTTTTCCGGCGAGCCAAATGTGGCGGAATCTTGTAGTGATTTCTTATACTGCCGAATTCTGCCGCCATTGAATTCTTTTATTTTCTTTTTCCTTTTTATTATTTTCTTCTGTTAAAGCCAAGGAAAGGAAAAGAAGATTAGGAATAATGTCGGTATACGATGCCGCATTTGTGAACACAGAGCTATCGAAGCCTACCTCAATCTTCGGCCTCCGGCTTTGGGTGGTGATTGGAATCCTTCTGGGATCTCTCATAGTCCTCGCTCTATTCCTCCTGTCTCTCTGCCTAACCTCTCGTCGGAAAAACCGGCAATCGTCCAAGCTTACTGACACTACCCCTCCCATTTCAAAGGAAATACAGGAAATCGTGCGCTTCCCTGCACAGGATCACCACCACCATCATCCTCTCCAAGTCCCAGAGATTCAAGTTGAGATCGGTAAGATCGAGCATCGTGTGGTGTTCTCCGACCGTCCCTCTAGTGGGGAGAGTAAAGGGACTGCCAGTGGGTGTGAAACAGCGTCGTTTGGCAGCGGGAGTGTGGGCCCTGAGGTCTCGCATCTCGGGTGGGGCCGCTGGTATACTTTGAGGGAGCTGGAAGCTGCAACGAATGGGCTTTGTGAAGAGAATGTGATTGGTGAAGGTGGATACGGGATTGTGTACAGTGGGATTCTAGGTGATGGTACTAGAGTTGCTGTCAAGAACTTGTTGAATAACAGGTGACGAGTTTTATTGGGTTTTATTTAAAACTATTTTGATTGTTTTATGTGTTTAAAATTTTGAATATTTGATTTATGCTTCTTTTTTGTTCCTTTACTGGGTTGTATTTATCTCCAATCTGTTACTCCCGCAAACGTAGAAAGTTTGGGCTAGAGGCTAGAGCTTTAAATTTGAAAGCTTGTCTTGTCTTGTTTTTGGTTTCTGCTGAGGTTGCTAGGGGAGTCTATCGAGAAAAACGTTATGAAAATTTGAATTTCTTTTCGTGATTTTTTCTTGTTTCTCGTTTCCAAAATTGAAGAGCATCAATAGGCACAGTAATTGAAAATCATGGTTCTCTCTCTTTCTATGCGATGCTTTTGTTTGTTCTTTATTCTTGTCTTACTTATGGTAGAATATATGTAGTGAAGTAAAATGCTTTATGGGAGTGGAATTTATATAGTTTCCTTCTCAAAACCTTTTGCTTGAACTTGGATTGTAATTGATAAATTTTGGCATGAGCATGCCTAGAGGCCCGTATCTCCCATTTAAATTTTTGTTAGGACCATTATCCTGTGTCCTTGCAAGTATTCTATTGGCTCATGATAATGAGATTAAACATTCATCAGGGGTCAAGCCGAGAGGGAATTCAAAGTGGAGGTGGAAGTAATTGGACGAGTACGGCACAAGAATCTTGTTAGGTTGCTTGGATACTGTGTTGAGGGTGCATATAGGTAAAATTAATTTTATTCAAGTTTTAGATTGTGTTTGTAGCTTTTGTTGAATTGGTCAGTAGATGTAACTGGTTGCTGTTTTGTTTTGTAGGATGCTTGTGTATGAGTATGTTGACAATGGTAATCTTGACCAATGGCTTCATGGCGATGTTGGAGAAGTCAGCCCTCTAACATGGGATATCCGTATGAACATTATATTGGGAACAGCTAAGGGGTAATGATAATTAGTAACCTAAATCTGTTTAATGTGCATGTTTTCTATACTTATGCTTGCATTTGTAAGTCAAGCTATTGTTTGCTATACGATTGTCACTATCCTTGCAGATTGGCCTACCTTCATGAGGGTCTTGAACCGAAGGTTGTCCATCGAGATGTTAAATCTAGCAACATACTACTTGATCGCCAGTGGAATGCTAAGGTTTCTGATTTTGGCCTTGCCAAGCTCTTGTGTTCTGAAAGGAGTTACGTAACAACACGGGTGATGGGAACATTTGGGTTAGTTAGTTTCTTTGTTTCAAGTGTTGGTTTTTATTTTTTCTTTTCTCTTGAATTAGTAAAGTTTCTTGATAAGGGTGCAGCTTTAGCATATACAATTCATTGTTTAGGTGTTGGATTCCTTAAGATTCTTATAGGGAAATTAACTCCAACTTATTTGCTGGCTTTGCTAGTTATGTTGCACCAGAATATGCTTGCACAGGAATGCTGAATGAGAAAAGTGACGTTTATAGCTTTGGTATTCTCATCATGGAGATAATTTCCGGGAGAAGCCCTGTTGATTATAGTCGACCTCAAGGAGAGGTTAGTTTTGGGATGTAATTGGGAGTGTTGTCTTTGCTACTTCCTTGTTTTCAGTTTTCCTTTGTTTCAAACTATTACTTATGCAAATGCCTAAACATTTCAGGTGAATTTGGTGGATTGGTTAAAAACCATGGTTGGCAACCGAAAATCTGAAGAAGTAGTTGATCCTAAGTTGCCAGAGTTGCCTGCTTCCAAAGCACTAAAACGTGTTCTCTTGGTTGCTCTTCGATGTGTTGATCCTGACGCAACAAAGAGACCCAAAATGGGGCATGTGATCCACATGCTTGAGGCAGATGACTTGCTATTTCGTGATGTATGCACTATTTTCCTCAAATTATGAGGTGTAATTTAGAGTATGTGAAGAAAGAAACAGTTTTCAGCTCATTTTCCCTTTTCTTCTGTTATTTGCAGGAACGCCGAATAGGGAAAGAATCTTCACATTCACGCCATGATTATGAACAAGAAAATCACAGTGTTGCAAAATTAGGTGACAAACAATTGGGTGAAGGCACTTCAGACACAAGCGAAGGTGATAGTAGTAGGAATCTTCATCAGCCAAATAGATGGAGATAACGTCATCGGAGAATTAGGTGATTAACTAATTTACTTCTCCGAGCCATTGGACCTCCTCTTATTTTTCCCCCCTTTTTGGTAGAATCCCCCTTCCCCACCTCTCTTCCCTTTTGTAGGTATTTTATTGTGTTTGTTGTACCTTCAATTCAAAGAAACAATAATCTGCATTTGTTCTGTGCTTAGCTTTCATATCTTTTGAGATATATCCTACTTCAATTGGATATAGTTGTACAATTGAAAGAATTCATTCATTATTCTTATAGAAACCATAGTTATTAGATTTTCTTTTTCAACTTCTTGTAAAACAAATACAGTTACGCATTACAATGTACTATCTATTTCATCCAAAAATCAATGTCTGATTTTGCTGAATTAGTTATTAGGATATTCTTACTTGTCCTTTTCTTTTCTTGTACATTTCTAGTCATTCAACATGTCTATTACTCAGAATGGTGAGCTTAGGACTCATCGCCATCATTGCCTGGCTGTATATACCAACTAGTGTGATGGAAGCATTTAGATTACCTCAACATCAGTGCTAACTCTAAAATGAGATGGTCCAGGGACCAGTCAATTCTTTGGAAGGAAATAAGCTTAGTAGCTTTACAACTTTTTGATTCATGTGCTTTTTCTTGTCTTGGGTTGGACCACCCAGCTGGGCAGCAGCCAAAGCATTGTCTGGAAATGGGGTATGGCTCCCTCCCTGTTATCAGTTTCCCTATCAATGCCAGAGCAAAATGGGGAAATTTGGCAGACAGCAAAACTAGAGGGACTAAATAGTACTTTTTCTTACTTGAAATAATCTGATTATGGATGTATGTGGTGAGACCTGCTGTATCTTATTTCTGGCAATTTGCTAGCAACAGATCTAAGTTCGATTCTCCTCTCTAATACTGGAAAAAAAAAAAAATGTCAGCCTCTTTCTGCTGTCCTCTATGCAGGCTTGGAAAGAGCAGTTATCATCTTACTATAGTAGGTTTTTTATTCCCTCCAATTTTAATTTTGAGCAACCGTTCTTTATTGAAGGAAAACGATTAGGGTTGTCTTATTCAACCCGACGCTGGTGCCTATTTCTGTTCTTTGTTATAATGGGCCTGTCCTGCAATTGGGTGGGCTTGATGAGTTAATAGAGCTTTTATTGCTATTGGGCCGATTTTCGGGCTCTTTCATTACTGCGTCCAAACAATGGTTGCTGTTCTAGCAAATCGCAATAGTTATGCAGATTGCTTTTCTAACGACATGTTTAGTTAAGATAGAACTGTGATTCTTGTTCATATATGATATTACATATTAGAATCCATTTAGCTTTTATCGAACATACTTCAATAATTTTGGATTTCTTTTTTTTTTTATGTGAGGCTTTATAATTTATGTTAATTATGATTATCTTTCATCTAATATTTGAAGAATTCAAGAAACCTTTTTTTACGTTAAACAATTAATTTAAAAAGAATCGTTTGAAATAAAAAAATTCTATAAAATTTTGTTGAATTTATTTGTAATTCTAAATTATTGTGTTTAGTATAAAAAATAAAAATTGAAATTTTATGAATTCAACTTTTATGCATTTGAATATAATTAAACTAAAATTTTCCACGTAAAATTTTTAAATGAATTTCAAAAAATTAAATATTCAAAATCTCATGATAAAACTATTATCTTTCTACACTTTTAAAATTATTGTATGGGAGATATTTGAGAAAATAAAAACAAATAATTTTTAATATATAAATTTATTATAAATAAAAATTTTAATTTGCAAATGAATTTTTTATTTTTAATTCGTTTATATTAATTAAACTATTAAAGGAAGGGTCATAGTTATGATTAGATGAGAAAATGGAAATTCCTATTAAAAAATAGTTTTAGTTGGCGAATGAGGTAATGGACTTTAGACAAATAGGACAGCTAAACACTGTCGTATTTGGTATTGAATGACCGACAATACTCTTGTATCCGTTGGATCACTTTGCCTTTATCCCCCTGTTTTGTGATGTGATAATTTTTTGCTTTCCTTTTCTTGTCCGCACTTTACTTTCTTTTTCTCTTAATATTTTTTTATTAAAAAAGGAAAATTCCACATTGAGCAATTTTACTGTACATGGCCGCCTCATGATAAGCATTTCCTAAGAACCCAATAGCCAATAGACGTCACATGAGTGTGGAAATGGCACCTACAACGGATACCTCAACTACTGCCCATTCTTTCTCTTCCACGTGTAGCATCCGTGACTAAATCACCTTAACAGCCAGTGACTCCACCATGCCTCTATCAATAAATCAACACCTAACATCTTTCCAACTTTGTCTGTTTGTTGATGAGGAAATCAACGCCAATTAACAAATCGAAGATAAGGTAGAGAACTTTCAAAGAAGCAACTTGTGTTCAGCGTTTGAGACTTTCTGCGTAATTTCAGATCTCGTGCTAGGAGTACCAATTCAGGTACGAATTTCTCTACTGCCTTCAAGTTCTGCTGCAGAAAATAGGGCTCTTCTTTCCCATTTTTTTTCCCCCTTTTTCCGCTTTTGTTTTGTGTAGATCTTAAGATTACTATTACTCGATAGATTAAGCATCTAGCGTTGGGTTTTTGCTATATACTTCGACGAATTTTGTGTTAATCGTGGGGTTTCGTCTTGATCTCGCGTTTTTGCTATTCTGATCCAAAGATCTAGTTTTTAGGTAAGTTATCTTTCTGATTATCCATATCCCCATTTTTTTTTTTCTTCATTTGTTTACGGTTTAATTTAACAATAAGAGGTATTAATTCAAACTTGGTTATGGTATGGGTTCATTTCCACTGGAAATCCTTGTTGCTAAGGAGACAACCGAGAGAGAGAGAGAGAGAGAGAGAGGAGTTTTGATAATTGATGGAAGATGTAGACCGGTGGATATAATTTCGTATGAACACTAAACAATCATACCTCTTAGATATTTGCCTGCTTTTGTTTCAAATACCATTTATTGTTATTTTATTTTCAATTTGCTTTTAAATGATTTTGTTTTTTGTCTATGTCAAGTGCTCATCTGTCAGTTTTTTAATCTGCGTTTTAAGAGCGTTTTAAACCTAATAGATTCCTTCTGGGTTCAACTGGAGTTGAAATTTCCCTTGTGTGGTTGGTCTCTGATAAGAGTTTTATCTTTTATGCATTTTTCTTAGGGACCAGATCAAATCTTGTGGGGAAATTGTTTCTTGTGGGTTTTTTTTTATGATTAATGATTTTCAGGGATGATGTAGTCGGTTACATTTTATGGTAGTGTTAGTTGATTTGATAGAATTTTTCTTGATTCATGGAATTTGTGTTGCATTTTTCAATAAGACTAATGATTTTCTTTCCCAAAATTCTTTCAGAATACAATCAAGATGAGCAGACCACAGGAGCCACACCGCCCCTTCTTTTCATTTGGGAATCCTTTCCGGATGATATCACCGAAGGGCTCTCAGTTGTCCCCAAGACTTCTTTCTTTATTGAATGCTTTTGAGGAAACCTTGGCTGAGAGATTGAGGAAACTTAATCCAAAAGACAAGAATGATGTTCTCAGCTTAACATGGATGAAATTGGCAATGGAGACACTTTGTGAGACTCATGCTGACATAAAAACCCTAATCACAAATCTTGAGCTCCCAGTAACTGACTGGGATGAAAAGTGGATAGATCTGTACTTGGACATCAGCGTGAAGCTGCTTGATATTTGCATTGCTTTTAGCTCTGAGCTTGCTCGGCTTAACCAAGGCCATCTCTTGCTACAATGTGTCCTTCATAATTTGGAGTCCGATGCTTCAAAGCAATTTGTGAGGGCCCGTTCTTCCCTTGATAGCTGGAGACAGCACATTAGTTCAAAGAATACAAGAATCCAGAACTGTCGCTCCATATTGGATGATCTAGTGAGATCACTAAATCTGCCAAAGGTTAAGAACTCAGCAAAAGGGAAGGTCTTGATGCGTGCAATGTATGGAGTTAAGGTGCAAACAGTGTTTGTCTGCAGTGTCTTTGCTGCTGCCTTCTCAGGTTCTTCAAAGAATTTGTCAGATTTGGATGTCCCAGATACAATTCTTTGGGCCCAGGCATATTCCAATTTGCAGACCAATGTAAATATGGAAATTAGAGAGATTTTTTCCAGCGGGAAATTCACAGTTCTGAAGGAATTGGATGCAGTTGATTTAATTGCTAAGAAATTGTATCCCTTGATTCAGGATGGAGTACAAGCCGTTGAAGTGGAAGCCTTCAAGAATTCTGTTTCAGATTTGAAAAAGGGAGCAGAAAAGCTTTCTCAAGGTTTGGATCTTCTTGCAAACGGAGTAGATGGCTTTTTCAAGGTAGTTTTGAGTGGGCGTGATGCTTTGCTTTGTAGTTTGAGAATATCTGGTCCTGTTGCTGATCCAACATTAGGAACTAATGTAGGAGAACGGATTGTTAGGTAAATGTACTTGGAGCTAACTATTCTAATGTATACAGATGGTTTAGCTGTGAGATGCTTTTCCATTTGTACTATCGCGAATGGCTTATCATGCTATGTAAGGTGTGAGATATATTATGTTATTTTGTTACTAGTTTGTACAAGTTTGTGGTACTATGTAATCTCAATGATATATGAAATGCTTTCAACTGTTATATCGAGGCATTTGACTTGTTTATTCTTTTAACAAACCCTCCCATATATTTGTCTCGGTTCCGTTAAAGAGCTGCTATTAACATGGCTTATATCTATCTCTATTGATGCTTACTACGTTCTTTGCTGTTAGACATTGGTACCGAAAGGTGGAATGCTACATCAAAGTCCATGGTGATGATGTGCGAACCTTTTCCACATATCTTATTGATGTTCAATGAGAGTTTTTCTTAATTGACAATTTCACCAGGTAAATTGGATGTGTTTCTCTTATTCCTTTTTGCCCCTTAGCTTGATGATGCAAGGCATTTCTGTCTATTCTGATGGTATGTTGTTTGGGTTTTGTCCATCAGCTAACAGGGTCTTAAATGGACTCCATCGAGAAATGCCTTGCCTTGTACTAGTACTAAAAGAAATTATTGACATGGATGGAAAGTGTTACGAAAAGCTATTTTGAAGAAAAGCTTAAAAGGCAAAAATTACGAAATCACGTTTGTTAACCGTATCTTTTGCGTTGCTTATTAAAAAGGACCAGAACCAGAATATTTCAAAGAGTGGATTGTTGCAAACTTGAATAGAGAAGCAATTGGTTGCTCCATCCTTTTTTAACCCAGTCTAGAAGTCTTCTCTTCTCTGGAATAAATAATGGTTTACCAACTAAAGAGGCTGGCTGAGGCTCCATCGTCCATCCTTGACCAAGTTGCAAAGACTATTTAATGGAAGGAAAAAATTGTGACATGACATCAGCAGCCTGTGCTCATTCTCTGGCTCTGCTTTGAAAATTCGCCTCCTTCCTTGCGTGTAAGGATATTACCGTGCCCAAAAGGTTACAAATAGTATTTTCATATATTTGACTTGGTCAAGATCGCAAACATTTTAATTACTAACATTTTCCAAAATTAAATTACTCTTTAAGTTTTCATACTGCAATTCAAATATTAAAAGTTTATCATAAAATAAGGGCATTGTTTTATACCTGTATTTTTGTTTACCTCAAATTGGTTCTTCAATAAGAAAGTACGAAGACACATGTTCCTTAAAAAAAAAAAATTTTTTTGATAGTCAACAATTCTGGATAGATAAATTATGGATCAGACCACTAATTGAAGGACACCAATACAAAATTTCACAAAAAGGTTAGTAGTTAAAACCCCACTTTAAGAAGTCGCATTTTTTCACGAGTGACCCAAAGCTTTTCCAGTTCAAAAGTTCACATTAATCACTACCCACCTCATTTTTCTTTCTTTTTTATTTTTATTTTTATTTTTATTTTTTTTCCACTCTCTCCGTCGCTACCCTGTGGAGTTAAAAAAACGCCCCTCTGGCCTCCACAGAAAAAGAGTCCAATATCTTTCCACCTACCGACGCGTCCTCCTCTAATCTAGCCCTTCCTTTAACTTCTCGCCCCTCTCTCTCTCTCTCTCTGTCTATCTGGCCTCCGCTCTATTCTCGGGTTTGGATTCGGATCCTCCAAGTTGCTTTTTCAGACACGTCAATGGAGTCGAGCTCTGGCTCCGCCGAGCATAACATCAGAGGAATACCTACTCACGGCGGACGTTACGTCCAGTATAATGTTTACGGAAACCTCTTTGAAGTCTCCAGAAAGTATTCCCCTCCTATTCGTCCTGTTGGCAGAGGTGCTTATGGTATTGTTTGGTAAGAGTGCTAATCATTTCCTTATTATACTTCTTTACCTACTTCTGAGAGTTCGGCTCTGGTTTTTTTTCTAGATCTTCAAAGCCGTTTTGTTTTGTTTAAGTAATTGATGGAAATTTATCTTCAGTTTGCTTAGGATTCATGTGTTTAGTTGTCTTGCATGCAGATAATAAAATTTTAGTTGAATTAGCTCTGTTTTTCAACTATAATTTGGATGATCTGTATTGGAACTTACAGAGTTGACTTAAATTTGGCGATTCAATTATGTGTTTGACATTTCTGTAGTCCTACCTTACCTTACCTCTGAAATATCATCTGTTTATTGTTAAATTCTTCAGCAGTTGTCTATTTATAAGAAAATAATCGTCAGCCCTAATTATTCTGTGAACCTTCAAGTAGCATGTGCTTAGGTTAATTTTGCTGAGGGTGTTCTAGATATTTCTAGTTTTGGCAAGTCGGAAACTAATAGAGCCAATATATCGTCAATTATTAAACTATAAAGGAAATAATAAAACGTTCCATTAAGTTTCGACTTTCAAATGATATTTATGGCATAGTTGCTTTAGAATCATCAGTCTGCTTAATGATTATTTTCTTTTCATTCTGTAATATTTCTGCAAGAGTATGGAAACTGTTTTCTTACATGTCCAGACGAATGCTGTTCTAATGGACTATAGATGGTTACATTTTCCTTATATTTGACTTAATTGTTTTGTCTTACCAACAATGCGAAGGAAGATGTGATTTTTTATTTCCTTCAGTGCTGCCGTAAATTCTGAGACACGAGAGGAAGTTGCCATTAAGAAGATTGGTAATGCTTTTGACAACCGGATAGACGCGAAAAGGACTCTGCGAGAGATTAAGCTTCTTCGGCACATGGACCATGAAAATGTGAGTTTCTTTGCTGTTGTTATACTTGTGAATTCACATATTAATTTTGTTATATTGCTTTTTGGAAGTTTCTTCAGTTTGTTGTTCTGTTTGATTCAGTTATGGCAAGAGCAATGTTTGTAGTTCTACACTTTCTTTTTTCTTCGTTAATCTTGATGCATGAGTTTATCAATTTAAGTGATTTCTTTTCATTGTTGCAAGCAAGTTTTTTAATTAAGGATGTTACTAGTGCATGTTGTAAATTATCGATTGGTTGTTGGATTCCTCCTTTGTATTACGCCTAAGTCCTGAATGCTTAGCTATAAGCTAGACAAGTGAGAAATTTACAGTAGTACTAAAATTATTTTAGTGACTGGCTGGTTATGAAATATGGTATTACTGCTTTTTTTTTTTTTTTAGAGTTTGATCATTATCTTAACTCTTTTTTAAAACATTTATTATATTTTACAAATTTTATGTTGTCTACATTGGAGGAATTATAGACTTGTATCTCTTCTTTTCTCCCAGGTTGTTGCTATCAAAGATATCATACGACCTCCCCAAAAGGAGAACTTCAATGATGTTTACATTGTTTATGAATTGATGGATACTGATCTTCATCAAATAATACGCTCCAACCAACCATTGACAGATGATCATTGTCGGGTACGCACCATTCTTGTTCTTGGATTGCTGGTTTGCTGTAAACACTGTACAGTTGTAGCTAGAAATTATTTTCTCTTGCCCTTGTGATTAATAAGCTGCACATGCATTCCCTTTGAGGCATTGGACTTCAAATTATTTTTCACACGTCCATCATTCCCTCTTCCTTTTTATCTTTCTTGATTTAAAACGAGTAGAAAAGTAATTTAGAATAGAGCCAAACATTGGCAATGTGTGATGGCAGGTAGCAACAATCATGAACTAACTTTAGGTTGGGGGAGTAATAGTATGGACTTGCTCTGAACTTTGTGAAATTTGATTCTCCACCTTCACATTTTATATAATTGTATTGAGAGTTGAGGTCTTCCATCAACATTAACAACCCCTACCAAAAAAAATAATAATAGAAAAGGAAGGAAAGGAAATCCTTGGCTGCATGTGTTAGCCCTTGCAACTGTCCCAGTGAGGGAAATGTAATATATGGTATAGTTAGTAGTTATCAATGAAAACATGTATAAGCATAAATTACCAAACACATTTTTGACAATTTTTTTGGTACTTTGGCAGTACTTTCTATATCAATTGCTCCGAGGGCTCAAATATGTACATTCAGCACATGTTTTGCATCGTGATCTAAAGCCTAGCAATTTGCTCCTCAATGCTAATTGTGACCTTAAGATTGCAGACTTTGGTCTTGCAAGGACAACATCGGAAACAGATTTCATGACCGAGTATGTTGTTACTCGTTGGTATCGAGCACCAGAATTACTCCTTAATTGTTCAGAGTACACTGCAGCAATTGACATATGGTCAGTGGGTTGTATACTCGGTGAGATAATGACACGCCAACCTTTGTTTCCTGGTAAAGACTATGTTCATCAGCTGAGGCTTATCACAGAGGTATGTTTTTGGACATTTCTCACCGAATCTTGCATACACTATCCTTGCTGCTATTTTTTTCTAAAAACCATTTTGGTCTTATTTGTTGTGAAGGCCTAAAATCTTTTGTTTCACTAATTGTCATGTGTCATTATTGTTTTAGAGTCTTTGGTGTTCCTGGGTTATGTGCCTTTTTGCCTCTCTCATGTTATCCTTCTCTCTTCCTCTCTCTCGATCTCTCCTCTCTGTCCTTTTCCTTTATGTGTCTCCCAATCTCTTGATGCATGGCTTTATTTCTTGTGAGTGAATTGTGGAATTACATGAGCATAGTCCTATTTGTTTTGCTCACTTCTGCTGGACAAAAGCTTAATTTCAACATGCATGCACAAATGCTTAGTGTCTGGCTTGTATAGAAATGAAATATATAGCTGGATATATGAAACTGCCTGTTCTCTATTTACAGTATCAGTTACTTCAAACTCAAATATGTAATCTATTGATTTTTCTTTTCTCTAGCTCATTGGCTCACCAGATGACTCCAGCCTTGGTTTCTTACGAAGTGATAATGCTCGACGATATGTTAGGCAGCTTCCACAATACCCAAGGCAGAATTTCACTGCTCGATTTCCTAATATGTCTGCAGGTGCTGTTGATTTGTTAGAGAAGATGCTAGTGTTCGATCCAAACAGGCGCATTACAGGTACAACGTGACTTGATTTTAGTTTCTAACGAGTGGTTTGTAGTGATGAAATTAATTCCCTTTCCCTGACAATTAGTGTAGTGGCAAGTTAAGATTTAAGGAGAATGGCAAAAAATAAGAATAGATTGTGGGAATCAATGTCATATTTGTTTCTCTTTCTAAGAACTTGCCTCGTCAATTATGTAGTTTTTTTTTTTCCAATTTATGTGGAAGTATATGTGTTATCCATGAGTAAAAATTGCATATAATTTACAAAACAAGCTGAACATTTTTTTTTTTTTTACCTTGTTAAATTTATTAAATGGTCATATTTTGCTTATTGACAATGCTTATCCCATTTTATTTCCTTCTTTGCAGTTGACGAGACTCTATGCCATCCTTACTTGGCACCTCTTCATGATATCAATGAGGAGCCTGTTTGCCCAAGGCCTTTCAACTTTGATTTTGAGCAGCCATCATTTACTGAGGAAAATATCAAGGAACTCATCTGGAGGGAATCTGTAAAATTCAATCCAGATCCATAGATAATATGTGTTGTATCACGCCTAGGAATATATTTGATGACTCCAATTCAAATCATAATTATACAAAATCCTTCAGAATCTCTGGGAAGATAAAGAGCACTCTGGTTATAATGTGACTCACATGTGATATTGAAGTGATAAAGGATAGGTTTCAAGTTAACTGAGAAGAACCTGGTTGGCATATGGATAGACCAACTGGATTTGGGGTGGGTGGAGATATAGAGTGGTTGTTGGACTGACAAATCTGTATTGTTTTTGGAATGGGGATGCTGCATGGTTCTGAGACCCAACATCTGTAGTTTTTTCTCAGTTTCTTCAAGTTGATTTGAATGTGAGAAATTTATTTTGTTTGCTAGGCTAGTCGACTTATATCGTTTCCCATTTTTGACATGGAACAACTGAAATATGTGAAGCGTGAAATTAATTTTTCTGATGCAATGTCTTGCTAAATGTTGTAAGAAAGCTACACTATTCATCCGTACTCCTGATGTTAGGATGTAGGAGATTGTGTTTGCCTGTTTGGCACGACTGTATTATATGAAAGATCTATTCAATATAAGCATTTCTTGTCTTATTACTATCAAATTCCATCCTCAAATCTGGGTACGCTTCTGTTTTTCTGAAACGCCGAAATATAGTTTTCATTAATGCATAACAACTATTCCAAACCATGTTTAATTATATGCTACATGTCTAGATCAACACTATGCTTTTTAATAGAAGACAAAGCACGTTAATCTCTAAGAGCTCTTATGTTGCAGAGCTCATCTTTGCTTATCCAAGAAAAAGAAAAAGAAATTCAAATTTAATTCATCCCATAAGTGCACTTTTGGAGCTTTACCGAGTCAATCGGTATATTCTCAGGTGGAAAGTCGCACTCTGTCAGTTTCTCCGGCCCTTGGTCAGGCAACAAATCACACGGTCGAGGACTAACCCCACTTGTAATCCCTGCAATCTCAGTGCATGTCCATGGTACCTTCTTGGCCTTAGCTGCCATTCCAATTGTTACATTAGAAATGCAAATTTCCTTAAATGGGTCGCCGGAGATCCCTTCCAACCTTGCAGCCATGGTTACATTATCAGCAACCATGTCCCTGTAATTAATCCCTTGAATAACCGGCAATGCATTTGGGTCATAGTTTTTATCAGCATGTGACCCATAATTTCCGGTCATCCAAAAGACCCATTTCATAGTATGCATAGTCATTCTCTTTACATATATGTCTTTAACAAATCCTCCTCTGCCTACGGCAGTTTTGATCCTGACCCCTGATTCTGTATGAATGGCTGTAATGTCCTCTGCTCTAACATCTTGGATTCCACCGGACATTTCACTTCCTAAGGCAATTGTAGCACTGTATGGGGAAATACACGTGAGCCGTCTGATGATTAGTTGCTTTGTTGGCATCCCAAATGCAATCCCATACTCATCCCAACCGCTTTTAACGGCCACACAATCATCTCCAGAGACTATGTAACAGTCTTCTATTTTAGTGTTTGTACAAGAATCTGATCATCATAAGTAAACAAACATAACGTTAATTAATTAATTAATTATATGGATAAGGAATTTTTTTTTTTCAAGTATAAATTGAAAATTAAAAATCAACCTGGGTTGATGCCATCTGTGTTTGGAGATGAGACCGGAGCAAGGATAGTAATGCCTTGCACAAGAATATTACTGCAATTCCACGGTTAAAAGATTAAAAAAAGAAGGGAATTGCTTCACGCTCAAAGGATTAAAATTAAAGGAAAATTCCTAGTTCCCTATACCTGCTGTAAACAGGATGAACGTTCCATGATGGGGAATTTAGGAGCGTTAGATTAGAAATTTGGATATTTTCAGAAAACATGATCTCAATCAAGTAAGGTCTGGTGTATTTGAGCTTGCCCTTGTGGAATTGCTGCCACCAAAATGCACCCTGACCATCAATTGTGCCATTTTTCCCTGCATTTATTAATTATACCAAATTATTTACATATTTAGCCCTTTCTTTAAAAGCTACAAAAAAAAAAAAAAAAAAATTGCTTTGGTTCTTAATTTACCTGTAACAACAACATCAGTCAGGTTTGTTCCAAATATAAGACTGGCATACCTTCCGGCGGCTGCATCCCTTCCTCTGCCGTACGATGGCAGAGGTTTCAGCAATGGCCATTCCTTCAAATCCTAAACAATTTTTATTTCATAGTTAATTAATTAATCACAGGATAAAGAAAAGAAAAACAAAATTTAGCGAAGTTATGAGTTACAGAAAGGATAAAAACCTGAGAAGCAAGAAGAACAGCATCCTGATGAAGGAAGAGAGTGAAATGACTGATAAGGCTGAAACTACCGGTAAGCCATTTTCCGGCAGGGACAAAAAGTTGCGACCCACCATCTGACGAATACTGACTTAGATGATTAATTGCATCTTGAAATGCCTTAGTATTTGATTTTACGCCATCTCCAACTCCTCCAAAATCTGTTATTGATGCACTATGAGCCCTGCAATTTATAGCATTGTACTCAAATGACTCCAAGATCCTAGCTTTTCTGCTCTCTGCCCCTCTTAGGCTCGCTAATGCTAGTACTACCACCACTGAAATTATATTAGCCACCTGCATATTACAAAGGACACAAAAAAGCAGAGATAATTGGTCAATACACGTTCTACAAGTTGTATGCCTTTGTATATGTATGTAAATTACTGCTCGACTTCTGTTTGTTGTGTGAGAAAATATGAAGGAAAAGAAAAGAAGGGAGGAAAATGTAGTTTAGAGTATTACTTGAGTTTTTTTGGGAGATTTCGACAATAACTCCATTGTTGGATTTTCTTATGTAGTGTTATGGAGACAAAAGAGGTATTTATAGGGCAGAGAAAGTTTTGGAATAGTGTGAAATTAGAAACTAACAAGTAGAAACACCTTGAATTTTGTAACTTATTATAATTGCATTTTATTTTTAATTTTTTAAAATAAAATAAAATTTAAAAATTAATCAAACCCAATAATTAAAATAAAAGAAAAAAAAAAGTGCAATAAATGGCAAAGTAGTGCATTTTTAGTTATTAAGCCGTTAAATTATTAAAGAATGGGTTATAAGGCTGCTTGTGGTTCTTACTTCTTAGAAGTAAAGAAACGCTTTTTCGTGATTTTTAATTCTTTTAACTTGATTTCAACTTGCCAGACTGACATCATAGTGACAGAAATATTTTTCACTGCACAAGACAACAACTCCCACAGAAAAGCCAGCTTCTTTATCCTCTAGTCTAGCTTCATATTCGATACCAGTTAACATATTAACATGTCTTCATCTGAGATTCGAATTTGAAAACAACAAAGTTAATCTTGGATCGTTGAAGTATTAGGTATTTTAATTAAGAAATGTTGAGAGGCATGTGAAGTTAGTTAAATTAATGTCTTCAATTTCTTCTATGGCTTTGGTTTGGTTTAACAACTATAAGAATTAAAGACCATGCTTCAATTATTGTAATATGAACTCTTGGACCTTAATTTGCAGCCTATAATTAAGAAAATGGACCATATTAACCTTAAGCATAGAAAAAAATGTTGAGTGGAAGCTATGGTGACTGAGATATGTAGCAAATGCCCACACTCCTTCACTTCCAAAATTTTCATGCCTTTAATCATTATATATTTAGCATGTCACCACCCTCCCACTCCAAAGTTTCTCCACCTTCACCACTATTAAAACTATATAGAATTCTGTCTAGATACTGTTTTTATCTTCTTTATTGTTATTCTACGTTGATTCGGGATTCAAAATATGATGTTTGGGCAATTTTTTTCTCCGTGAATTAGTTTTTGGAAAGCGGACTAGGCCCATTCATTTTATAATATAGTATCAGAATCTATCTTGCTTCAATATTTGTCTACCCTCAAATAGATTTGTCTGAAAATTTTACACTCTAAATGTTCATGACAGTAGAGAATGTGTTAAGCTTAGTTCATTTTATAATATTTTTTTTCTTGAAATTAAAAAATATATGTAAAAAAGAAAGGGAATAGGGAACCTATTAAGCAAAGAATTTGTAACTAGGATGAGATTATAATTTAGGGTAAGCCATTAAAGGATGTATAAGATTAAGGGTTCTCCGAAATTGTGGAATTTGGTTGGGTGGAGAAGCAGAGAGCATGTGAGGGAGGGGCTCGTTAGGGGAAGGTTGTTGCATTTTGGTTTGTTCTGTTGGAAAGTAGTTAGTGGGTCCTATCTACTTTTGGCTTTCTATCTCGAATTTGGCATATCTCAACAATCAGTAATTCAATCTCGTGAGCTTTTCTTTCTCTTTCTCAGACTCTCACTCTTACACCGTCCCACTAATGCCGACCCAATTCACGGGTGTTCTTAAAATATTGTGCCCCACTTCTTTCCTCATCATTTCAATGTTGGCCACAATACTTTTGGGTCCCCCCATCGACGAAAGGTTAGATCCGACCGGGGATGGATTTTGGTTCAACCTGTAATTAAAATTGTAATAGTTTATTAATTTTAGGAGAGGATTGCGGTGTGTTTGGTCACGGGAGCATTATCAACACAATTGTCCTTTCAGATTGAAAAAAACAGCTACTTCGCAGACAAAAAACAATTCTAGTTTAGTCCTGGAGTGGGGTTTCACGTGACCCCTGTCCGTTTTTCTTTTTTACTTTCCACAACAAACTTCGCTTTTGTCCCATCCTAGAAAATTACTGCCACCTGAAATTTCCAGAAATTCAACATTCATCACCAACTCACTTTATGGTTCTTTGAAATTCAGGACTAAATCAACTGTTCTGGTCTTTACGCGGACGATATGACCTTTTTGCTGTTCAATTTCGTTTCTTTGAAACGAGTCATATGGCGAAAATTAAGGACATTTGATTAAGAGAGAACTGATTTATTGATTAATATGTTTTTTTAAAATTGTTTTAGTTTTGATAAAACGTGTATTCTGTTTTTGTTTCATTTGTGTATTTTTTTTTATTAAAAAAAAAAAAGACTTTTATTTCTCACATTTCTTTTCTTTCTTCTTTTAAGTGTTCGTATCATATTCCTAGCTTTATCTGTGAAATTTGGGTCAGTGATTGGAGTTCGAGGATCGGGCCTCAACTGGCCACAAGGCTCGCCTGTCTTGGACAGAAACACGGCCCAATTTAGCAGGACACTGTAAGTACGCGGCTTCGGCCCATATTATCAATTTTTTTTTTTTTTTTTTTAATTTTTTTTTTTTTTTTTTGGGCAAGAGTTTCATGGTACTATCCCAAAAATATAAGGTTTAAAAGCTAATCACATGAATCAATTCTATCGTATTATAAATAAAAGATAATTATCTTTCAAAAAAGAAAAAAAAAAAAAAGATAATTTGATAATTTTTCTCAATCCAATGTATATGTAAACTTTTTTTTATCTAGAATGTATTAAGAATGAAAATAACTTATCGTTTTACGATAGTCATGTGTAAAAATATTAATATTCATTATTAAATTGGATGAAGAACTTATTAAAAATGAAGGAAGGTTGTCCTCCAATCAATGTAAAAATTAAAAAAATAATAAATTTATTAATCTTGCTATATTAAAGAGATTCTATGTAAAGCAACTTGTCGCAAAAGTGACGCTAGAAAGGGAATTTATCAAAATCGACATTAATGTCTCATTGGGGCGGTCGCGATTGCAAAGATAGAGGTTTCGTCCTACTCACTGAAAAGAGACATCTAACCTAAAACCCGAAAGGGAATAAGTGGACACGTTAATTAATTAGTTGTCGTGTAGAAATCAGTAATTGTCTCATAAAAGGAATGAATATTTCGGATAACATTAAAAAATAAAAAATTTTCAAAACCAACTGAAATATCAAAGATGGGATTTCGGAAAAAAAAAAAAAAAAAAGATAATTATAATTTTCTCATCCAATGTTATAGTATACTTTTTTTTTCTAGAATGTATTAAAATTGAAAATAACTTATGTTTACGATAGTCATGTGTAAAATAATAATAATCATTATTAATTTGATGAAGACTTATTAAAATGAGGAAGGTTGTCCTCAATCATATGTAAAAATTAAAATAAAATAAAAATTTATTAATCTTGCTATATTTAAGAGATTTATTAAAGCAACTTGTCGCAAAATGACGGCTAGAAGGGATTATCATCGACTTAATGTCTCATTGGGCGGTCGAGATTGCAAGATAGAATAGAGTTCGTCTACTCTAACTTGAAAGAGACATCTAACCTAAAACGAAAGGGAATAGTTTGGCCACGTTTATTAATTAGTTGTCGGTAGAATCAGTAATGTCTCATAAAGAATTGAATATTTCGGATAAAAAAAATAAAAAATTCAAAACCAACTGAAAATCAAAGATGGGATTTCGGTTCTGATATAATAAGGGAAAAAGCAAAGATGCTTTGATCTAGGACTGTTTCCTGTCAAGGAATCTTAATTTTAGAAGCCAAAAACAATTGCTACCGGTGGTGAAGAAATGGAGTCAACGGCATTGAATGCAAACTCTCAGAAAGATTTCTTCTTATTTATCGGCCAGAAAGAGGATCCCAGCTTTTATTTGCGATGAGCTAATAGATAAGATTCCGCTAACATCTTTTCGATCTGTCCATACATGATTATCTTTAGATGATCAGTTTTTAATTAATTTAACTTGTCTAGAGCGAACTTATAAGTCCATCTACGGACCAAATAAATAAAAATGAAAATTTTTTAAAAATTTATTTGGCTTTACCCTTTCCTTTTCTTTTCTCTATGATAAGAAATACTCTCTTTTCATTTAAAAAAAAAAAAAAAAGAAAAAATTAGTATGTAGCACAAATAAAATGCATGCATGTAGTGATCCTTTATATTTAATTCTCGTGTAGTATATTTTTTGCTACTTGTCCTTCATTCACATTTCCAAGTTTTAGGTGTCGTACTGTGTTTGTGTACTTTTTGCCTCCAGATTCTTAGCGTTGTTATGGCAAAAGAAATGCATGTGGTAATCCTTCCATGGTCAGCCTTTGGCCACATAATGCCATTTTTCCAATTCGCCATTGCATTAGCCAAAGTTGGAATTGAAGTCTCCTTTGTATCAACTCCAAGAAACATAAAAAGACTCCCTAAACTATCTTCATCAAACTTGGAAACTCAAATACTCTTTGTGGAGCTTCCCTTGCCAACTTTGAGTGGTAAATATCCGCTACGGGAAGGAGGTGAGGCCATAGTAGACATCGCGGCCGAGAATATTCAATATCTGAAAATTGCATATGATCAATTACAATATCCCTTCAAGCAATTTATTGCTAGGAAAATGCCCAACTGGATAGTTGTCGACTTCTGTTCCTACTGGGCTGCTGATATTGCTAAGGAATATAGTATTCCACTTCTATATCTGTCTGTTTTCTCAGGTGCTATGAGAGCTTTTAGCCGGAGATGGTCAAAAGAGACTCAGGTCAACGCCTGAAAGTCTAACTTCGCCACCGGAATGGATAGATTTCCCTTCTTCTATAGCTTTCCGAAGCTATGAGGCGCGTAGTTTCCATCCTGGTTTCTACGGAGAAAATGCCTCAGGCATAAAAGATGCAGAACGGGTAGCAAGAACAATGGCAGCTTGCAGAGCTGCACTTGTCCGCAGCTGCACTGAATTTGAAGGCGAGTACCTAAACATATACCGGAAAATTCTGGGGAAGCCTGTGATTCCAATAGGTTTGCTCCCTCCAGAGAAACCTGATGGGAAAAGAGAAACTCTCGATGGAATATGGAGGAAAATTTTTGAATGGCTTGATAATCAAGAAGAAAAATCAGTTGTGTTCGCTGGATTCGGTAGCGAGTGTAAACTGACAAAAGATCAAGTTTACGAGATAGCATATGGATTGGAGTTATCGGAATTGCCATTTTTGTGGGCGCTTAGGAAACCCAGTTGGGCCGTTGAAGATAATGCTGATGTTCTGCCGGCAGGATTCAGAGACAGGACATCAGAAAGAGGGAAAGTGTGTATTGGATGGGCACCGCAACAAGAAATACTAGCACATCCATCAATAGGTGGATCATTGTTTCACTCTGGATGGGGTTCTGTTATAGAAACTCTACAGTATGGGCATTGTCTTATCGTTCTTCCCTTTATTGTTGATCAAGGGGTGAATGCCAAGTTACTAGTGGAGAAAGGCTTGGCTTTAGAGGTAGACAGGAAAAGTGATGGATCATTTACCAGAAATGATATCAGTAAATCTTTGAGACTAGCTATGGTTTCATTAGAAGGAAAGAAATTAAGGGATCGAGCGAAAGAAGCTTCTGCCATTTTCGGAGATGAGAACCTGCATCGGAACTACATAGCTAGTCTTGTGGAGTATATGAGGAACGGAGTTTGAGATCAGATGCCAGAACGATGCATAGTAATCTTCTTTTCTGTGACTATTGTCTATCATACGACAATAAATTTATATGTAATATATGCAAAATTATATGAAAATAAAACAATTTCAACAAACCACCATTCTTAATCCAAATTCCCATATAATAAACGGCATTGGTAAAAAACAGCAGAGTACCTGAAATGCATGTGTTAGGTTTCGCGACTATTTGTTTCATTAACATATTCCATATGATTGAAAGGAAAAAGAGTTGAGTTGGTTTTCAACAATTTACCCACCAAATAGCTTTACTCTAAAAACCTGAACTTGCAAAATTCATTTTGCTGCACAAAAATATCATCCACACAACATTAGGAAAATCACGCAATCTGATGTACAACTTTAAAAGAAAACATGCTTTGTCCATGTCTTCCATTCATTTTCTTTTCTTTTATGTACCCAATTCCCATTTCATCTGCACAATATGGATGAGCAAAACTCTTAATTTCTGTCAACGTCAGTCAGCTTCAATTCTGCCTTTACATCATAATGATTTTCAAGTGGAGTAGTTTCTAAGCACCATATGCATAGGCAGGGAACCATCTGACCTCTAGCATAAAGAACCTCATCTATCTGCAACATCACTAACTGGATTCTTGCCAGGTAAATTTATTACCCAATGCACCACCATGATTCTGTAATATCTTGACTGACTGCAGAACAATATTTTGTTCCTCGGAGAAGAGTTCATATTTGCTCTGTAATAAGAGTATCAAAGCAGGTTTAGTAAAAGGATAAGTTTCTTTTTGTAAAAGAAAGAACAACCATGCAAAACCCTTCAAGAAATGAAGACAATATCACTTAATATGCAATTAATCAACAACATGACTGTCAAGAGATGATTAGGGAGTTTATTTATTCATAGAAACAAAAGTGCAGATGCTACTTCTGAAATTGTATTGCTTCTATTTGTGCAGCAAGATTTTGAAAATATCATTCAATGCTTGAATAACTAAATTTTTAGGAGTCAATTTTACAAAAACTATTTTGGATATAAATAGTTGCTTGGTTTGATGAAATTGTAGTTACTATTTATATCCAAAGAGGACATCATTCCCCTTATCTTTCCTTTCTTCAATCAATAGTATCTTTTAAACTGGTTATCCAAGGGAAAAAAGTAATGGGCTCAGAATTTATGATATGCTAATGATTGAAGTCTAATGTCCAAAGATTTGCTGGACTTGGGAGATCACAAAATTAAGCACACACATCTCATCTCACATGTGTAAGTAAATAAAAATGCCAAAACACTGTATAGTAAGGATGAAAAGGTTGGAGAACTCACCAAGGGTTTGAGATTGCATCCAATAGTCAGTTCTGCAAAAGAGCCTTCTATCCTAGACAAGAAACAGTATGGGGGCTCCTTTCCCAAGAAAACTTTTGGGTTTGACTTTAGCATGTTTTCAATGTCATTTGATACTTGAGGTATCTTATCCAAATCTTCAATTCTCACAGGAATTTTAGTGAGCATAGCACGCCATTGGGCACGTGATTTATTCACAATAACCTATAAAGCAGCAACCACATATACAACAGCCAACATCACTAGTAGCATAAAAGAATTTATAAATATAAGGATGCTACATGAATATCAATATAACTAACAAAAATAACATCTCATCATTAAGCAGAAGTGCATCATATGCATTGTGTGTGCTCAGTTGTGAGAGACAGAGCAAGGAAATATGCCCATCCATTGCAAAGCAAGCAATCTAAGTGAGTGTGTTTCTACTGGGTTTGTCAGCCTATTCTTGCATATGCATTTGGCAAAAGTATCCAGCTGGGTACCTAGGGTGAAAATGGAGTCTCTGGTCAAAGTAGCTCTTCTTCCTTAAGTGCTAATAGGACCAAGCTTCCTGTTTGGTGCTTCCACCAGAAGCAGGTGCAAATAAATAAAACAATCGAGAAATAAACTTGTATTCACTGGAAGACTATATATTTATAGATTTGACCACCTAAGAGCAACCAAATACTAATCCCAGAATTGCAGCAGTTGCAACACAGAGTTATTCTTAAAAGTATTTCAATATTCAAAATAAATATAGAGTAATGTATTGAACGTAAGAGAGTAATGTATTGAACATAAGAGAATTAAGCATGTATACGGGATAATGAGGTAAAACATTTATACTATGAGTATTGAAAATGAAAAGACAATCTGTATGGGAAAAAAGGACCCACCTGGCTAGAAAATAATGAATTTGGAACTGAGACAGGAAATTTCTCAGGGTTCAGCAACACTGTATTGGTAAGTCCCATTTCAATCACTTGACCTTCTACAGATCCAGCCTAGAATAAGAATATCTCAATGATTTTTTGTAATGAAAAGACATGACAGTAAGAGAAAGTGATGACCTATTCTCCTATTCTATCCCACAGCCCACAAAATTCGTTTTCCCTTCATTTCTTTACCCACCCAACTTGTCCCAACAAAGAGTGAATATAAACTTCAGTTGAGGTTATTCAGCATACAGCTAAAACAATCATAAATAACAATTGATCAAACTTATTAATCATTCTTACTAGGATGGCCCCAATCACTGCTTCAGAAAATTTTTTTAATCCATTTAAGGACATAAAATTGAATCAACCAAGAGTACTTGACATGCTCAAGTCACCTTTATAGTATCTCCAAGTGAAAAAGGCTTAGAAAACTGCAAAGACAACCCACTGAGCACATTCCCAAGGACATCTCTAGCAGCAAAAGCAGTGGCCACCCCTGAATAGGATTTTAATAAGAGATGAGTCAAATGTTAATATATGCTACAAATTAATAGTAACATGGCAGCACAGATTGATTATAAGGGGAAAATGTTTAGATTATGATAAAGTCAGAAATATATTATACTGGATCTTAGAAGAGGCAAACAAATGGAAATACAGAAAACAAAAATCATAGAATTTATTCTATAAATGAAAAAACAAACAAAAATTTTTCCATTCTTATTGGTATAGAGAAAAAACAACTATAATTTAAAGATTTTCAAGTTATAAACTTGGTCTAAACATAATATTACAGTGTACACCTTCCCCATGTATACCTTCCTCATCTTCAGATTACAAAATAATTCAAATGAAACAGGAATTGTAAATGTTAAAAATATAGAAAATGATAAAAATTAAATCATTCACTATTTTCTTTACAGAAATTGTTCTTACCGTCAATAATGAACCAGGATAAAGGAGCACACACTATTGACAATAACACTCACCTCCTATACCACCGACAGTTAAAATAGACTGCACAGCCACTCCACATGCCTCAGCTGAGGCCATTAGCGCAATAACAAAAAGACCAATAGAAGAAATTCGGTCAAGAGTTAACATCCTTTCTTTATCAATGAATGACAAACTCTGAGCACCCAATGCACGACTAAACACATTTGTCTTCCACCGATATAGAAACCAGACAAATGAAACAACAACTGCACCCCTCCATCCCTGTTCTAGGTACTGTGAGGCTATGGTAGTTGGCGCTGTGATTGCGGCACTGCAAGTCAAAGCATCAATGATGAAAAAAACCAAAACAGAAAACTGCAAAACCAAATATGATAGAGACAAACATTATAGTTGGAACCACTAACATTTTTAAAAATGCCATAAAAGTAACCAAATAACGCACAGGATCCTCTAAAGCACCCCAAAAGCTGTTCTCATATGGAACTGGCTCCCCTGATAAGCTTTTAGATATCATTGCAGCAGGGGTTTGAGCAGCATATTTATGACACAGTCTCAAAAGCTTAGGCATCACCAGCCACGCCAATATAGTACCAGCGAAAGTATAACCAACTGGAACAATCACATCTTTGAGATACGGATGTGAATCAAGCAACTGCTGACCATAAGGGATCAGTTCATCAAACGCCTCTTTAGTCTTTTGTCCGATAGGAGTCATTACATCAAGAGCATTCTGCCAAGCATCTCTAACCCTGTCAGTCCAGTCAATTCCAGCGTCACCGCTGTTACCAACATTCCCAGTACTAGAAGCCGCTGAAACATCCTGAGCTTTGTCAACCTTATTGACCCCAGAAGATGATGAAAATGACCGAGAGCTCAATACAGAGTTCATCGATGCGGTTGAGAATATGGATGCTTTCAAGCATTGGGTAACAACATAAGTTTTAGAACTCAAAATTTTATGACGATCATTTGCCTTATATGTACCTACTGTGAACTCTTTTCTTTCATAATCTTGATTTGAAAGAGCATATGAGGATCTTACAAGACTTTGATTACCAAATCTCGCAGGTTTTGTGAACAGGTTGGCGGAATGCAGTTTTGAAGGGTTAACGGAACTACATAGTGACTTTAGCCTTGAAATCCTAAGTCCAGCCATTACCACAGCTAAGATAATTAGCTAATACGAAGCCCCAAAAACACTACCAATCTGCAAAAACATACCCAATGTAGAAGGCTGTAAGCAAACTCGAAAAATGTATTCCAATACATACATATATTATATCAACCGAAATAGCACACTATACATCTAATTAATATAATATAACAATGCAACTGAGAAAAATGTAACAATAAACCCTAAATTGCCGTTTGGATGCTAAGGAAATGCAGGAAACAAAAGTAGGCGGGCTACAATCGCGAGCTCGACTAGATTAGAGGATTCTCTTTCTTTTATGTCCATTTTTTCCAAGCAACCAAACAATTTTTCAAAGTAAAAAAATCAATGATCTGCTTACCCGACTGCGATGAGTGAATTTCGAGCCACATGAGGTTTTGGGTTTTGGTGTATAATCCTTCGAATTGAACGAACTTAAACATTTTTCTTTGCTTGGTAGAGGGTTTATTGGAGATACAGAGAAATTTCAAGAGAACGGGAGTAAGGTGTATGTATTCCCGACACACAAATTGCCATATGTTCGTTGGATGTTTTTGACTCCGCTTCGTAAGATCATCCAACGGTCAAAAATTTATGATTGAAATTAATTTTAAAATTACTATCATCGTTTTCTTTTTATAAAAATCATATTACTGCATTATTTCAATAAATTTGTAAGCATAAAAATATCATACTTTTGCACCATCTACATTAAAAAAATATTCTAATTAGGTGGTGGACATTATTTATTTAGGATTTGATTATGAGATTAAAAATTAAATAAATTATATTATTATACAATTGAAAATTTATAATTTACAGATAAATTTATAAACTTTTTTTTATATATATTGGCAATTTTTAAAACGTATGAATAGATTTTTTTTTTTTGTTTGAAATAAAGAAATCCATATAACTTAAAAGAGGCATGCCATGTTTGGATTCTTTAATCATATCTTCTTAAATTAACGGCTCCTTTTCTTCTTCTTCTTCTTCGTTAAATTCATCTGAAAAAATTGCCTGATTTTTCTTCTTATCTTCTAAATTTATCTGAAAATAAAAAAAAAAAAAAACGAGAGAGAGAAAGAATGAAAGAAAAGGAAAATCTTATATGGAGTAGCAACAATATTAAAACCCCAGGCAGTGTTACTGCTACTGTTTCAAAATTAATGTTTGGATTTATTCTCTTGCTGGCTTTTCCCTACATCTTTTACTCTTTAAATTTCTTGTTCTCTTCAAATCCAACAAATAAGCAATATCTCCGACTTCCTAATCCTTCACCACCTACCTCAGCTTTAGAGCCTCTAAAGAACACCCACCCTAAAGCCCAGCAAAACACCACAGTCCACCATATAGCTTTTGGCATTGCTGCCTCCTCCAAGCTATGGAAACATAGAAAAAACTATATCAAATTATGGTGGAGACCTAATGAAATGCGAGGCATAGTTTGGTTAGATGAGCCTGTGAACAAAGACCCAGATGATGATGATGTTTTACCACCAAGAATGATTTCAAGAAGCGCATCAAATTTCCATTACAATCAACCTGAAGTTCATCAGTCGGGGATACGAATATCGAGGATGGTATCGGAGACTTTAAAGCAAGGCATGAAAGATGTAAGGTGGTTTGTTATGGGAGATGATGATACAGTTTTTGTTGCAGATAATTTAGTTAGGGTTTTATCTAAGTATGACCATAATCAGTACTATTATATTGGAAGCTCATCGGAAAGTCATTTGCAGAACATTTATTTTTCTTATGGTATGGCTTTTGGAGGTGGTGGTTTTGCTATCAGTTATCCATTAGCGAAAGCTCTTGCCAATATGCAAGATAGGTGCATAGAGAGATACAGTGGCTTATATGGGTCTGATGATCGAATTCAAGCTTGCATGGCTGAACTTGGAGTTCCTCTCACAATAGAACCAGGATTTCACCAGGTTACTGTTTCTTTCTCTCTCTTTATTTTTATTTTTTTTCTTGAATTTCACTGGGGAATTGATTTATATTTTGTCGCCTATAATCTGTTACAGATGTTTATCTGTAATACAATTCTATCTATAATAGTAGTCCTAAATCAAATGATTTTGAAATTTCCATACATCAAGTTTAATAAAAAAAATTAATTTTTTCCATGTGAATAGTCAAAAGTACCCTCCCTATAGATAAGTCCTTTCCATATATATATATTTTTAATATTAGTTATTTATTATTGAACAGTTCGATGTGTACGGCAATCTATTTGGGCTTTTGGCGGCACATCCAATTGCACCTCTTGTTACTCTCCATCATCTAGACTTAGTGGAGCCCATATTTCCTAACATGGATCGGATCCAAGCCTTACAAAAACTAAAGGTCCCAATCCAATTGGACTCTGCGGCGCTAATGCAACAATCCATTTGCTACGACAATACCCGACAATGGACCGTATCCGTATCTTGGGGCTATACGGTTCAAATATTTCGGGGCATGATTATGCCCCGAGAAATTGAAAGGCCAGCAAGAACATTTCTCAATTGGCAAAAAACAGACTATACTGGTTTTGCGTTCAATACTCGCCCTGTCATAAAAAACTTGTGTCAAAAGCCTTTTGTGTATAGTTTGTTTAATGCATCGTATGCCACTCATACGAAGAAGACAGTAAGCGAATACGTTCGAAATGCAATCGCAAATCCTGTTTGTAGGTGGAAGATGGAGGACCCTTCTGATATTGATAAGATTGAGGTTTATAAAAAACCTAACCCATATTTATGGGACAAGGTAATGAAATTTATTAAATTAATTTTAATTTTTCGAGAATTTCATTTATATTTTTATATAAATATTGTAAGAAAGTTACATTTTTCAAGATTTATCCTTTGTATTTTGGGTAGGCTCCAAGACGAAATTGTTGCAGGATTTTACCTACAGAGAAAAATGGTAGCTTAAAAGTTGATGTTGGAGAATGCAAAGAAGATGAAGTTATTGAGACACAATGATATACAATTTTGGGCAAGTCCTTAAATTTTTTTATTTGCAGGATTTATTGTATATAATGAATTAGATTTTCTTCATTTTTTTTATTTCCATTATTACTAGGTTTACACTTCAATTTGAACCTAATTTATTTATTAAACGAAGTTTGACCTTAACTTATTAAGTTTACTGAACACCTTTTTTATGCAAGTTTCCAGTAGCTTACAGGCAATTTGGCCTAAAAAATAAAAGTCAAGCGGATGAGCAATTATTTTTAATTTAATTTAGTAAATGTAATAATATAATAACACAATTTATTACATGTAATTAATAAATTGTTTTATTTATCCTTTGAAAAATTAAATTAATATTTTAATTTAATTTAGTTCAATCTAATTCAATTCAATTTTATACCTAAAATATTTAATTAAATTCAAAAAACCATTTACTTTCGATTTGATATCCGATGGCCTGAACCCGGTGTGTACTGTACACTCTACCAAGTATCAATAATGAGCGAGTCAATTACGTCGAGTCTGATAGGATGGCTTGTACATTGTAGCACAAAATTATAAAAGCGCTCAAAACTCACCGTTTTGATCCCCATTTCGGTGGTGGGGCTACAGCGAAACACGCAAAGAGGACAGCGAACCTTACAGCTTGTCAAGACGCGTAGACTCCATAACGAGGGTCTTCTGTTACGCAGAAGCCACAAAAATCGGCCTAAAACTTTCTCCTACTTCTTCTCAATTCCTTTCTCATGGAGACTCCACGCGTGAACCCTAATCTTTCCTTCTTCATCCTCTCTTTATGTCTAATCTCCACCCTCTCGCTGTCCACTTTCTCCCCTGCCGATTACTACTTAATAAACTGCGGGTCCGCCGTCGACGCTACCGTCTTGAATCGCCGCTTCATTTCTGATGACGACTCGTCCTCTCCGCTTCTCTCTGCTACCCGGACGATTGCACTTGTCAACCAAAATCCGTCTCCCAATTCGCCCCAAATCTACAACACGGCTAGGATATTCAAGAAACCTTCCGAGTATGTGTTCAAGATCAAGGATCCCGGAACTCACATGGTACGCCTTCATTTTCACCCCTTCCTCTCTTCGGATTTGGACTTAAACTGTGCTCGATTTCACGTTCTGGTTAATGGGTATGTCGTCTTGAACAATTTTACTTTGGCAAATGTGGTGAGCCCTATAGTTAAGGAGTATTTAATGTCGGTCGATTCAGGTAAGCTTGTAATTACCATTATGCCGGCAACAAGGGATGAATTCGGGCTTGTTAATGCAATTGAAGTGATATCTGCTCCTAAAGATTTGATCGCTGATATGGCAATTCTTGTGAATGGCAATGAAACGGAGATGTTTAATGGATTAACTAAGCAAGCTCTTGAAACATTGCACAGGATCAATGTTGGAGGTCCAAAAATTACACCTTTTAATGATACACTCTGGAGAACATGGATTCCTGATGATGGGTTTTTTAAATCAAGCGAGTTATCAAGCAGGATCTATTTCAGTGGTCGAATTAGGTACCAAAATGGAGGGGCCAGTAGGGAAGTTGGTCCAGATTTTGTCTACAATACTGCTAGAGTAATAACTAGCACAAATGCTTCAATCCCTAATGTGACAATGACATGGGAGTTTCCAGTGACGGAGGGTTATCAATATCTTGTTAGATTGCATTTCTGTGATATTGCTAGCATGTCACTCGGTTTATTATATTTTAATGTGTATATCAACGGGCATTTGTCATATGAAAATTTGGATCTCAGCTCTACTACATATATGCTGGCTTCTCCATTTTATGCTGATTTTGTTGTTGATAGTGATAGCTATGGGGTTTTAAGAGTGGGCATTGGGCCTTCAAACATGAGCATGGCACACACAGTTGATGGTCTTTTGAATGGTGTGGAGATCATGAAAGTGAATAATTCAATGGGGAGTCTTGATGGAAGGATGCGTGCAGAGAAGGTGTTGCGAAGTTGGCCAAGAGAGAATGTTGGTGTTTTGTTTCCTTTGGTTGCTGTTGTGTGTTTGTCGTTGAGTATAGTTCTGGTTATGCATAGGAGGACAGTTGCTAAGAGGGACCCTGTTGCATGGTCAAAATTGCCTATAGATGTCCTGGAAGATGAGGCAAAGCATAGCAGCAATCTATATTTATCTGGCAAAGCTTGAATTTTTTTTTTTTCCCTTCAAGATCAACACGTTTTTGTAAGATATAACTAGGTTATGCCATAGGATTATTAATTAGTGCTTCCATGGATTTTTCTGAACTATTAATTCGTGGTCTCTAAAGAATGTGTATGTTGTATCTTGTGGAGGGAATTTGGAAGTAAGTTGTATTTACAGCTCATAACTTGTAGCATATCATTGTGCTTTCGTCTAATATTGAATTGTTCTATAAATGGGTTCTTTCCATATCGTATTTGTACAACTCTTAGAACGTGTAATATATTATGACACTTGAATAAAATTGCTTGTGTGCTACAATTTTTTTTTTTGTTTCTGTGCTCTCCTTTTTAAATGTTGGTACGGATGGATGTTTAGGATAGCAAATATCGTAAATTGGCAAGACATGAATTTATATATAGGCTAAAGCCTGATAATGCTAAACTCCATTCTCCAGATTGAATTGACAATTGAGGGAGTTATTATTTGGGAATATGTCTCAGACCATAATCTGCAAAAGTTGCAAGGATCAAACCTTTGAGATAAGTCAACTATAGGTTAATTAGGAAACACACATGGAGTCTGTAAACATTTGGTGATCAACGGTGGAGACATAAAGACCTACGCAGTTAAACCTTGCCGCTCTCAACATTTTAAAAACCACGTATTAATTCTATCGTAATAATTAAAAATTAATTTAGAATTTTGTGAGAGTGATAGAAGCCTGTATAATTCCATCATCGCTCTTAACAGTGTATCAGCACATGCATGAACCATGCAAGTGGATAGAAATATACAGAGAATTCTTAGCCTCTCTAAACAATGTCAAGTTGAAATTAGTGGCCCACCTGATCCGTGCCACCTAATTACGTCATCTTGATAAATATTAATCGTAAAACTTAATTACTTCTTCTAATTACAGGTGCCATTTGGAGGGAGACATGAAGCATGCTTCTTTTTTTATAATAATTAATTAATATATTTAAAACAATATAGTAATAAACGAATTACTCTCTATATACATATAAATATTTAGTAATTCCAGTGAAGTTCATACATTCCTCCTCTTAAGGTTCACAGTATAGGAGAGAGAGATGGATTCAGAATCAGATCGTTGTGATAGAGAAGATGGTGTTGTGGTGAGAGTAGGAATAAAGGTAGTATTGATGGTAGTACTGGTTGGGTATGTTATAATGTGGATAATGATGCCCACTAACACTTACAGACAAATATGGTTGCCTTATTTGCGATTCAAGTTCAACTCTACGTACTTTGGATACCAAGGTTCGTTTCCCTTTTTTTTTTTTTTTCCCTCCCGTTGATTTACCTGTAAATGGATATACATTACCGAGTTTACATCACATGAACCATCAAGCCGATTTGATAAAAAAAAAAAAAAGCGATTTGATGAAAAAAATATTGATACATAATCAAATTTCTTTTACCTTTTTTAATGGTAACATATTTTCTTAAAAATAAATTATTTTCTGCTGTGGTTCCGATTTATTATTATACAAGGCTAAGTTACAGAATTATTTTCCAACCAAATTTATACCTTTTACACTTAAATATTCAATTAAAAGTTAAAAAGGAAAATATCACCATCAATCAAATCTAATTTAGATAAATATATACACGTATGTATATACAGGATTCTGTATTCTCTTCTGTGTTTGTCTTTGAGCGAGAGAAATATGCATTTGGAAAAGTTGAAAACATCATCTCTTTCTCTTTGTCAAAAATGCAACTGATATGCAGCAACTATCAATCCTAACAATACTTTTGTTACCGGGTTATCTCTTTTTGTGGATTTTGATGCCCACTAAAACATACCGGCAACAAATATTGCCTAATATCAGAAAAAAACTTGATTCTGCTTATTTTGGCTTAATGACAAGGTTTGAATTGTTTCAATTTCTTATATATTCCTTCTACAAATCAAATATTTTCTTTCCTTTTTCAGTTTTCAGAACTTTTTTATATATATACATATGTACGTTTCAGGTGCAACGCTCTTGGTATTCTTCTTTCCTATTATATTTGTTGCTGTCTTGGGTTGTGTTTATCTCCATCTGCTAAAGAAGAGACCAATTAATATAAACTTCAGTAGGTAATTACTATAAAATCATTAATGGGCATAATTTTTCTTTTGATTTTACTGTTTTAACTTAATTTCCGTTAATTAATTCAGCAACAAGGGCAGAAAACATATACTGGGGGCATGGAAGAAGCCGATGTTAGTAAAAGCTCCTTTAGGAATCGTTTCAGGGATAGAGTTGGCGTTCTTGATAATGTTCATTGCACTTTTAATTTGGTCTTTAGCAACTTATTTACACAACAGTTTTGCTACGATCACTCCCCAGTCAGCTGCCAAGAATGGACAGAAAGTGTAAGCCACTTAATTAATCTTAATGAATATCTGTATATATATTTATAAATACTAACATTTTTATTCAATTTTTGGCGAGACAGATGGGAAATGAAATTGGAGAACTCGGCCTTGAGACTAGGACTGGTAGGGAACATATGTTTGACATTTCTTTTCTTTCCGGTGGCGCGAGGGTCGTCGGTGCTGCCAGTATTCGGTCTGACCTCGGAAGGTAGCATAAAGTATCATATATGGCTTGGTCATATGGTTATGGCCTTCTTCACTGCTCATGGACTTGCGTACATCATTTATTGGGCTGTTACCAATCAGATTTCTGAGGTAATTTATCAATTTAACTTTTACTACATAATTAAAATATCGAATAAAGCCTTAATTTAACAATTTCTTGTCATTGGTACAGATGGTGAAATGGGCTAAAACGGACATATCAAATGTGGCCGGCGAGTTATCATTGCTGGCTGGGCTGGGCCTGTGGGCAGCAACAATCCCCACTATCAGGCGAAAAATGTTTGAGCTCTTTTTCTACGCTCATCATCTCTACATTCTTTTCATCGTTTTCTTTCTTCTTCATGTTCCCATCTCTTTCACCTGCATTACGCTTCCTGGATTTTACCTTTTCTCGGTTGATCGTTACCTGAGATTCTTGCAATCACGTCGAAGAGTTCGGGTAGTTTCAGCTCGGATTTTGCCTTGCCAAAGTTTAGAACTCAACTTCTCCAAAAGCCCAAGTCAGATAATTACGCATTACCTTTGATTATTTACAAGACTTTGTGACTATATTAATAAGTTTTTAACTTGTTTTGCTAATTTGTATTGCTATATATAGGTTTGAGTTATAATCCGACAAGCATTCTGTTTATAAATGTGCCTAGCATTTCCAAGCTGCAATGGCATCCCTTTACTATCACTTCTAATAGCAACTTGGAATTTGACAATTTAAGTGTCGTGATTAAAAGTGAAGGAAGTTGGTCTCAGAAACTTCATCAAATTCTTTCGTCACCTAATTCCTCCATTGATCGTTTAGAAGTTTCTGTTGAAGGACCTTATGGACCTGTTTCAACTGACTTTCTAAGGTAATTTGCGCTTAACAATAATAAATAGATAAATAAAGTTCTTTAATTGTTGCTTTTTAAAGCTGTGAAATCATAGACCAACTAATTAATTAATAAACGACTTGAAATTTTTAGGCATGACAGTCTTGTGATGGTGAGTGGAGGCAGTGGAATTACACCTTTCATATCTATAATAAGAGAAGTAATCTTTGCAAGCACAACATACAAACGCAAGACTCTACATGTAACCCTAATATGTTCGTTCAAGAACTCGTCAGACCTCACCATGTTAGACCTCCTACTTCCAATATCCGGTACTCCACCTGAATTTTCCGATCTGCAGCTAAAAATTGAAGCTTATGTTACAAGAGAGAAAGAGCCCACAATCAACAACTCGAAGCTGATTCGAACTGTATGTTTCAAGCCACATTCAACAGATGCTCCTGTTTGTCCTATATTAGGACCCAAAAGCTGGCTCTGGCTAGGAGCAATTATATCATCCTCTTTTATCATTTTTCTCATTATAATTGGCCTAATTACTCGCTATTACATTTATCCTATTGATCACAACACCAACGAAGTATTTTCCTACTCTTTCCGATCATTTCTAAATATGCTAGTAATATGCATATGCATAGCCGTGACAGCAAGTGCCGCTGTTTTATGGAACAAGAAACTAAATGAAAGAGAAGGAAATCGGATTCAAAGCATGGTGGGGACAACGCCAACTGGATCACCATATGATGGTGAGAGAGAACTGGAAAGTCTGCCTCACGAGTCTCTTTTAGAGGCTATTAATGTGCACTATGGTGAAAGACCTGATCTAAAGAGTACGTCACTTCTGCTGACTTCTTTAATTTTAGAATTTAATCATATACAGTAGATAACACTTTTAATTTGTGTCTTATTTCTTTTGGGTTTAGGAATTCTATTCGAGTGCAAAGGATCAAGTGTGGGAGTTCTTGCTTCCGGTCCAAAGAAGATGAGACATGAGATTGCAACAATATGTTCATCTGGATTGGCAGATAATCTGCACTTTGAGTCCATCAGCTTTAGCTGGTGATCAGCTCAGCTTTGTTAATCTTTTTTTTTTTTTTTTTTTTTTTTTTTTTTTTCATGCTGATTTCAGATAATCTGCAACTTATTCCATGCACTAACCTTGTATCAGGCTCACTTTGGTCTTAATCACTTTTTTTTTTTTTTTCTTTTTTTTTTTTTTGTTGTTTTTTTCGGAAATTTCTCTTTAACAGGTTCAATACTTAATTATTAATTGCCTCAAGTATCTTTTTGTTAATTCGTTGCACTTCGGTACACTAATCATGTGTTAACCTGAAAAAATATCAGTTTTTTCCTTGATACAGTATAGAATTTCATGCATGCAAAATGATGGCATGCTATGGTTTTTTGTGTTCCTTTAGAATTTTTTTTTTTTTTTTTTTTTTTTTTTTTTTTGGTTTTTTGTTCGAAATTTCTTTAAGCAAGTTCAAGACTTATGTATTAATTGCTCTTCAAGATCTTTGGTAATTTCGTTGCATTTGTACATATCATGGGTTAACCTGAAAAATATCAGTTTGGTTGCCTTGGAGGACGAGTAGAATTGCATGCAGCAAAGAGCAATGCTATGTTTTTGTTCCTTTAGAAAATGTTTGCTTCTATCAAGTGAAGAAACGAGATGTGATTTTATATTTGATAAATTAGAATGTAAACTGGAAAGCAAATTATCCATGGTATGAAACTGCGCATTATTGGAGTAATATATACGACAACCATACAAGGAAAGAAAAGACACTTGCACGGAGATATTAATGGCAGAAATTTATGTTAAAAGCTTTTTCATTTTTTCCCCCCTTTTCCCTTTATAACAAAGGTCGAGTATTAATGGCTGCAGTTGGAGCTCTGTTCCATATCAGCAAGACCCTGTCCATGTCTTGGAAAACAGAAAAAAGCCACGTGGTTCGAGATGACCCATCGCCATCGCCAGTCGCCGGTGCTAAGTATAAATGCTACTAGCAATTATAGAGGTCGACCGGATGGGAACACAGGAGGAGAAGAAAATGCGAGGGAGACTTTTTCCTTCTTGTATGAATTGAGACAGGAAATAATTTAATTAATTTAAAGAAAAAAATTTGTAAACCATTGTTTACGACTTGATTTCCAATCATCCTAAGCCTAGAGGGAGTCAATTACGGCAAGTCTTATCTGGCTTGTAGTAATTTGTAGCACAAGTTTATACAAGCCTACTTTTGGAAAACAGCTTGTCAAATTGCGTGTGCAATTTTCCAAACAGAGAAGAGAAGGTGTCCATTCAAACAAGTAGAGCGCAGTGATGGATTATGATGCAATGCCCACTAACACTTGGGGACAAATACGGTTGCCGTTTCAAGTCCAACTCTACGTATATAGCAACGTTGCTTCTCTGTTTCTTTTTTCCTTTGATTTACCTGTAAATTGATGTACATCCTTTTCAGATGAAAAATAAACCACCAAGAGATAAAAAATAAATAAATAAATAAATATTCTGCTATTTTAGTCTCTTCCATTTTTACTACTTTTCCCCCCTTTTAATGTTAATAAAGTAATTTCTTAAGAATGATATTTGCTATTTATTTTTGAATTATTTTCTATTAGCAAATCGTGTGGGAAATATGCAATTCTAGTACTGCATTCTGCTGCTGCAGAGAAATAAATTGTAGTTGCGTGTATGCGTGTGTGTGTGTATATAAATACAGAGAGAGAAGGTTTAAAAAATTTATATTAGACCGAAACACCATTGTAACTATATATCTATGAATAAAAGGTTTTAAAAAATCGTTGAATTTTAATTTAATCATACTGAAGTCACTCTAATTTAAGATTAGAAAAATGCGGTTAATGCTTAAAATTTTTCTTTTAATTTTACAATTTTAACTTAATAATACCTTAAATTTTCGTGATGAACTATTGTATTCAATAATTATAAATTTTGAAAAAATTACACATCTTTCAACTTATAAAATAAATATTTTTTATATGTAAAATATTAATTTAAACTTTTGAAACTATAATTTTATATTTTAAAATTATTTAATAAATATTTAATTAATTTAATTTTTTCAATTAAAATTTTCGGAGTTAAAAAGCATTTATTGTGAAATAAAAGCTGATGGTGCAATGAATAAAGTGTATACGTATTTAAGGATACGACACCAACAGAAACAATCTTTAATTTAAGGCACATTCAATTTCTGAAAATACACGTATGAACTACGTAAGCATTTTTCTGACTTGGTTATTGGATGACGGAAGCAATAAATTCAAGTGGAGACACGTGCACGGTACCCTTGCAAACGAGAAAGAAAAACCAAAAAACAAACAGTGCGCAGGCTTGAGCGTTTACTACTCTACTCCTGTCCAGAGTCCATACTCCACTCCTTGTATATCTCTTTATCCTGTGTTTGTCTGTGACTGAGGAGAACACCTGTATTCGGAAATGGTGAAAAGCTCTCCTCTATCTCTTTCTCAAAAAGCAACTGATATGTTGGTATCTGTCATCAAACTCCTCTCAATAATTGTGTTACTGGGCTATCTCATTTTGTGGGTTTTGATGCCAACTAAAATATACCGGCATCAATTATTCCCTCGTGTCAGAAACAAACTCGATTCTGCTTTCTTTGGCATACAGGGTGTGAATTGTTTCAATCAGTCCATTTCTTCTTATGCTTTCTATACATCAAACTTCTTTTTTTCTTTCTACTTTTTCTTGCTCTTATAGTTATATATATATGTCTATGTCTACGTTTCAGGTATAATGCTTTTGCTATACTTTTTTCCGATTCTCTTTGTTGCTGTCCTGGGTTGTGTTTATCTCCATCTGCTAAAGAAGAGATCGAGTAACGAACAATTCGAAAGGTAATCACCATAAATAATCTTTCTTTTGATTTTACTGTCAGCTCAATTTCCATTAATTAATTAATACTGTTGAGAATCTTGAGCAATTAATAACGTTAAATTCAATTACATGTTTACCGTTTGGCTTATAACGAATTGGGCTTATTTTTAATACAAAATGGCCTAAATTATTTTGATTGGTTCATCCATCGTGCACTTGTGTGCGCTTTTACTTAATTGCATTTATCTTATACGAGATTAGCATACCCACGCACTTCAACAAATACAGCGGCAATGGCAGAAAACATGCAGTGGGGGCGTGGAAGAAGCCGATGATAGTCAAAGATCCTTTAGGAATCGTTTCAGGAATAGAGTTGGCGTTCTTAATAATGTTCACTGCTCTTGTAATTTGGTCTTTCGCAACTTATTTACGCAACAGTTTCGCTACTATCACTCCACAGTCAGCTGCCGAGAATGGACAGAAAGTGTAAGCAACTTAATTCATTTAATTATTCTAAGCCTAATCAATACATATCTGTGCATATATATACATATATATACTACACATGGCTTTTCCTTCAAATTTTTGAGGGGCAGATGGGAAGCGAAATTGGAGAGCTCAGCCTTGAGACTAGCACTGGCAGGGAACATGTGTCTGACGTTTCTTTTCTTTCCGGTGGCGCGTGGGTCGTCGGTGCTTCCACTATTTGGACTGACGTTTGAAGGTAGCATAAAGTATCATATATGGCTTGGGCATATGGTTATGGCCTTCTTTACTGCCCATGGACTTGGTTACATTATATATTGGGCTGTCACCAGTCAGATTTCAGAGGTGATTATTAATCAGTTGAATTCGATTCTGTTCATATACATAAATCTACTGACTGTTTCTTTTTTAACTGACCCAATTCCAGTTCCCCAATATATATTTTTTAATTTGATTTATAATCAAATATTCAATGTAAAGCTCATGTAGTCAGTAACCATTTCTTGTCATGGTTACAGATGATGAAATGGGGTAAAGCTGAGATATCGAATGTGGCAGGCGAGGTATCGTTGTTGGCTGGGCTGGGCCTGTGGGCAACGACATTCCCATGTATAAGGCGAAAAATATTTGAGCTCTTTTTCTACACTCATCAACTCTACATTCTCTTCATTGCTTTCTTTCTTCTTCATGTTCCCATTTCTTTCACCTGCATTATGCTCCCTGGATTTTACCTTTTCTTGGTTGATCGTTACCTGAGATTCTTGCAATCACGTCGAAGAGTTCGGGTAGTTTCAGCTCGGGTTTTGCCTTGCCAAACTTTAGAACTCAACTTCCCCAAAAGCCCAAGTCAAGATAATTACACTCTACCTTTTATTATTTACAGGACTTTGTGACTATATTAATATGTTTTTAACTTGTTTTGCTAATTTGTATTGCTATATATAGGTTTGAGCTATAATCCAACAAGCATTCTGTTTATAAATGTGCCTAGAATTTCTAAGCTGCAATGGCATCCTTTTACTATCAATTCTAACAGCAACTTGGAACCAGAAGAGTTGAGTGTGGTGATCAAAGGTGAAGGAAGTTGGTCTCAGAAACTCTATCAAATTCTTTCATCGTCTAATTCCTCCATTGATCACCTACAAGTTTCTGTTGAAGGACCTTATGGACCTGCTTCAACTCAGTTTCTAAGGTAATTTGCACTAATGCATATATATTCGTCTTCAGGACGGTCATCAGTTTGTAAATTTAAACCCTTAATCAGAGTCTAATTAACCCTAAAAAAAGTATGTTATCTAATTTGTTGCTTCCGAAAGTGAGATTGTGGACTAACTAATTAACAAATGACTTGAAATTTAGGCACGACAGTCTTGTGATGGTGAGTGGAGGCAGTGGGATTACTCCTTTGATATCTATAATAAGGGAAGTACTCTTTGCAAGCACAACGGACAAATGCAAGACTCCCCAAATAACCCTAATATGCTCATTCAAGAACTCTTTAGACCTCACCATGTTAGACCTCCTACTTCCAATATCTGGTACTCCATCTGCATTTTCCAATCTGCAGCTAAAAATTGAAGCTTATGTTACAAGAGAGAAAGAACCCACAATCAATAACTGGAATCTGATTCGAACTATACGTTCCAAGCCAAATTCATTAATAGGTGAACCTGTTTCTGCTGTTTTAGGCGGCAAAAGCTGGCTTTGGCTTGGAGCAATAATATCATCCTCTTTTATCATTTTTCTCATCATAATTGGCCTGATTACTCGCTATTACATTTATCCAATTGATCACAACACCAATGAAGTATTCTCTTACTCTTTCCGATCATCTCTAAATATGTTAGTGATATGCATAGGCATAGCCATGACAGCAAGTGCAGCTGTTTTATGGAACAAGAGACTAAATGCAAGAGAAGGAAACCGGATTCAAAGCAATCTAGGGCCAACACCAACTTTTTCACCTCATAATGGTGAGAGAGAATTGGAAAGTCTTCCTCATGAGTCTCTTCTACAGGCTATTGATGTGCACTACGGTGAAAGACCTGATCTAAAGAGTACGTTGTTTTAATGACTATTTTAATTGTAGCATTTCAATTATATATACAATAGATAACAAGTTCAATTTGTTTCTTACATCTTTGGGTTTAGGAATTCTATTTGAGTGCAAAAGCTCAAGTGTGGGAGTTCTTGTTTGTGGTCCGAAGAAGATGAGACATGAGGTTGCAACTATATGTTCATCTAGATCGGCAGATAATCTGCACTTTGAGTCCATCAGCTTTAGCTGGTGATCAGCTCATCGTTGGATGCTTGGCGTGTGCAAGAAAAAATGCGAGGAAAAGACGAATATTTTTCCGTGACGGCTGTCTGCTATCTGGGTTTTCGTTGGTTGTTATAGCTGTCTACGCCTTTTAGCTTAGTTTTAGCGTTCTTTGTGGATCGGATGGGTTTAACGCTACCCAATATAAATTTGTCTCCTGGGCTGGGCTGGGCTGGGCTCTATGAAATTGACCCAGAGAAGTAGAGTTTAGAAACTAAAAGATTATAATTATTAATTAGTTAATTAATATCAATTAAAATTACTCGGTTTAGTAGACAAAAATTAGCAAATGAGACGAGAAATATTTCCAAAAAAGAAATACTCTTATTTATGATCTCAAAATGAATTCTTGCACTAACAGGGTGCAAAAAATAGTAGTGAAAAAACATAATAAGTGTCGATAAAAAAAGGGATACTGTTGACAGACTGTAAGATCTGGATAAATCCAAAACGTTGAAAAAAGTTGACCAATAAACTAAGGACACAGCGTACTTCAGAAAAAAATTGCTTTATTTCTATTTATACAACAAAGCAAGGTAATGTTATACACAGGTAAAAACTATGAAAATAGTAACAACAAAAAGGTCAAAAATAACTGTCTAGTATAGTTCAACCGAATTATCTACAAGAATCTCTACATATCACCCCAAGAAGTTTTCTGGGTTGCTCTTTCTTATGCAGTCAGAGCAACAAATTGCTCATCTGCAGAGACAAATGATCTTTGGTTTCTGGATTTGCCTGGAAGCTATTTCCCCTCTCGCATTATTTCTCTGTCTTGAAAAGAATAGTTTCACTCTCCGCAAGTCACCAAACACGCCCTCACTTGTCTTCCAAATTTGAGCCAGATGAGAGCCTCTCCTCCAAGGCATCAAGTAAATCTTGGTATTCAGCAAATGCAGGGTGTGACTGAAGCACATATCAAGAGATGTCGGATCAGACTTGCATATGAACAGTAACACAATTAATTAATCTTTAAAATCTTTTAGAAATGCATACCTGAAGAGTGATGCTATATGCCTTCCACAACCGCATGTCATGCTGGAAAAGATCGTAAAGAACCTGTACAGGAAAAAAAAAATTCGATGAAAATCGTTCCCTGCTTGAAAAAAAAAAAAAGCGTATACTCAATTTATATGAGATCATATTTTATCAGTTCTTTCTATGTGCAAGCAAAGGTAGGGAGGATCGGCAACTCAAGTCATAAACTTTTCAATTGGACTTTAGATGATAACCATTCTCAAAAAAACGAAATAAGCAATTAATTGGTGGTGCCTCAATCCAATTACTAATTAACAATAAAGAATGCCATATCGCAGTGCTGTTTGCAAGCAAACACCAGCATCTGGCCACTCGGCCATTTTCAATACTACATTATTAGGAAAAGGCATTAGAATCTTACTTGAATTAGAGAAAAAATTTCAGTTGTTCACACAACTCAGCCTTGTGATGAACGGAAGATGGGCCAGTGCCAACCAAAACCAAGTATGCTAGAACACTCAAAATGAGATGGGCATATGAGACCATTTAAGTTAAGCCAATTTTACCTCGGATCTTCTTAAGAGAGTGGCCAAGACAACTATCCACTCCTTGAACTTGACAGAACACATATGAGCCAACAAAAACTCAGCATCTAGGCGACTCTGCAGTGTACCCATTTCAAGCTGGAAACATAAAATAAAGGTTCTATCGGAAATTGAAGGAAAAAAAAAAAAAAAAAAAACTTCGGCCCATTTTCAATACTGACATAATTAGCGAAAAAAGCATAGAATCTTACTTGAATTAGAGCAAAAATTTCAGTTTGTTCCACAACAACCCTCAGCCTGTAGATGAAACGGAAGAGGCCAGTGCCCCCAAACCAAGTATGCTAGAAGCCTCAGAAATGAAATGGCTATATGAGACCATTTAAGTTAAGTCCATTTTACCTCGGATCTTCTAAAGAGAGAGTGGCCAAGACACATCCAGTCCTTGAAATCTTGACAGAACCATATGAAGCCAACAAAAACTCAGCAGTCTAGAGAACGACTCTGCAGTTCACCCATTCTCAAGCTGGAAACATAAAACTAAAGGTTCTATCGGAAAGATTGAAGGAAAAAAAAAAAAAAAAAAACAAAGTAATTTAATATCCTCTAAAAACCCACCAAGACTCAGATTATATGTTCTTCCAGAAACACCACTATGTAGTCAACATGGTTTACATGCGTCAAAATATACTGAACAGTCATAAGATACAAAGGAAAAAAAAAAAAAAAAACAAAGGTAATTATACGTCTAACCAAGACTAGATATTGAAGGTTTCTTCCAGAAACACCACTATGTATCCAACATTGGTTTACATGCGTCAAATGATACTGAACAGTCATAGAGTACAGAGAATTTGATTTTCAAATATTTTTCTTAAACACCGAAAGAGTTCCTAAACAAATTGCTAGCAAATATAACCAAATGGACTTTCTGATTTTACACATTTGTCTTGCAACAAACAATGGTGCATCATATTACACACTCAATGTTATAATAGACAAAAAAAGAGTTAAGTTAAGCTGTCACCATGCAACTTAAAACTACAAGAAAAGAATGTCAAATACTGAACAATATCATGATGCTCATACCTTCTGCCCAATTAGTTCCAGCCCTGACGCAAAGTTTTCCAATCGAGCAGAACCATATCTTTCCCGTTGAAGATATTCCTGAAATTAATTCAGAATCTTAAACTGCTACACTGCATAATATAATGTCCTATAAAGAACAGCCAGTTTTTCTTACCACTAAATCAAACTGAGTGCCTTTCACAAATGCAACAAGCTTGGAAAGTTCTTTCCCTGACATCAAATAGCTAGCATGGCTTTCTAAAATGTTTTTCACAGAAGCAACATGAGCACTTTGCTCTTTGAATGAGTTGCTGCTCCAACGACAAAAAAAAAAAAAAACCCTTGTCAGTGTCATTCGTGACGTCATAATTATAAAGGTATCAGAGATGCTGTAGGGACAGACCTCTTATCCAAGGATGTCTTCGTGTAACTAGAACGGAAGAGAAAATAACCCAAGAATCTTGGAGACATTCTGTCAGAATCTGCTGATGCCTGCCCATATTCTTTTCCAGATCTCAACAAGAACCTCACCTAGAGACCATAGGAAAACAGAAGCACAAAACTGTGTATGATCTCATGCTATAACTAGTCATGATTTTTAAGGAAGCACTATAATGGACCCAAACATACCAGCTCCCCAGCAAGTTCATACAAAGATTCATCAAGTGTTGCCTGCATAGGGTTGTCGATTCTAGTCAAAGTTCTATCATATACAAAACCACATAGACGGGAGAAAAAGTAGCAGCAACAACCTAATACAAACACAGCCTACCTGTAACAAACGTAAAGCACAATATTGACTGACAGCAGGCCCTTCAAGTTTAGCAATAACCTATAATATTCAGCAAAACCAGGAGTCAATTCAATTACATTTTATTCACTGCATATTTTCATTAAAAATTTGTTCTGTAGAAATGCAATTCTTGCATTCATTCAAAACCTTGTAAGAACACAAGATATTTCTTTCTAAATACTATTGTACCCTCCCAACCAACACAATTGCATCACCTATTAAATTATCACAAAATAGTTTGACAGAATTACGGAAATTAATTAAATTTAATTTACAAAACAAAACTACGATTAAATTTATGGTCAGAATTAATTATTTGCCTTGTACTAGAAAGACCTCGAAATTACTCAGCTCAAGTGTCTAATATAAGTAAGAAGAATTACAAAACTAGCCTAGATTAATCAGAGAGATGAGGAACCATAATATTCTGGCACTCAAGAGCCTGTTGCATTAAAAGGAGAAATTGAGAAACCCATAAGTGATGACGCTTACAAGTATATAGCAAGCTGCAGTTCGATACCATCTTCGTTGGAAACATTCCTCAAACAACCTTAAACATGGAAACAAGAGAAAAAAACAATTAGATGCAAGTAACCTTTTTTTGGGGGGGGTGGATGGGTGGGGACAGAGAACATGATTGCAAATACAAAATAAAACAAAATGAAATCCTCAGGTCCATAGTGTTTTGTGTTTAGGTGCAACAAACACCAGCAACATTTTTAAGCCTCCAGACCAACATCAGGTAAGCTCAGAGAAGCATCTATGATAATTCTCAATTATTTGGTCGCAGGTTGGTAGGCCAGTAAATATGGAAAAAATCCCACCATGTCCATCAGTATAATCCCTAGTGGAATTTGTTTGTTATCCAATCATCCATCGAAAAATGTTTTGAAATAACCTTCAAAATAAGGTGGAACTGGAAAGTCTTTTTTTTTTTAGACAACAGGTGCAAAAACATACTCTGTGGATCGCCCAGCCGCTAAGAATAAATCTGCCCAGTGTCGGCCATCAGTTTTTCTTGCTACACTTACAACTACATCGAGATACTCTGGGAAATTTCTGATCAAATCACATGTCTTCTCCAAAAGAGAGCAGCTGCCAGCATGTTTAAGGACTGATACTTGGTTTTTGTTAACATTTTGCCTGCACGTAGTATCCATCAAATTCAGGAAGTCAATAACAAATTCAGACTACTTAACATTTAAGTAGTTCATTTTCAGTTACAAATCAAAGGACGAGTTAATAAGGCATCAAACTCTGCCCACTAAATAATTGAAAAATGGATATGGATACAATATTGTCAACACAATGCTTTTCAGCTAGGATCATTATTCAAACAACAGCTATATGTTAGCATATATGCTCTAGTTATAGCTTCTCATGTCTAATAATATTTAATTTCATTACTTCGCTGATGATTTATACCTGGAAATTTCTGCATCAAATACAGTAAAAAGAAGCCACTCCAAACAATGGGAAAAATGAGGCTTTTGTGCTGATAATTGTGCCAGTTTTAAAGCCTCCTCGCTTTTGTCCCTCTGCCAAATAAAGACAGAATCAGTATACCTGGGGAACTAGTTTGCTCTTATCAAAACATCAAGATTCAGGACTAAAACATAAATAAGCTATTGACCACCATGGCAAACTTTAACATAAGCAGAAGTACCTTTCACCATACAATAAAAACAAAAGGCAACCCAATCTTAAACACCCAGCCCCCCAAACCCAAAATGTACATGACTGCATTTGTCTACAGAAGAGAAGCAATACCTGGAGAAGGTGTCTGAGTAAGCAATGCAATATAGTTTGAGCTTGTGGTGATGGCTCAAAACAAGGAAACTCAGTGCATGCTGAAAATGAAATTCTCTGGGATACACCAACAACAACACCAGCATTTGGAAGAAGCCCCAAAGGATACACTTCACGATCAAATTCCAGCTCTGGGTCCAACTAATGTATCAATTCTAAGTTAGTTAGCCAACACAAGATACAACAATCAAATGACCAGATTAAAATAGCTCAAACAGATTCCAAAGTACTCTTGTACAAAATGCAGCTAAATCGAAAACATCTATACTCACAGAATGATATGCTGCTAAAAGGATACAAATTCATTAACCCAAAAAAAAAAAATACAACCACATTGCTAATACAACAGTCAAGCCATAATTGGAAGGGATAAAATAAAAACAGAGCAAGTCCTTTACCATTTTCAAAGGAATGCAAGGAAATCATAGCACATTCAGCATCCCCTAATATGGAGCTCAAGCAAAACACAAACAAGTTCCTTCATCTTTTTCAGTTAAAAAACACGATTGACATTGTCTAGTTAATAGAAAAGGCAAGTGAATTCCAAAAGTCCGTTTTCAGTATCATCTGCCTAGTATCCAAGGTGTGAAGATTTTAACTACTAATTATATATATGTACCTGCAAAAAATCCTCCTGCTTAAAAGGATCAACACCTGCAGATGGATACCACACCTGTAAAAATAAGCTTCCAACAACAATCTTCATCAGACGAGTACAAATGAAAGTAACAATGGGTGGCATATTTAAAATAAATAATACCAACAAGGCTATAACAACATTGACAGACCATATTATAGCACTTAATACTTGGTTACCTGCATTCCTCGGTGGCCATAATCCAACCAAGACACTTCCTCAACTAGATTAGTCTTCTCCTCTGATTGACCGCAAGTTACCCAAAATAACTCAACGGAGTCAGTAAGCTCTCTTTCACGTCCATCATCCAAATCCAAAAGTGAAAGCTCCCCATTTGTCCTCAGCATTAAACATCTACCAAGAAGTACGGCTACTCAGAGGCATGTGGCATGCAAAAGTTTCTTCTAGTTATTTCATAGACACGTACCTTGCAGGTTCTCTTGCTAATAAATCTGAAGACGGGGAAAGGTGATTTTTTAAGACACCTTCTCTTGGAATCTGGTCAGGGATAAAACGCATTGCAGCAGGATGACTCTTTGCAGTCATGATTGAGAGTTCTCGTACTGTAGAAAGCTGTTTGTCATTTTATCACTTAAAATGTATGAAGAATAAAATTACACTAAAACGGTCTCATTGAGAGTGAGACTGAAACTCCAGGAGCACAAAACTAATACAAGAAATCTCGGTGGCTAATCTTAACAAAAGCAGCCGGAAAATATTCATTTACCTGCAGGACTGGAGTGCTATGAGGCGTTAGTTCACCAAATAATTTCACATGGAATATGTGTACATCAAATGGGCGATAGGTGACAAGAATGTGATCCTGATAGACGTCCATCACCATTGGTTTGGCAAATAATGGCTTACGACAAAGCAAAGAACTCTGGTCAAGATGATATCTTGGATAAAAAAGCAATTCATAGCTGCATTAAAAAAACAGTTTTACATATAAGAAACTACAATCCTGTGGAACAAAATGTACAAAAATACCAAATCTAACTAACACAAGTCGAGAATCAATGGTGCATAAGTAAAATGCTAAAGCAAACAGCAATTTTGATCACCCAAATAACCTGCCAAGTCCTGATTCACCTCTGTAACAGATATTTTTGTAGCCTCTATCTCCTAATTTAACAAATAAACGCCAACACTTAAGATATTGAATTGCAACATACAACATTCAAATCCAGTTAGGAAGCCCTAAACCACATCGTCTACCAAATCAAACCCTAATATCCTGATATCAACCAGCATTTGCCCACAGCAACTTGTTAATAGAAGATAGATTAGTAAAAGTATCATTATCCTTCCCATAGGTCTGTAGATTCCAAAGTTGCTCAAATTGTTTTTTGTAAAAATAACATGATTTGGAACAAACTACATCAAACATGTAAGAGGAAACAGATTTCGACTCACGTGTCAGAAGAATCAATGTAGTTGCAGACAACAACAATCTTCCCCAGCCATAACAAACCTTTGCACTGAATCTTTTGTTCCTGAGTAATGTCACCAAAAACTCGCCACTTTTTCAATCGCATGTCATATAATATCAACCCATGAAGACCAGCAACTGCTAAGTACATTCCATCCTTGCTAGCTGCTACATGTTGAACTGGCCAATTTTGAGAAATGTAAGAAACCTAAGCAAAAAAAAATCATATCAGTCTCCCAAAATTGCAAAGATAATAAATCAGGATAGTAAACAATTAAGGTTAACATTTGAACACATACTGGAAGATTTAGATGTAAAATTTTAAGTTCATCAGTATCTTCTGACTGCACGACTAGCAATCGATCTTCACCATATATCACCTGACGGACATAAGTCATGCCTGACACTCCTCTGCTAAGACAGCATTTCCCAAAGGAAAATGCAATAATTCTCTCCCTAGAGCCTGCTTCAATTGCATAAAGTTTATACCCATATTCATCCCACTGCATTAGGGAGGTGCCACCCATCAACGGCTCATCTTTACAATCTTGGTTTGATTTAACTTTTGGGGAAGAAACAGAACCTAAACCAACTTGACGGATTGTTGACATCAACCGACAGCCAGAGACAGACCAAACTGTAAGTCCTCTTAACTTCCACCCAACAGCAAAAGCAGAATTATCAGGTGTCCATGCAATACAACTGACAGAACCAGTGTCATCCATTGAGTATCTGCAAATTAAATAATCAACACATAAAACCCACCAAACTTCATGAAATAAAGTCCAAACTCAAAATCTAAAAGTATATTGTAGTTTGAAACCTTAATACAGCAGAGGGGTAACCCCAAAACTTAAGTTGCACAACTTACCCCCAATCATACAAAGACACAGAACGAATGAGTGACCCAGATTCAGTGAGATCGTATAACTCAACAACCCCTCTTCTAGTACCAACCGCAAGGATTTGTTGATCTGAAGCTACAGAAGCACACACAGCATCACCAGAACCTAACTTCTTTTCAGCTCTGATAGATTCAGCTTGCTTTAAACCTTTCTTGCTTACAGAACAATATACCAGTTGTCCCTCAGAGTATAAAACAATTAGCAACCTCATTGGTAAGCAAAGCTCCAGCTGTGTAATAGCAGGCTTCCTGATGATATTATGGTTAGATGCAAGACCTCCTGAAGGCCCTGAACCAAGGCCATTAACTAAAGAGTGCGGTGAAATAGAGACTTCGCTGCTCTCATGTGGACAGGGTTCAAGTTGAAATGCGCCATTAAACTATAGAGAGATAACACAAAAACAAAAAGGCAATCACCTAATGGACTATGTTAAATAGAGTTGTAACAAAAAAATAATTTCAATAATATATATGCTGGAAGCCTTATTATATTCTGATTACCTCTCCCTTCCAGGAAATACTATATAAGGATCCACTTGGAAGTCCAAGAAGCATATGTTTGCTATCACTCACAATATTGCTCCTGGTAAGAAATATATCAGAAAACAATCCAGATTAGACAAAGAACAGAAGAACACAAGCAGAACACCATATAAAACAGTAAAAAGGAAATATTTTATTTAGCCATCTCAGAAGACATGCATGATATGCAACACAAATATCTAAACAACACAATCTAATGTCAATTTTGCATCAATGACTAGAAGTCAGAACGAGGTCAACCACACTGTCCCAAGAATTGCAACGAGTTAGCAATATTACTTACACTGTCAAGTTCTTTTCTGCAAAAGGTACGGGCTCACTGAGAAGAAGAGATATATTAGCGAGAAACAAACCAGACGGTTGCTTCCCTCCAATTTGTATTCTTTTTTCAGTGAATTGGACCTTGAATATGTGAAGAAAGAAGGATGTAGTCTGCAAACATTCAAAAAAAAAAAAAAAAAAAAAAAAAAAAAAAAAAAAAAAAAATTATGAATTGACCTTGAATACTGGTGACGAAAGAAGGTGTTTAGTCTGCCAAACATTCAAAAAAAAAAAAAAAAAAAAAAAAAAAAAAAAAAAACAAAAAGCCAAAATAAAAACATAAGTAACAAAGTTATGCATTAAACATCTAAAGAGGAAACCAAAAGCAAAGAATCTGATAAGAAAAGAATATCAGAGAATCAAAAAGAATAGAGCAATGACAAATAGCAAACATGCTTCTAGTGTACCAAGACCTAGCTTCCAGTATGTATGTAGTGAAGCTCAGCATGTTTGATGTTTCCAACCTTTACCCACTGACACACTTAAGCTCCTCATTTCACTCGAAGATTCAGTTTTAGAAAAGCACTCCCAAGTAATTTTTAGCAATGCCGAAAGCATGCACGGAATAACGAATCCAATGCAAATGCATAAGCGCATCCTAAGCAGTTAATAAATGTAAAGAAGAACAGCTCCTCCTAAAGCATCAAAATTCGCAATAATCATTAAATGCACACTCAAATGGGGAAACAAAATCAATCGACTTACAAGAATAGCGATCAATTTGGCATCAGGACTCCACACAGCCTGCAAATTCTCACCCTCACTCTCAACCGACTTTGCATCCCTCTTATACTTGCCCAACCTCACTTTATGCTGCATGATCCAACAATAAAACAAGAGTTCACAAATCGAAAAACCCTTAGTTCCAAAAGATAAACATAATACATGAATGTGATGTGTAAAAGTACCTGAGAGGAGCTCCAGAGCTCAAGGTGAGAAGGAGAGACGACAAGCAAGAGGCGATTCATGACTTTGAGGTATATAATTTGCTGTGAAGAAGGACATAGTCCTTGCTCTAAAGGGATCACCTGAGGCCATCCATATGCCATATACATCTTGTCCGTTCTTCAAATACTACAATATTTGTATATATTGCTACACTTTGAATTGGTAATATAGGATGTTAATGCGTTGGTTTTAGAGATCTAAAAAATGGAGCTGTGAGGCTTGAGGCAAGAGATCTGAAGCATTTCAGGAGAACCATAGCATTTTTCAGGTAGATCTCGCTGAGAATCGCGTTGTTTTGTTTTAACTCTCTTCTTGTTCTACAATCCTCTCGACGTGTTTTGCCTGCTTATTGCTCCTTATGATCTGTCCCGTGTCCCGATGGTAACAACGACTTTGCGTTTGTACCAAAAGCAGTGAACAAGAACAGCACGATACGTTTTGAGACGTATTTTGTGCCTGACCGGTGTCTCGCTGACTCGACCCGCGCGACCGTCTCAGACCTGAGGGTATGTATACTTTCTTTTTCTTCATTAAATTTCATCCTTACTAGAGTGACTGTCACTGTCAGTATGGTTTTGGGGCCAGTGGCAGGCTCATGGGCTGGTCTAATTTGGGCCGCTATTAGCGCCAATGCTATTGAATGGGCCTCATTCAAGGTAAATTAACAACCCAGAATCATTGCAGATTATTGAATAGAAAGGCCTTCATCAATCTGAGCCCAAAACGAACAGATGAAACAGATTAGTGGGGGACCAAGGAAAGGCTTACTATTTTGAAGCTGGACAAAATACTAATCCCATTTTGTCCCAGTGCATTGAAATCAAAATCATATTATTAATATTTTTTTAATTGAAATAATGTCATTTTCTTAAAACGTGAAAATTATTTAAATCATTCCCGTTAATTTTGTCAACCAATCAGCATTACCTTAATAGAACTTAGCTTAAATTCATTTAACACTTGAAATTATATTATTTAAGTAAATAAAATCTTAGAGGGTCCGTATATTGACACTTATGGAGGAATTTATGCTATAAAATAAATTTCCTGATGCACATCAAGATAATAAGTGAGCCTTCATCTATAGGATATTAAAAATAATTACCATATATTTAATCTGAGGCTGCAAGAGATATTCTATTTATTTATGGTTGTTTATTTATTTTATCTTATCAACAGCTAATTAAACCTTCAACTTATTCATTTAGATAATAAAAAATAATTTTTATTTGTTTGAGATGTTTATCTGAATTTTAAAATTAAATTTGTATTAATAATTTATTTTTAAAGAAAATTCAATGAAATATATAAATTACCTATATATGCTACCATATATCACTTCCTAATTATTAAGCAACTAATTATTAGTACCGAAATACTAAGACATAATTTAGTAGCAAATCCAGAAACAGACTATGAGCTTTTGGGGGAGGCTATAGGCCCAGATTAAAAAATTTTTAAAATTTTTAACCCCTAAATTATTTGGTTGGATCCGTTATTAAATAAATGCACATACAAATTGACAAGAGATCAAATTTGAACCCTTCTCTTTCAAAGCTTAAAAAAACCCCACATCCAAAATCAGGGAAGGAAAAGAGGAAAAGAAAAGATTGCTTATATGAAAGACAGTTTAGGATGGGGACTAGAGTATGGAAAAGGGCCACCAGAAAACCATTGTTAGAAAATCCAAGTAGGGAGTCAGAGAAGATAAGGTGATAATTGAGTCTATGGCTTGTGGGTGTGCATGCATCAAGGGCATTGAGGGGACAACGATCAGACACACTGGCTATGCTTTGGGTCCCTTCTTGACGTGTTGGTTAATTGAGCATTAATACTCCCATATTCAAGAAAATTTCAAAACACATTGTTAAAAAATTCCCACTTTCTTTCACATCATAGGAAAAAAATGTTATATTTCAAATTTCATTTTTTACCTTCCTATTGTAATTCCAAATCATAACAATGTAATTTCAGGATTATGCTAAGTCTCTACTTTTGACATGACTTGTCAAACACCACTTTGAAAATTTTCAATTCTTTTGTTTCTTATTTGAAGGTTTTTAAAGAAGGATTTTCGAACAGTTACAACACACCCCATGTGAAGTTTGAGTCCAAATATACATGCTTGATCTTTACAGATTTTCATTTGTCGTATCTCTATTTTAATGACTTTTTAACTACTTTCCGCCCACAAACAGTGTTATGAGTTGGGTGTAATGACAGAAGCATTTGGGCCAGGATGGTCTTCACATTGCTAGGCAAATGACAAATTTTGGAATTACGGTCAGTCATTTAAGTGTTAGTGGTTAGTACTTGATGCGATGAAAGCGAGCCAATTTTAAAAACGCCAAAAGCATAGTTTTTTTTACGCCATTTGTCTCGGAACTATTATAAAATTATTTTATTTCAGCGAAAAATATAATTATTATTCAAATATAAAAATATAGAGTTATAATAATTTTCTATAAATTAATAATACCGTAAGGTAAATTCTGTAAATTTCATGAACAAAATTATATATTAGATATGTGCCCAATCGAGCCATGATGGTGTGCTGGTTGGCCAGGGTTTGCACCACCGACGATATTTGTCCTGCCCTACCACCCTCAAGTTTCATGGACCCCCCACCCACCAATTCTCTTGCTCCGGCTGCCCCTTATTATTATTGTGGACTTTGTAGTGGGCATACCCCACTTTACCTTCTATTTATTTTTTGTTTCCCCTTATTTTTGGTAATTAAATGGAACTTTCTTTTAATAAAAACACACAACCCTTTTCCTATTCTTTTTATTATTTTTAAATAAAAAATTATCTAAGTGACTTAGTGCACGTACTATATTGCTTATTATATTTGATTATTATCGGTTGATTATGTGCTAGATATACTTTTTAACAAGATTTTATATTGTTATAAAAGAAATTGAAATAAGTGCACCAATTGCTTTATCGTTGTCATTGACAATAATAATAATAATAATAATTAAAAAAAAAGTATATCATATAACTCACCAATTTTAAAATCAATTGATTAGAAATTTAATTTTACAATCAAAGATAACCAAAATTAAATCCCTATTTAATTTATCTATACATTATAAAATGGACGCTCAACAATAAATTATTATTCTAATGTATTCACTGCAAATTATAAAATATATATAGTGTCTTATTGCATGTATGAGATAACATTTGCATTAAACGTGGATTGGAATGAATATCTAGCGTGTGTAATGGAGTTAGGAGGATTTTTTTTTTATTCCTTCCATGCCTTATGAGACCAAAATTGTCATTTGAAAAATTCATACATATTTAATTCGGATATATATTTATATATTCAGAATTGAGTGATATTTAGATAAAAGAAAGCTTACCATTCTAAAATTCTAATAAATTCGTTTATAAATGTACTTTGACTGTGTTTGGCAACAGTTTTTTAAATAGTTTTTAGTGCATTGATAATGTTATATTTTATAGTGTTAGATAACACAGCGTTTGAACTGGTTTTTAAAAATTAAAGTAATATTTTATAAAAAGTTAACTCATTTAACGTTTCATGAAAAGATACTTGAACAGTTAGCCATTAAAACGCTACTAAAACAGCTAACAGTTATTACAACAATTAATTTTATTGAACAGACTTTTTTATTTCAGTTGATCGATTTGAAGTTTTTATCACTTGTTATATTTGAGAGAGAGACTGTGTGTGTGTGTGTGTGTGTAATATTTGTGTCGATTTCAAATCAAAGATTAAAATTTGAGTGGGAGTGATATTTCAAATGAAAGATAAAAGCATTTAAGGATCCTCAAATGAAGGAAGCTACTTGGAGCAAACAATGATTAGTTCGCCGCATGTATAGATTCAATTCACATTGTAACTAAACTTTTAAGGATTTAATTATTGCTTTATTTAATTAAAACAATAATAAATCATATAAAAAGCACTGGGGAGGAAAAGGCAATAAATCATTAAAATAAAGTAGATATTTCACCAATAATAATAAAAAATTTTAAATAATAATAGGTGTTTTTAAATTGATTTAAAATGACATACAAAATATAATTTAATATAAATATATATATAATTTAATAATAAATTTAAATTCGAATCATAAAAAAAAAAAAAAATCTTTGGATGAACATCGTATATAATAGTAATGGTACGAGTACCCTTCACAAGCTAATGGAGGCTGCACATAGGAGCAGGAGATGATAATTTGTGATTGTGATATAAAGATGTGATTAAAAGTTCCATAGTTGAAGATTTATAAATGGGTAGTCATTTCAAAGATGGATATCACATCACATAAAATGTTGAAGCATAAGAATGCACCTTCCCTTCTCCCACTATAATTCACAAATTAACTTGTCAATTTTGTCCTCAGTTGATTATAATTATGGTACATAAAATGTTTAGTCATTGGCACTCTGAGCTGATGGACTGATGGGATATTGCTATCTTCTTCCATAGCTAGACCAGATTCCTTTAATTTATACATCAATTACACTATCGATCTAAAATTTAAGTCATTTTTAGGTGATTATTATTTTTTAAATATAAGTCATTTTAAATGTTTTAAGGTATAATAAATTATATTTTTTTCAATGTTACTCTTATTTATATTATATACAATAACTATTTTCACAAGTTATTTTTGGTTTTAAAATAAATGATATTTTGGTTAAATTTCCTTTAATTTTGATATAGTTTATGAGAATTAATTGTTAAACTGACTTATATATTTGAAACACAGACTGTATTTGTTAGTACAAACAATTAATCAAATAGTTGCACACCAAGACATAGTCGAGTGGTAAGTGTATATGTGGTTTGACAATAGATCCATATTTGAAATAAAGAACAGAATAGCCTTTTTAATTATTTTAGTAATAATGGATTGATGTTATGATAAGTCTATTCCAAATTTATACTCCACCCATTATTTGTACTATATTTTCTTTCTAATATTACATTTATATTCATTCAACTAATATTCAAACTAATGTCAAAAAAAAAAAAACTAATATTCAAACTTTTGTTCTAGAACATTCAATCAAAAGCCAAACCTGGAACTAATAGTATCGGATTCAATCCATCCATATAGGTTGGAGAATCTGTAATGTACGTAGTTTCAGCTTTGCAATAAATATCATATATGTCAATCAAAAGCCAAACCTGGAAACTAAATAGTTATCGATCAATCCATCCATATAGTTGGAGGGAATCTGTTAATGTACGTAGTTCAGCTTTTGCAATAAATATCATATAATTAGATATATATATTAATATATATATATATATACTATCACATCTATAGTATTTTTATTCCCTTCGGATATATATATAATATATACTATCAATCTATAGTATTTTTATTCCCTTCGGATATATATATATATATATGTTGAATGACATGACACATGATTCTACATAACCTTTTAATTCAAAGAGAAAAAAAAAAAAAGATCAAAAATAAAAAAATGACCAAAATTAAATAGTCACCATCACCGACCAAACTTCTATTTAACAAAAATGATTTGCAATTTGGTCTTAATTTATGTCATTCCGCCATTTCCAATGTTGCTTTCATCCAACGTTTATTTCGAGCATCAATCATAAAGCTGCCTTAGCTTAAAATTGTTCTTTCACTGCTTCAGTTTCTTTGGATTTTAAATGCTTTCATTTTTTCCCGGTCGAGGTTAATTATTCGATAAAGCGTTAATATTTAAATTTAGAAAAAAATGATGTTCAAATAGTAAAATATGTTTAAATTTAATGAATAATTTTTATAAGATATGTCGAAATGGTAAAACAGGTTGTACGGCTAGAAAATACCATATAAAAACATTTAAAACAATGTACAAGAAAGGAAAGAAAAAAGAATACTAAATTAAAACAATCATAAGAAGATAATTAAACAGACCAACCAGGTGGGAGCTGAGAGTAAGTACGTGATTACGATAAATCCATATCCTTTAACTTACTTTTTTTTTTTTTTTTTAATTGTATCCTTAACTGATCCATTTCCTTACTCCAAATCCATATCCTTTAACTTTCTTTTTTTTTTTTTTTTTAACTGATCCATTCCTTACTCTTTCCTGAATAACAGCACGTGGCACGTGCCTAATTTCCTACCTGTGCCATTTTTCTATTTACGAGTAAACGTTACGCAGCCTTAGACTGTTAGACAGATCACATTACTCTATCCCTCCCAATCTCCCATTACTCTCTCTCACCGACCAATCAAATCCAGGCCCACTACCTCTCTGCCTATAGGGACCCACTGTCTAGTCGCCTCCTATTGGCCAGCTTACACCTCTAGTAAAACTCACAGCCGGTAATTTTATCTCGTCACTTCACTCGGTCCTATTATATTATGGAACCCATAGGCCACTAACTGAAGCAGCTGAAGCAGAAGCTTCCTCTCTCTCTATTTCTCTCTCCGTGTCTGTCTCGCAAATTTCTCTATAAATCTCTGGAAGCCGCCTTTCTCTCTCTATAGCTCTCCAGCAAATATCTCTTTCTCTCCCACTAACAGTCTAACAGAGCTACATGGGGTTTCCAGTTGGGTATACAGAAGTTTTCTTGCCAAAGCTGTTTGTTCATACACTTTCTTTGCTGGGTTTTATCAGAAGTCTAATTCTTTGCCTTTTTAACTATCTGGGTCTTTCGGATTTCCTGGAAACCGACAACATTTGGCCAGATAATCCGACCCGAATCCACTCCCACCCGCCCGTTTCTGCCACCCTGATCCGGGAAATTTTGCCCGTCATCAAATTTGAAGATTTAGTACCCGGAGCCGGCGAGGGTGACCTGCCGGAGAGTTGTGCCGTTTGTCTGTATGAGTTTGATGGAGAGGATGAGATCAGATGGTTAAAGAACTGCAAGCACATTTTCCACCGGGCTTGTCTGGACCGTTGGATGGATCACGACAGAAACACGTGTCCGCTTTGTAGAACCTCATTCGTCCCTGATGAGATGCAAGAAGAGTTTAATCAACGGTTATTGGCTGCTTCTGACGACAGTGATTTCTATTACAGTGAGTACAGTTCGGTTCCAGTTTTGTAGGGAGGACCATTTCCTTATGTTTGAATGAAAATGTATATATACAATGGAATTTGGGCAATTTAGCTAAAATAAAAAGAAAAAAAAAAAAAGGAAAAACAAAATCCCTTTTTGATGTATATTTTTTGAAATCTTTATTTCAACAAGAGATGAAAAAGAGTACGCGTTTCTGGACTTTTTAATATCAACGTAATCAAACATTGTTCATATTAATTTCTTTTTTAGGGGAAAAAAATAGTGAACTGTCTGTGTGATTCATTTAATAATGTCGAAATTCCAGAGACAAAATATTTGAGCTAGTCTTTGTTTTTTTTTTTTTTTTAAAAAAAGAATTAATCACTAAGGTATGGGAAAAATATTAATTAATTAATTAATTAAATGTCTTATTACACACAAAACATTAAACATGTGACCTAAAGAAACAGTTCCTGCCAAGTGATGGCTGGAGAATTATTGGAATTGTAATATGTAGCAAATAAGATGTGATGATTGATCATGGCACTGCAGGTTTTGTCTACTCAATCTTATCTGTTAATAAAAAAAATAAATAAATAAGCTGGTGTAAATATATTATATAAATAGCTATTTTAAGTATTCTAGAAAAATTACAAAATAATGGCAGAGATATTTCATATATTATGGAAATTGTTAGAACCTGGATTTTTATTGTTTTATGAATTACGTTTCCAGTCAGATTAAAATTAAAAGGAAAAAAAATTACTATTACTTTCTATTTCCTTTCCGTTCTTACTTATTTATCCTACTGAACACTACACTGAAACGGAAAATTAAAATTCTATTCTCCATTGCCATTTTAAGAATTTTTGGAGTAGCGTTTGATATAACTGAATGTATCAAAATTGAGTTACAAAACTGAGGAGAGATGGGTGGGTGGTGACTTTTGTTTGTAGTTATGTAAAGGTAATAACAGCACATGGAAATGGAGTATGTTTTGTCATAAACTCTGAGTCAGTCCACGTTTGTCTCATGGGTTGCCCTTCACACGATCAACTAGATGGGTCGGATGAGGATAACAAAACTAGACAGTTTCTGACTACCCAGAACCAATTCTGGAAGCTTTAAATTTTTTTTTTTTTTTTTTTTTTTTTTTTGCTTTAAATTTTTTTTTTTTTTTTTTTTTTTTTGTTGGGGTTTCAGATTTGAATGGATTTCGTTTAACCGTAAATCAAAAATTGTATTATGAATTCTGAAATGGCTATGGCTAACCGTTAACTCAAGAAAATTAGTGAGTAGTATATTTGGAGATTCAGAATAATTTTTTTTTTTTTTTTTTTTTTTTTTTGTTGGGGTTCAGATTGAATGGATTCGTTTAACGTAAATCAAAAATTGTATTATGATTCTGAAATGGCTATGGCTAACCGTTAACTCAAGAAAATTAGTGAGTAGTAATATTTGGAGATTCAGAATAAAACCCAACTCTATGAATCTTTTCTTTTCATCTCGTAGAATTCTCTTTCAGATATTAAGAGTAGAGTGAGCTCACCTCAATTACTCCATTTGACTGCTTTTTTGTGCGTCACAAGCCTATAGGGACCCTAGAATTTTAGTGCTCTATCTACAGTATCCATTAAAGCCCAGATTGAATCCCTGCATGCCATACTGTTTATATATTTGGAACTTCGAAAATGCAAATCTAGTTCTGATAAAAATATGAAACTCAGCCCATATCAAGTTAGTCTCAACCCTATTTCTATGCCATTCGTCCTCTTTTGATGTGTATAATGATGATAATAACAAATAAATATTGCATAAAAAACTCAATTATGACTCCATTTGCATACTGCAAGTATTTATACCTTAGCCGGTAATCTTTGTGATCAGCTATTTCAACTTTCAATTACTTTTTTTAAAAGAAGGTATTTCAATTTTCGGATATGATTACCGTACAACCTGAAACAAAATCGCTAAAACAGTAAACTGTCGTTAACTATATATAGGCAATGAGTAAAAATAACCTAAGCATATGATTACTGGAAAATTTTAATAAACACAATTGCTAAACCAGTAAAATGTTATAGCTATAAATGGGCAACAAGTAAATCCTACGTTTAAATTTTAGTAAGTAAATATTTAATCCAAGTGTAAACTTAAATTTAGAGCCAATACTACTTTCTTATCACTAATATCCCTTTCCACATCACTTGGGGTAGCTAGCTGGGGGATAAGCACCAGGCGGTGGTGGTGGTGGTGGATATGCACCGGTTGGTGGATATGCAGGTGGAGGGTAAACAGCAGGAGGATAACCTTGAGCATAGGGGGGCGGAGGCTGACCGTAAGGTTGTCCATAAGGCTGTCCATATACCGGTTGTGGTGCATAGCCCACAGGCGGAGGAATCTGCTGATCAATACGTGACATTTGCTGCACTGGAGGCACCTCCATAACAGGCAGTGGCCCAAGCTTACCATCTCTTTTGTCCATTTCAAGCTTGTGCTGGGTCTGCATTTATTCCAGCATAAAATTATGAGGAACATGAAATTAAGTGATGGTAAACCGTCAAGAAACTGAACTAATTTATATTCACACATCAGGAATCCAGTCAAAGCAAAACAGAGGCCAGAGTGCTTGTTCATGACCAAGTTTTTGTGTACTGCTTTTCAATCAAGGGACTCTGGGATAATATAACCCTAGTGCAGGACCTAAAACATTTTGCTAAGGGGGTGAAATTATACTGCTTTCAACTGCAGTCTACAGCAAGTTTTATTTTTTCCATACCTGAATGCATGGGCAAACCCTGTTAAAACAGAACAAAGCGAAGAATTAATTTAAGATTTGAAGAATATCTTCATCCACCAAAGAAAGAGGTGCATTAACAGTCTTACGAGCAAAAAACCAAGTCAGACAAACAGGTCAACATATCAGCTAGGTCTCCAATTTCATCACTTCCAGTTATGCAAGCAATCAAGGAACATATACATGCCAATTGCTGCAGGCAGAGCATGAATCCCTAGAAAAGAAAGCAATTAATGTGTTAAAGTTGGCGTACAATTAAAAATGGAACCATGGGGGAAAGAGAAAGCTACAGAGCGAAAGTACAATGATGCAATTGTCGCATTGTGTGGTTTGTAAATTGAACTCATCTTGCAAGAGGAAGCGTGTTGAGGCAACTGAATTCGCGAAGCAACAGAAGACCTGAAGAAAATTGAACAGGATATTTAAAAACTTTGGGAATATGTAACCATAACCCTGCTTTATTGTTCAAGTTACTTGAAGCTAGAAAGAAAAGATCAATGTGAGACCTCGGTGCAAAGACAAAATTCAGGGCAGTTTCTTTCTCCACACTTGCCACTGCATGGAACATAGCCAGCACAGCATATATACCTATTTGCCGTGTAAATGTATTAGCATTCAATATGGATGTGTTGCAGATTTCACATATAAAGAGAAAAAAACAATAATTTACCTCGACATATCATTATAAAGAGCTCGTCTGCGCAGCATATATGAAGAACATGGTCCACTATCACATAACCAAAAGAGTAAGATTTTCATATGAGACAAATAAATCATCTATTTCATTGGGTTCATAGCTTCAAACATAGCAAAACCAAAAAAAGCAATCACCTAATTCCTCACCCGTAATTATATCATACCAATAAGTTATACTGAAACTGAGATCAGTATGCACATTTTCTTATCAATTACCTAAACTTTTCTACTATACTTCCAAGGCTTCAAGCCCAATTATTTGGAAGTAATGAGCAAGATACACTTACAGCAAAAAAAAACATTAGGATCAAATTCCTTATTAATATGGAATCTAATTAATTACAGAAGAATATGCTATTATAAATCTAAAAAGTACTAAAAGTTCTTTGACAGAAAGACATGGATAGAAAAAAAAAAAAATCAATTGCTGTGTCGAATCAAAATATTAAAAACTCAGAGAACTTACCAAAGAAACGCGAACAGGCAATCTGCATTTTATGTAAAAAGGAAAGAAAATAAATCAGAGATGCCAAAAAGAGCTAACATCAAAAGCAAAAGCTCAGCCACCGGAAGACAAATGAGCAATAATAAATTACACATTGAAATTTAAAATGTCAGACATAATAAAAAAGAAAAGAAAAAATCGTAAGCTCAGCTGAGAGGAGCTTTAAATTGTGACTTTGCCTTTTCAATTATTATTACCACAGCATCAGAAAGGCTTGGTTCCAATAGAAAACAAGAAAAAGGTAAAAGCATTTATTAATTGAACGAAAATTTACGTCTGATTAAAATTCGGAGTCAAACTTATGCTAAAAAGAAAAAAAGAAAAAAAAAATATGCTGCAAATTTTCCAGGAAACCAAACAGATCAATTTTATCTTACCTGGAAAAATTTTACATAAAAGAAAATTGACTGCTAAGAAATTGTCCAAAAAACTCATGACTCGATAGAGCCATTGCCTTCACATCTTTTGTCAACGGAGAAAGATCATAATCTCATTCGCATATCAGCATTGAAGGAAAACAACAAAAATTCATTACAGGTTCACAATTCAACATCGCCAATAATGGATAGAGTCATATCATGCATTTTCTCGGCAAACGAACAAAGACATAAGACTGAATGGAATGAGAAACATATATAGAAAAAAGAGATATACAAGGAGTATCTTCAACTACGGTGCCCATGAGATCGCTGTGCCAGACATTCCTATAACTTTGACGCAACTGCATTCTCTCAATCTGATCGTCTAGCCCCATTATTGCTTACAATCGAGAAAACCTCCAACTACTTCTTCTTTGAATGAAATTATACAGAGAATACCGAGATCTAGAACGGGAGAGCTAGGTAAGGGGAGATAGAGATTGGATAGCGTGGCTTTGAAACGGATATGAAGCGTCAAAGGAGACTCTACCTATATATATAGCGCCATTGTCATCGCACATGTGCGCAACGGAAGAGAAACGAGAATGAGAAAAGGCCGTTGATTTTGGAAGGTGTACGTAGAATTGCCAGGGATACACGCGGGCTAATCCAATTTGCACGTGCTTAATTTCTATTGTCTAAATCACAACTCTCGTTATTAGAGACAGTATAATTTGGCTCAGAATTTAATCACAGTTAAGACTCATTGCTCTTTCTTCATATGCGTTTAGCGGAGATCGAACTCGAGAGCTCTTCCTATATGCTCAGCCTAAATTACCAAATGAGTCACAATCCATAAGTTTAATTTAATACTATTAAAATTCCCCATGTAATTATCCTTCCTAAAGCCACGATAATCGTCATTAATGAATAATGTACATAGAAATGTAAATGTAAATGTAATAAGCTTTCTTTTTGGAGCTTCTAGAAATATATTAATATTCAATTAGAAAAATCAAATTGAAACTTCCTAAGGTTAGTTTCTACTTTAATTATGGTAGTATTTTCTTTTTTTTATTAGATATTCTATTTATATCAATTTTTTGAAATTCTATTTATTTTAATTAATGACTTCAACATTGTTAGGGAAGTTTAATTTCAGGATATACACTATATCACGCTACTAATACAATGAGTCAATAAAAAAAAAAATATAACATTTTAAAAATAGATATCTTTTCTAACCATACTTTTTTTAGTGAATCATTGTGAACGCCGTTTGAGTAAAAAAATATTTTTTATTGATTTAAAGTGTACAGACTGAATATAGATAAATCTTTATCGTTAATTAATTTATTATAATAAAAACACAATAATTTTATACCAATTAAGTTTCCCTGTCATATTTTTTTATATTTTAAAAATTTTTCCAAAACTGACAGCTAGTGATGTTGAAACTCATCAGCTGTATGTGGACTAAATTGCTAAAATAGAGATTGCGGTCCTAAACTGTCATTCACGTAGCGCTTTGCTAATGCTAGGTATAGATAAAATAATAAATATGTAGAAACTAGAAAGAAATCTCACAACCGCCTATATGATGTATATACTAATCAAATTGATAAAAGTAGCAAAACATTATAGTTCATTCAGAAATGTTTCAAACTTATATATTTATATAAAAAATAGAAAATGAATCCCAATTATAACTGGCAAAAGTTATTATTTATACCAATTATTAATATCATATTTGAAATGACATCGATTAGCTTTTACATATCTAAGTTTAATCTAATAATAAATATATATACAGCTTAATAAGATATTCGGATTCAAATCCTTTTTTCAGTACTCAAAACATAATTAATCAGTTAAAACATAATAAATTTTACCATTAGATTCCGCCTAAATTATTTATTACCTGCAACGAGTTACGAATTCAGGTAAAGGCTAAAATTAAACAATATTATTATACTCAAACCAAAAGCAAAAATGATTTTTTTTTTTTTAAAAAAAAAATGCAAGTGGATGGAAAGCCTGTGGTAGCAGAATATTATTACTATTATTATTATTATTAATAATAAAAAGAAATAAATAAAGTAATAATTCCTTCATTCCCCTGAAATCACTAAAATAAAAGGCAAAAGCGGAAAGTCACGTATTAATTTCCAAGTAAACAGTCTCCCTACCCCGTAGCTAGGAGCCTAATACTACAAAACCTAGATATAGAAAAAGAAAAGATCCTCCACATTCAGTAAAAAACACTGGTCCTTGTCAGTTCTGCAACTACTCTTCCAGTCTCCAGGTACAGTTGCGGTACAAGTTGCAACCATCATGAACAAAACGCCAAAAACCGCGTTAGAACTGATTTGGGCCCGTCTTTGTTCAAAAAAGTTTAGGCCCAACCCATTGAAAGGCATAGGAGAGACCATAATACTGGAAAGAGAAAGACCCTCCTGACCTGTGTCCTCACATCCCATCACATTATCAAAATTGCTTCCCATTATTGGATAAGGTCTGGTCTTCCGTTTCATGTTCTTCTTCTTCTTCTTCTTCTTCATTTTTCTTTTCTTTTTTCTTTTTATTTTTTACACACCAGACCATTATTATGTTTTTTTTGGCCTAGATATGTATATATAAAATTATGTTTGATAAAAGAAAAACAATAGTAATTCTTTGTTACTCTCATGAATTAATTATATTCTGCTTTTGTGTTTGGCTTTTTAGGTTTAGGGTTTTAACCATTTTGTGGTCTGTCTTTTCAATCTCTTGCTTTTTCTTTTTATGAAAACTAAAGTCGCCTTTCTATCATTTTATCATTCTGGCGGTGTGTTTATTTGGTGATACCCATGTTTCAGACAGGCTATTGGCTGTCAAAAGCTTATAGTAAGTGAATAAATAATTAATCAAATACAGAACTGCAATTATTTCACTACTTCAATTATTTTCTATTATTATCATTAATTAATAACTGGATTATTCAGTATAAACCTCAATTTCTTCCCATCTGTTTTGCTCGAGCTTAGGCCAGAGCTGGCTCTTAATTGAGAACTGCATGCACATGTAGATGGTAGAGGACAAAGAAAACCGTATCTCTTTATCCCGCAATTAAGACGGAAGCTTGACTAGTAATTTCTCTATAGATAGACTCAGGAAGGCAAATTAACTGGAAACCAATATATAACGACAATCACCTGGTTCTTGAAATTCGACCTGGAATTTACTATAAAGGTTCTTTTAGGTTTAAATCTGCAGGTTTTCTCAATATTCTTTATTCTTGTTTAGGGTTATGGATTAAGTCCTCTCGTAATTCTTACAATAAACACATTTTGCATTATCAACAATATCATAGACGATGTATACTCCACAATTCTTTGCGTGATGACTCTGTACTATTGTTACTTCTTCTGCAGACTGCAGATACCTTTCATTTTTGCAGAAAAAGCCTTGATCATAGATTAACCTAGATGACAGAACTTCAAATATATATTCGTAACGAGTATATTATTAGATCTGCAGGTCAATTCAATTTCTGGTTTTACATGACAGATATAAATATCCGAGAAGGTAATTAATTCCATAATAATAATTAATTATATCTAATTTCCCTCCATAATATCATTTCTTGAAAGCTTAAATTCAGTTAATATTATACCACCATGTCCTGTCATCTCCATATAGACAAAAACAAAGAGAAAAAAAAAAAAAGAAAAAAGCAAAAAGAGAGAACCTTTCCACTCCTATGCATTGATATGTCAACACTCAACAAGTCCAAAAAACATATCCTTTAAAGAAATTACAACTTCTGTTGAAAGTTGAAGATTGGGGGAAAGATTCTGATCTAGAGGAGGATTACATAATAATAAGTAGCAGCAGACAACTGGTAGTGTATCTATACATATATATATAATTATATAATTATAAAGGAAGTTTTAATTTACATGTGGTACGGTTCTTTGGATACGCTTCTATATATATATGTCTGATTTTTATTACACACTTTTTATAACCCAATTTTGGAAAAAAAGAAAAAAAAGAAAAAGAAAAAATCACCAATGCTAATGTGATCATTGTTCTGTTGCTTTTAATATCATCATCTTGGAAACCTATCTTTCTTTATTGTCTATATATATATATCTATAACCCAATTTTGAGAAAAAAAGAAAAAAAAAGAAAGAAAAAATACCAATGCTAATGTGATCATTGTTCTGTTGGCCTTTTTAAAATCCATCATCTTGGAAACCTATCTTTCTTTATTGTCCTATAATATATATCTTATATATATATATATATAATATATATATCTTTTTACATTCATCTTGAAATGGGGAACCATATATATTAATATTGAGGTAAGGATAGAATCATGTTATGCATAGTAGAATGATAAGGTGGTCCCTACGGTTTTCTATATATATCTTTTTTCATTCATCTTGAAATGGGAACCATATATATAATATTGAGGGTAAGGATAGAATCATGTATGCATAGAGAATGAAAAGGGTGGTCCCTACGGTTTCAGGTTCTTTCCTCTCTGTGCTTTTCACTTCTGCTTATTTAATGTTGAAATTAACCAAATTGTATTATTATTAGCTCAATCTATGGCTGATCTGTAATTATATTTGTGTAATTTCAATTTTATTCTTATTTAGCAAGAAAATGGCATCTCTAATTGTATTTGTATAATTTATAGGATAGTGTTTATTTTTGTTATGACCGAAGAATAACAAGTACAAAGCTTCCAATGTTAATTATAATTTGGTACTTTCCATCTTGTTGCAATAAAGAAAGATCAAGTGTGGTACTTTTCCACCATGGCCATATAGAAAGATCAACATCGCTGCTTCCCTTTTATCTTATATGCCCACTACACCTCCAGTTTTGTTGCTTATAGCCGATCTGTGTACCAAAGTATCAAGTTATTCACCTCCACTTTCAAAAGTGAAATAGGATGAAAGAAATTTCTTTTTTCAGATACTTTAGATTTGAGTTTTGGACACGGAGTTTTTTAAAAATTCGGAGGGAATGCTTTCCACTATTTATGAATCTGTTCGGAATGAATCTGTATTATTTGGGTCAATGAACTTCAGACACCAAATGATTTAAAAAAAAAAAAAAAAATCAAAGTTATCTAGTGACCTACACATCTTTCTTGTTTTGAATGCAAGTCATGTGCCTTATTCTTAATTCCCTCTTCGGATAATGACATTTTAATAAAATTTTGAAATTTACAAACAGGATAACTTTAGAAATATATAACATCCCTGACCCAGTTTCAAAATAAAAAAAACATCCTAAGCCAAATTAATATAATTAGGGATGATTTCATAATTAGAAATGACTAATTTTCCTGAACTCTGTAAATATTGAAAAATCCTAGATAAATTATTTTTTAGAAGGAATGTAGATTTTTATTTGTAGGCGTTAAGTCTACATGGCTTAAAACCTAGCCTCAAATTTTGACACGTCTCCCTGCATCCATCCAATTTCCAAACAAAATATTAAATAAATAAATAAAAAAAATAAAAACATCTCTCTGGTCTGGTATGGTATCGGATTCTGTGTTTTCACGCCTTGAAGTCTCCATCATCTACACTCTGAATCATAGCCGTTCATCTCACAGCCGAAGGCAATTGGGACCCGCAAGGTACAGTCATCAAATCCATTTGTTAAGTGGGCCACACGTGTTTGCCACTTTCTCTATCCCGAGCGTGGGCGTCCGCGTGTGGATTTCACGCTCTATCCCCCTTCCCTTTGTTCTAGGAGAAAAAGATGTTAGGTTTCGTGAATTTAATCATTTAAAAAAAATCGAAGCCTAACCTCGACTGGAATGATGATCACATACGGCTCTTTTTATACCATTACAATAGAACTATCGTAGCACAAATGAGAATTAGACACGGAAGCAGAAGACGTGTCACAAAAGATCGGGCCATTTGACATTTAGATCTCGTGAAGGGAAAACTGGTCCTATTAATGGTAATTAAGTGTAAGTTAGCAAGGAGTGGCCGCATCTGATAATTTAGCATGCTAAAATGATTTTATAATGGCTTTGGACAACTATCATGACGTGTAATAGCGGCAGCTTTCTTTCTCTCAAAACCAAAACCCGTAAATGACAGAAAAACCAAAGGGTAAAATAGTAAACTAAAAAAATAAATCGAAACATATGAAGGGCCGAGAAAGCAACAGAAAGTTAAGAAACCCTGATTATCGAGTTGTGTGAGATCTGCAAAACAATACAAAGGGAGCCCCTCTCTTTCTTCTTCTTCTTCTTCTTCTTCTTCGTTAGAGAGAGGGTTTTTCACCAGAGCAAAAAAAACAAAGATTGCCTTACTTGGATCTATCTATATAAACATCTTTCTCCTTTTTCTATTTCTATTTTATTTTTTCAAAATATGAGGATTCGCAAGAACGCAAACCTCTCCTCGCTCATTTCTTCGCACGCTTCCGGCCCTGAGTCCCTACAAACACACGTGTGCCAGCTAAACCAATCACCATGGGATGTGATTCCTTTCTCTCAAGAGACTTACCCATCTTCGCTTCACCAGGTTAGTTATTTTTCTCTCTATGTTTCTATCTATTGTTTGTTTTATTTCTGACAGATCTATCAAAACCCTCTTCACTATTCTCTCTATTTCTCCTCTGGTATCTGCATTTTCTCATCTTCCTTCTAGGGTTTTTCGGATGTTCAACCTTAGGGTTTCATAAAACCCTAAATTTTCTCGGTTTTGTCGTGTATTTAACTCTAAATGGTCGATTAGGTTAATGGGTCTTCGTCATTTCTTTCTATTCACTTTGTTTTCGGTTCTTACTCTCTGGCTTTTCATTCTTTATACTAGTTCGAAGAAGAAGATAGCTTTAATGGAAATGGGAGCTTAGGTAATTCTATTGGTGCCGTTGAGAGGTAATTTAATCTCTATGTCAATTTATCATGGCGTTTCTCTCTTATCCGCCATTAGGGTTTTTTTAATATTTGAATATTTGTCAATTAATTGGTTCAAAATTTGCGATGTGTAGTAAGCATAGATGGTTAGTTAGTGTTTGTGGTTGTTGAATACCCTATATTATGGTAATAGCAGCAGCGTCGCTTCGTTAATGGAGGACGCAGAAGACAAGGCAGCGATGACGGTCGATAATATGATTATCGACGATAATTATGAAATGGAAAGGATAGCAGAGAAGAAGCGAGTATTTGACGATTACCAAGAAATGAAGATAGGTAGCGAATTCAAGTTGAAGAAAGGCGGAAAACTACATTGCTGCAATAAAACCGATGGCAAAGGCTGGCATTGCAAAAATGAAACTAAAGAAGGTCACTCGATATGCGACCATCACTTTATCTTGCTCAAATCCTATAATAATGTTTCAAATTCTTGTATTAGTCTCCCTACCAGTCCATCTACTAAGAAACAAGAAAAAGTTAATCTCGCTGGAGGTCGTCGCGGCCGGGGAAAGGCAGCAAAGAAAGGGTCATCGTCGACATCGAATCCGTATGAATTCTATTATTATTCTGGGTTTGGGCCGTTGTGGGGAAAGAGAAGAGGAGGAGATAAATTCGGAGAAGGTAACAAGAACGAAAGTAAAGAAAGTGAGATTAATGGCATGGACATTGGTCCTCGAAATACGACGCCGTCTCCTACTACTTGTTCGTCAATTGAACATCACGAAGAGTTCGATTTTGTGGATGAAGACGATGACGATGAAGAGGATAGCGAAAATGGCGACAGCGGGGCCAAGAAACGGATGCGGAAACCTGTAAAAGCAAGATCTTTGAAATCGCTTATGTAAAAGAGGGTTTGGGGCAGAAGGGAAGGGAAACGAAAATGCTAGTTAATTATTTTTATTTTTATTTTTATTGTTGTTTTAGGGTTAGGGTGTTTGTTTGTTATAATTTTGGTGCATAGTTTGTTCTGTGGTATCATGGGTAATGTTAGACTTTCTCTGTAACATGACAGTAGGAGTAAGTTTAGGGTGTGAACGAAGCAGACTGCAGACTTTGCACCTTAGTCAACTGTTGCCCCTAAAGGATGGGTAGTTTCGTAATTTAAGTTTTCCTTTATGTAGTTAGTATATTTTACATTTTCCCTCCTGAAACGGGCTTGGTTGCGTAGATCCTTTAGGTCCGTCATTTTTGCTGTGACGTGGCGCACTATAAGATAGTTGATTAATTAACGCAAGCTAAGCTATTAAAATCTGATATTTAAGTGGGATTAATATTTTCATTCGTGTTTTTAAGTAGACAAAGGAAGCAGTTAAACGTAATTTTGGTCGACAGATATGTATAAGCATGAGGATGCTATTTACGGTAATTTTGATTCAAGTAATAAAATCCAAAATTGGTGGGCTCCATTTTTCTGTTAATAAGTAGATAATAATAATAATCATCCTAAGTTTGTATTTGGTAAGCTGTTGTTGCGGCATCAGCAATCGTTGTTTATTATTATTATTATTATTATTGGTTAGGCACTACACATGTACAACTTCAGTGAGTCACCTTAATTTCAAAGCGTAATTCATTAGAAAATAGGAAAGCCACTAATCTAATTGAATAAAGTTTAATTTGAAAATTACCATAAGATGATATTTCCTTATTTTACCACATATCACGTCAATTTTAAAAATATTTGTTTTGGTCTCTTTGCCACTTGAGAAAAAACAGTATATTGTTAACCCTATATAGTTCAGATGGGTAAATTCAATACAAGACTTCATATTTGATGCTTCTCAAGAATTTTTATGATCAATTCTCATTTATATATGTACATTTATATATTATTCATTTGGGCAAGTTTTTAATTGTTAATTTATACATTTGCGAGCATTAATATAATATAATCAAAACTGAACCTTTATTTATAGAAATTTTCTTTTAGTGGTGGAGAAAATAAAAAAAAAAAGAAAGTTTACCCTTCCACGATTCACTTCTGTTTTCTTTTATCCCTCCTTTTTGTTAAAGTTCTTATATGTAAAATCAATTATTATAGTAATAAGTTAAAATTTATGTGATTTCTAATAGAAATACATAACAGTACCTAGTAGAAGACGAAGACGAAGTACATGGAAAGTGACAAGCAAAATTATACTGTGGAGTACAGGATTCATGAGTTCTCAAATAGAAGAAGAAGAAGCTGAGAAGCTGAAGTTTTGGGATGTTAGGGAGACAAAGGAATCCACTACGAAGTCTAAAACGTGCCAATTTCGACAATAGAATAGGATTTGTACCCTTTTCATTTCCCATTAACCGAACCCAAACATTAATAAGAAATTAAACCTGCCCTTTGCACTCTCATACCATGCGCGTGCATATCAAATCATATGACACTTGTCCCTTTTTGATTCTAACGGATAACTCCATGCCGTAAAGCCACGTGTCATAGTATACTTCGTTTGTTTTTTTTTTTTTTTTTTTTTCGCTGTCATAGTAATAACTTTCGTTTGTTTTTTTTCTCTTTTTTTATTTGAGCATCAAAGCGCTGATGAGTATATTTGTTCTATGGTTAGTACTCACTAAAAACAAGATTTAAAACATTTTTTTTTTTTTTTTTTTTTTTTATTTGAGCATCAAAGCGTGAAGTATATTTGTTTATGTTAGTACTCACTAAAATACAAGATTTAAAACATTACAGATCTAAAGAGTATAATTTTACTGGAAGCAAATAAATTTGTGAGAATAAAATTCTGCGGTGGAAGCGTGTCCCTACCAGTACCAGTAAATTAGGAGTTGTGGAAGTAGCTGCTGTAAGCGTTACACTTCACTTCAACACACTGCAAGAGAGGATCAAAGTTCTTAAAACATATAATTAGCAAAGTTCATTAAGTTAATTTCACATAGTAGCCAACTAATTTGGGCTCAAGACTTTTATTAAAGGATGATTTCCCCTTCAAAATATTTAATACAACTCACAGAGAGAAAGGTAGATTGAGAGAAATACACCCTCTGGATAAACAACAGAGAGCAGAAAATTATAACAAGAGAACAACATAAAGCAAACACATTATGTCAATACATGCGGAATCGAAACATTTGCGGCTGTTGTAAACAAGTTTTCTCTGACAACATATTTGAATCAGACATTCCAACAGTGAGGAATTTCTTGCACTGTATTGATCAATGTAAAAGAAAGGGGCAAGGCTAACTTCAGAAGAAGGTAGGCAATTGCCCCCACTTTGTGTAAACAAAAATTACAAGATAGTACTATTTTATTTTAAGAAAATTAAAATTTTCCCCCTTGATAAATAAAGTTTGACCCTCTCCTTTATATATAAAATACCAAAAGAACTTAATATATGGGTCGCATATAATGGTCCATTATTATATAAAATATTTTGGAAAGGCTTTTAATTTAGCATTGAATAATTCCAAATATAATTCACGTATTAACAATAATTATTTTACATATTTTGTTAAATGAATTTTTTTCATTTGGTAAGAGTTTTTTTCTATCAATGACAGAAATTTGTAAAGGAAAGAAATGAAAATTTGGGACAACGATTCTTTCATTGTAATATATACCATTCAATTTTAATATATACAAGAATTATATGTTTTTGCTTAATTGAAAGTTTTGGCTTGCAAAAGGCCTCTTATTAGTAAAACTTGTTTTCAATAATAAGCATTGACTGTAATTTCCATTATATTCAGCACTGACTGCTTGCTACCGTTAGTTTTCTACTCGATCAAAGCAAGTACTCCTCAATATTCAAAAACAAATTCCACAGACAATAAAAAGAAGAGGTTCTACATACTTCTGCACTGAAAAAACTTACTTGTATAAATAAGCGGCAATGCCTAAAATTATACACAGAAGGATGATGTCGATGCAAAAGTTACGACTGGACCTCAGCTGAAAAGAAGAATCACAACACAAACAAATGACAAGCAAGGAAACATACATGAAGTAAAGGCCACCGGTTGGAAAAACTGTGCTAATATTGAAGGAAATCCCATTTTCATATTATGAAATGATACATTACCTGGTTGAGAGTATCCTTAAGTCTCACATTAGTATTTTTGATATCTGAGGTTGCTCTGTCAACCTGCAAGATGTCAGAACACCACCACTTAATTTGACAAATGAAGAACCCTTCAACTTGGAACATTAAGAAAATGAATAAACGAACACTGGAATTTTGAAATGAGTGGCATACATATTGCTAAATCGTGAAAATTATTAACTCCTGATAAAATCATATTTTCAGTTACAAAATCACAGTAACAACTCCACCACTACCCGTGGTCATCCTTTTCTAATTGGCCCCTGTTCTCTCTCTCTCTTTTTGTCACCACCAACTAATAAATCCACTAGAATCTAGAACGAGTTATCTCACCGAAACCATAAAACCAAGAAGGAAATTATGTTGCTAGTTATGCACATATCTCTGACTCCCAATCATGCTAAACTTCTACGATATTGTGAAGAGTAAAAAGGTCAACAATAAGAAAGAAGAATGGAATTACCTTGTCATCTATTTCATCCATCTGAGGCAATTGTCTGTCCAATTCCTACAGGTCAAATTTGTAAAATGTTAATAAACAAGAAGCAAGATATCTAACATTTATTACAAGTCTGTGTGTCAAGCTACAGCCTCAAACCTCATTCATGTCATGCGCCATGTCTTTCAGAGTGTCTAATCCTTCTGCTATGACATCTAAACCTTGATCCTGCATGAAGTCAGATATATCTTATATGTATTCCTTTTCAATTAACGTCACCTAGAAAGCTAGACTAACTACTTTGTTGACATGCAGCAGAACATACTTGAATGCCACTTTGAAAACAAACAAAAGCACAAAATACTTGCCTGTTTCATTCTACGCATTTCATATTCCTGCCTAAATCGATCTGACTCTTCAGTTTGCTGGAAATATTCATTATCAAATCTACCATCTAATGAAAATAAAAAAGAATTCACGTAGATATGTTTTATTCTTGTCCAGAAAAACTATAATAACGAGTAAGAACAACTGAAAAATTAAAATCAAGAATCAATTTGAGGAAAAATGATAAAGTACCATAAGTAGAGTGAAATTTGATTCCCGTATGTGAAGTTGAAGGTGCCCGATCACCAGTTTCTTTAACTGTGCCTGCACTTCCATCTGGTATTGCTTCAATCCTGTCTTTTAATGTAGAAACCAAATCACTACGAGCTTCAAGCTCTTCATGTGAGAGCCCTTTTACCTACACACACTCGTTAATTTTAATCGTCACCAATCAAATAGAGTAAATTTCAGCACAAAAAATTAGCTTCTTTTTTCTATTTAATAAAATTTTTTCTTAATAAATAAAATAAATTAGATAAGCCTTTGACCTTTTTAAGAGCCAGTCTCTGCAATTTCGGGAGTTCCTCAAGCATTCGAGCCTTCGTTCTTCGTATCTCTGCATTAATAGCAATAGCTGTAGCCCTATTCTTCTCCATTGCTGCCAACTCCGATTTCTACAAATTTTTTTCCCGGTTATCAATCAGAGTTAAAAAAAAAAACAAAAAAAAAAAAAAAAAAGATTCTGACAAATTTTTTTCCCGGTTTATCAAATTCAGAGTTAAAAAAAAAAAAACAAAAAAAAAAAAAAAAAAACAAGAAAAAAAAAAAAAAAAAAAAAAAAAAAAAACAAGAAAAAGAAAGTTTCCTTTTTCCCTTCAAATATCAAAAGGACCAAGCAGCGCACAAACTTAAGTGATTTACTTGAAAAGCAGCTTCAAGGTCAGCCTCGACGACGCCGTAGAGGCGCGCGAAAGCATCATCGCCTGCTACGTTAATGTCCTTTTGCTTATCGACGTCGTACTTTTCGTATTTCTTGTAAATCAGTTCGGCTCTGGTTATCAAATCAGAAACGGTCATTGTCTCCGTCAGTTTTTTCTTGTGGAGTGAGTTTTTTGAAGAAACAGTTGAGACAGAGAGAAAGACAGAAGTCCGGGACGGCTACACCGAGAGGAGACCGCGAGCTTTTTTGAAGGAGAATTGAATGAGAGAGCTATACGGTGGTTCTGTCTATAACTGTACTTTTTGCATTGATGGTTCGATTGTTGCCGCGTGTGTAGTAAAAGATTTGTTCTACAAATCGTGCGGCTAGAAAGCGGACAAACATTCTTCATTTCTCGTCATTTAGTGTTTGTCGCTTCTAAAACATCATCCCCATCAGGTGCTTTTGGGGAATACCATTATTTGTTCCTTCTGAAGAAAAAATATTTTTATTAAGTTAAAAGTTGATCGTTAGTTAAAAATTAAAGTAAATAATTATTTTTTATATTCTTTAAAAAATATATATTTTATCCGTTCATCTTATTTATGTAATTTAATAAAATATATATATTAAAAATTTAGTTATAAAATATATATATAACGAACTTTAGTTTAAAAAAAATTACTTTTATTTTTCTTTACTTTTAACTTCATCTAAAATATTTATAAAATCTTATTCATTTAATCGATCTTAAAATTTAGTTAATAAAAATTATTTTATTTTTCTTTACTTTTAATTCATTAATATATTAATAAAATTTATTCATTTAATCATTAATTACAAAAATTATTATAACTAATTTATTTAATTACATAAATTTAAAAATTTTCTAAATATTTTAGGACATTTAAAAAAGTAATAAATAAATAAAATCAGACGAAAATATAATATGTAATGGAGAGGGTAGAGAACAAAACGTGGTTTTTCAATCCAATTAATTGACTTAAAAAGCTAATAAAGTAACATATGTTCATTGGGGATGCAAATGATTTTGACTTCTTCTCTCTTAGTCAACAGTATGGAAATCGAATATTGGCATGCAAAATATAATTATTCTTTCATGCTTTCACATTGGATAAAAAAATTTGTTATTTTAGCAATAAAAACTAATGTTTAACCATGAAACAAAAAAAAGAGATTCTCATAAAGAAAAAAGAAAGACGGACACGGACTTAAATAAAGGAGATTTATCAATTCGGTTTACAATAACAGCGTGACCTCTGTCCTTCGACGACAGCGTGTGATTGCAACGACACATCACAGCATAGAAACAATAAAGAAAATCAAATAATGAATGCTTGAAGGTAAGCGACAACAACACTCGCTGTCGTTAGATGAGATTGACTTACTCCGTAAGCCATAAAGACAAAATCTTGCCCTTGACTTGATTAAACAAACTGGCAAACCGTAAAAGAACCTGTCCGAATCCGTTATAGTTGATTCAAACACGAGTCTCAAACGGCAAAAACTCTCTTGTCAGACTATTGTACTGTCTCCTACACCTCGCTTGTAAGAAAACGACAAAAGCTCGACTGAAATCACCGAGGCGACCAGTCATAACCCGAATGACTGTTTCGTTGTTCGTTTAAACAGTTAAATTGACAGCGGGAAAAATATCTGTCGTCTATATTTGTATTTGCCCCTCATTCAAAAAGAAAACGGCTAGTCGTTTCAAGTATTGTTTTTAAACAAAAGAAGGGATTTGAAGTCGTGTTTTGGAGTCCGACACGACTGTGGAATTCTAAACCAACAATGAGAATGAGACTGACAGCTTAATTCACGTTGCTAGAGGCGTGTTAAATACGCGCCCATATCCGCTGGTGGTTGTTGCTAGTCTTCAGCAACCCATCTAGACACGACACAAGTCAACAAAGGCACCTCAGCCATGCTAAAATTAAATCGTATATATGTAATAAAAAAAAAAGGACTTGGAAATCTATTTTCGTTAATCAAAAACTAATTTTCGAACGTTTTTAACTTTAATTCCTGTTAAATCACTTCTCTATCCAGCCTCTCGAGGAATAATCTTTTTTCTTTTAAAGAAAAAATGGCAGATAATTCGATTCTGTGCTGTTCTTGTTATACGATTCCAACTCTTTTCCTGCTCTTATCAAGCCTCTTCGGTTACTCTCATTCAATAAACGAGCAGTTGGGTTCTCACAACTCATTCACTGTTTCCAGCTTTAGGTACCCTGAATCTGAAGTCAAGCCATATGATTTGCGTTATATCAGAGGTGCGTAAGCCAAATAAAGAAAATGAGCTGTCTGGTTTTTCAATTCACTGGTCTTTTTTTTTGGTCTTTCGACGATCACTGGATACTGTGATTGATGGTTCCTGCCCAAAGTCTTAACTAGATTTTGTAGATATTGTTTCACTGGATTGAACTAATGAACTATGATTGTTTGATTTTGCTTATGTTTTTGGGTAGTTTTTAGTTCGATAAATATTGTCAATCTCTTGACTCTGGGATGTTGATACGGCTTGGTAAATATTAAAATTCTGATAATAAATTTTGGTAAATTTAGTTTCTTTAATGCTTACGTATTGCAGTCAACTTAGCCTATTGACTCTTGTTCTGGGTTTTGGGATTTTAGGGACAAATTTTCTTTTGGCTTATAAAACCATGGATTCATAGTGAAATTTTATAAGTTACCAATACGTAGCTTTTTTAACTTTACTGAATCTGAAGTTCTTCGTCTCAGTACTGTTGGTGCTGCGAATTGTTCAGTGCATTGATCGATTAGTTATTTAGTACCATTTTTATGTTTTTTTAAAGCTTATAATTTTGTTTTCACCCTTTCATATTTAATCAGCAGTGAGCTAAGGTCTTTGGATTTCATCCTTTAATTTTTATGGCCTTTCTTCTATTTAATCTTGGTAGACCCCTCTTCATTTAATCAAAAATATGTTATGCATTGAAGTACTCCTTGGGTAACTAATCTGCTTTTATCGTATTGCGTGCTTTTTGATTATCAATTATTGAGGGTAAGATATCAGTTGTCCAAGGTTAGCGTGAATATAATGTGTGATTAATTATGCAATGTCAGTCTTTAAGAGTTCTGATATTGTGCCTTGTTTCAGTTGATTTGCCCCCATGGTTCTCTTCTTTGTCCATAGCAGTGGAGTCGGATGTGGACCTTGTAAGTATGCATGTGTAAGTATAAAGGCATAATTAAGGTTTTAACTCAATTGGCACTATCTGACTGTGAATTCTTGACATAGAGTTTTATTCCAGTTACTTTGATCCAAAATGTTTGTTTTTCTAACCCTCTATGGATATAAACTGGAGGTGCGACAAGGAGTTTTTGGATGGTTAATTTTTGTTTTAAGTTGTGTTGTTGATTTTAGATATCGCCTCCATATATTGATGATGTTGCACTTTGATACTTCAATTTTGTTCAGAGTAATTTTGCTGCTTTTCCATTAACTTATGATTCAAGATTTTCACAGGATGCAAAAAGCATATCAAAGGTTCCAAAAAGCACGCTGCCTATGATCTGCTTCAGAGATGGAAGCCCACCTCTGCCAGATGTATTAAACATTTCTCTTGTAGAATTAGGTAAAAGAGATAAATAAATCACACATTTTAGCTACCCAACAAAATCATTTGCCTTTTCTGTGAACATTCTAATTCTGCTATGCCTGCTGACTTCTTCTTGACACTTCTGTATCTGAAATGCTCAAACTCCCAAACATCCGAATTTCTTTTGTCTGGGTTTTACTTTTGATCTGAACCAGTTGAGAATTATTATTCATTTATACTAATTCTTATTTTTCAAGCAGATCAAATAATGTCTAAAAGAACTCTTACTGTGGTTGTGTTAGGTCCTGTCTCAAATAGCTCGTTTGAAGCACTTCATGGTCCGGAGAATGTCCAGTGCTATCCAATGCAGAAGAATATCATGGTGAAATTGACAAATGAACAGGTTTGTTGTTTTTTGAGTTGAGGTAGACTCGAGGTTTGTTCACAAGTGCAAAATCTTTGAGCTCGGATATCTTTCTTAGTGCAGGCATGTTTATCCACATGAAATAGATGGTTTGTCATTGTTCTCATGTACCTATACCTTTTCAAATTTTCTTTGGGAGGAGGGGTTAGAATGGTTATATAATTGGGGGCTGGTCTATGTCATAATATTTTTTCTGTTGTTTATATATATGTGTGTGTGTTGTGTATTGTTTGGTTGATAACAGTCCATATAGTTCAACTTACAAATTTGTTTTTCAGATATCTCCTGGAGTTTGGTATCTTGGTCTTTTCAATGGCATTGGGCCTACTAGGACACAATCCAAAATGGTACCATTCATTTAAATTAGTTATTAACGAATGTTTTTCATGTGATGTTTCCTTCTATTGAGGTCTCTTTCCAATGTACTTATCATGCTTAAATAGCTAGTCTACATGATTTGATTCCAGATCTTGAATGTTGCAATTGTTTGAATATTAAGATTACAGTCTGGCATTGCAGATTATCCGTAGCCCAGCATACTCCTTCAGCGCCAATGTAAGTGTGGAAGGATGTACAACTTCAACAATGTGGGGCCAGTACTGCAACCAGACAATTGACTCACTCTCTTGTTCTCCATCTGACAGCTTTAATCCTATAGAAAACGTGTCCAATGCTGACTTCCAGACAACTGAAAATGTGGTATCCTGCAAAAATGTTGAGACTTCTTGCCTTGGAGAAGGCGAAGTTAAAGTCTATTCACTGGAAGTGCAAGAAGTTGCAGAACAATTAATAATTATGATAGTAAATGTCAGTTCTAGTACAACCCTGTCAAGTAATGCTTTTAATGCTAGTGGAACTAACTTAACTTATTTTGTGCGGCATGGTGCAATGCCTTCAATAGCACTACATGATTATTCTGGGGACTTAAATAAAGCTTCTTTGGTAATTCGCTTCCCAAAAATTGGACGCTGGTTTATTGCTATTTCACCTTCTCTTTCAAATGGTTTCAGAAGGAATCAGAATATTAGTATACAAATTTGCTATTCCTTTAAATGGCAAGTGCTCCAGTGTCCATTGGGGAAGGCTGGATTCAATTGTACATCAGAAAGATATGTACTTGAGGTCAGCATATTCTATCCTTTAGAACAGGTGAATTGTTTTATTGGTTAGGGATTATGTTATCGATTTAGTTCTTTTGCTTCAAATTTAGTTATGTAGAGCCAGTTTATAGCAACCTTTTGTTCTATCGACGCTTGAAGTTATCCATATTGAATATTCTTATTTACAGCTTATACTAATTGTCTGCAGACAGTTCTGAGAAGAGACTCCTCCCCTTTTGAATCCTATTATTTGCCAGTCAGTGGAAAAGTGTCTCCAGATTCAGCTAATTTTCCTCTTGAGCCCCTTTTAAGCAATGCCTCATATGGTGGAGAACCAGACAATTCTTGGACTTACTTTCTCTTGAACATTCCTCGTGGTGCAGCTGGAGGAAACATCCATGTCCGACTAACATCAGATACGAAGATAAATTATGAAATATATGCTAGGGTTGATGGATTTGCTTCTCTTGACAATTGGGACTATTATTATGCTAACAAGAGCAGAAGCAGTGATGGTTCTGCATTCTTCTTGCTGTACAATTCAAGTGAAGGAAAGGTTGATTTTTATATCCTATATGTTCAAGAAGGAACTTGGACTTTTGGGTTGAGGAATTTAAATAGTACCAATAATGCTTCAAATGACCAGACCATCATGTCTGTTTCAGTCGAGAGATGTGCGAGAAAATGCTCCTCTCATGGGGAGTGCAAGGTAGCTTTGGATGCCAGTGGATTGACATCATACAGGTCTTAGCACTGCCATTTCACACAATAATTGTTTATTATTTTAATAGCCTAGTAGGCTAACAGCTGAATACGTGAGATATTCAAGTCATTAAATGACTTTGCCTAGAATGATTATGCTTGGTACAATTTGGATGCCCACATGTAGTAGTTTAGACTTCGAATGGCATTTGTTATTTTTCTTACTGACTTCTGAAACTATGCTTTCTCAGTTTTTGCTCCTGTGATCGAACACATGGAGGTTTTGACTGTAGCGTCGAAATTGTATCACATCAAGGTACATGTTATTGTGCTGTTATGTATGACATACTTACCCCATTTTCCAGTATGTAATTAATCTCTTCAGAAAAATTACTCACAACCTTTTATAAATTACTCAGAACTGACTTAATTGTTTAAACCAGCAAATGGCTACCTTCAAAGAGGGCATAAAAGGTTGCTAGAGAATTTTCAGATTTGAGGCATTGAGTTTGAAGATTCATATGAATTTCTTTCTTTCTTTTCTCCTGTCCTTAGCCTATCATTTGTTTGTGTATGCTAGATGTGGTTTGTATAATTTTAACAAGTTGAAATCATGTGGACAGATTTGTGTTTTCCAAGGCTACCCCTTGCTTCTTGGAAAAACAAATACTATGAAGTGTATTAACCTTTGACTTGTGGATGAATTGGTGAGATGTGAGTTTCGGTGTCGTGGTCTTTACCTAATCAAGTAGTTGAAAACTGATGTAGGGCACATTAAGCAATCAATTGCTCTTATTGCATCAAACGCTGCTGCTCTGTTTCCTGCATATTGGGCTCTTCGGAAGAAGGTAATGCTCTTCATTTTGTCTTTCATTGATTCGAAATGCTTTCATTCCTTTGGCAGTGAAGTTTACTGGTGACCTTTTAGGTGAATAATATGAATCCGTAATGACGCTTATTACAATATGATGGGTCTTCTTAAGGTTGTCATTGCATATAACTTAGTTCTATTATTAGACTGGTTCACCTAACGGCCAATGAGAGGGATTGGTGACACTTCATGGAAATCTCAAGGATACCATTGATAGATATCTGAGAAGATTAATCATATTTGTATCATTTGATTAGTAAGAGAACATTTAGAGTTGGAGTTGAGTTTTGTTGATAAGAGAGAATGAAATTTTTTGATTCATTGCCAAAGGACATCTAATCAATTAATTAAAATGCAGGCATTTGCAGAATGGGTGCTCTTCACCTCTAGTGGAATTTCAAGTGGATTATATCATGCATGTGATGTGGGGACCTGGTGCGCATTATCATTTGGTGTCTTACAGGTATGACTTAATCCTCCATGATTTCATGTACAGTATTTTTGTAAATTACAATACCTTTCGTCCCGAGAAAGGTGAATGCTCATAAGTTTTTCTATAACAATATCAATAAAACCATTGTTGAACCAAGCGAACTGTTTTATCTGAAACCTATATGAGGTTGTTGCTGTTATATTCTAAAAGGGAATCCTTATTCTGCATATCCACCCACACTCTCACAGGTGTCTGTTCACACACAAACACATTTATCTATAATATGTCTAGTTTTGTTGTATCTTAGATTTGTTTCGTTAGAAAATGAGAGATCTTGGCTTATACTGGTTTGAGATATTTGTTTCTCAACTGGAAAATGTTTCAGTTTATGGACTTTTGGCTTTCATTCATGGCTGTGGTAAGCACATTTGTGTACTTGACTACTATCAATGAAGCTTATAAAAGGACAATTCAGACAGTGGTTGCTATCCTTACAGCACTCATGGCTATAACTAAGGCTACCAGGTATTTGGAATTGGCATAAACAGTTTGAACATGTTTGATTTTACTGGACACCAGCGGCTTGAAGCATTAACCATTGATAAAAACTCTGCAGGTCTTCCAACATTATTCTTGTGATGTCGATTGGGGCATGTGGTCTTCTTATTGGATGGCTAATAGAGTTCTCTACTCACCTTAGATCATTTTCCTTTCCAACAGAAATCTGTTTAAACATGCCTGCCTGGTGAGTATTTTCTTCTAAACAAATAAATGATTTTTTACGCTGGGATTCTGTTTGAGATGTGGAATCTAAAACAAAAGCTTATGCATATTAATGGTAAATGTCCATCAGCTTAAATATATTACTCTCTCCGTCCCGTAAAGATTGTCCACTATTTCATTTTGGGATGTCCCAAAACAATTGTCCACTTCTATTTGCAGTGTACATTTAAAGTTTTTTTTCCTATTTTACCCTTCAATAAATTCACTTTTACATTACATCTATAAAATTGGAGCTAATTTATTATGTGAACAAGGGAAGACAAGGGAAACTCATAAAATTATCACTAGATTAATTGCATTTTCTTAAAATTTGTAGAAAAAGAGAGGGACATATTGAGGTGTATGCTGTATAATATTTTATTATAATTGTCTGGAAAGAATGCTGTTGATGCTCGTTGACCCAGGTGGCATACCATTAGGAGATGGTTCAATAATTTACTCAAGACACTCTTGAGAAGATTTCGTTGGGGTTTTCTACTTGTGGGGTTTACGGCACTTGCCATGGCAGCTATAAGCTGGAAACTGGAAAGCACTGAAAGCTACTGGATATGGCACAGGTATATAAAGTTATGACCTCTCTCTCTCTCTCTCTCTCTCTCTCTCTCTCTCATTCTTCTCTAATTGAAACTTTTGGTGTTTAAAATGGTTGGCAGCATGTGGCATATTACCATATATACGTCTTCCTTCTTCTTCCTTTGTTCAAAAGTAGAAACTATACATAGTGAGAATCAAACGCTTCCAGATGGGAACTATGCATTAACGCGGCAGGATTCATTTCCCAGGGGTGAATAGAATGTGTCGGAGAAAAATTTTGCAACATGTAGCATTCAACCAGTGAGAAAATAAGTTGGTTGTCAAGGAATTCAGAAAAAGTAGCTCTTAATTCTGAATGAGGCTTCTTTGATCGAGTAAACCAAAGCAGCTCCTTTTCCTAAAAAAAAGAAAAAAAATATTCACTGCCATGGCAAAGGCAGTGCATTGCTGATTCTTTCTGTTCTATGGCCCTTTTTTTCAGCTTTGAATTTTTTTAATATTTTGTAAATTTTTTGTTCACATACGCAAGATAGGTTAATTAGAAAGAGGATTTTTATAGAAATGTTAAAAGCTATAGGAGAAACAGAGCAGGACACTATAGAGGTCGGGGGGGAGCTTTGCTCATGTAAAGGGTGTAAACTTAGTAATTTAATAGAACTTACTTATTATTTTAAAATTTTTTATTTGTTATTTTATTTATTTATTTTGTTGTGGCTTCTCCAACAGTGTATAATACTGTCTCCGTCTTTTTTTAACATAACATTTGCTATATTCACAATGATTAAAAAAATAATTGAAATTTATTGATTTTATAAAAAAATATAGCAGGATGTTTAAATTATCCTTTTTAAAAATAAATAAATAAATAAATAACCCCTGATAAATATGGACACAATTAGAAAAAAAATAATGGCCATAACAAAGTCTGCATGTAATGGAACAGTAAAGTCTATTTTGGATAGACAAGGAGGCTTCAATCACTAATTTAGTGAATCTTTAACCAAACTGATAAGAAATATTTGTTCAACAGGTAAAAGTACAGACCTAATCTGAAGCGTGAATGCTCCAAATGATAAAATGGGAAAAAGAATCAAAGATGAAAAATAACGAACACCAAAATCAGATAGGAGGGAGTAACTTCTCCATTAGAAACACATTTCTATTTACAACCCAGTTGCCCCAACAGAATCCTCTAAACCTCTCGCAAGTGTTGAAAATCTCAAGCTGATATATCTTTGCAATCCTTCCGAATGCCCCATAGAATCTCTCCGCACGTCTTCATGCTAGGCCGTTTTTGTCTGTGAGGAGCCAAGCACTGTAAGGCTAATTCAAGAATTTTCTCGAGCATCAAGTTATTTGCAGCAGTCTGTTCTAGTTTCGGGTCCAAAATGGAAATTGCATCTCCCTCAGCAAACTTTCTCATAGCCTGTGCTTATATACCAAACCCAAGTCACAACAGAGACTGAGCTAATATTAAAAATAACAAACCTCATTGACATATTAAGCAAGGAAGAGAGGGAAAAGAAAATCATACCCATTTTGGAGTTATGCGTTCCTTGAGTTCCTTCTTTGGTTCAATAGGTCGCCTACCAGTTACTAATTCAACAAGTAACACACCGAATGAATAAACATCACTCTTTTCGGTCAGTTGGTAGGTCTTGAGATATTCTGGATCCAGGTAGCCTGCAGTTCCTTTAACTTGAGTAGAGACATGTGTCTGACCTGAATCAGTGTCAGCTGCCAATCTAGCAAAGCCAAAATCAGCAACCTTGGCTCTAAAATTTTCTGTGAGGAGAATGTTGGATGATTTTATGTCCCGATGGATAATTGGATGATCTACAAGCAAACCAAACAAGCACATATATATAACCTAATTCCACAGTTTCTGTAATTAATTCTCAGGCATGGAAGTGAAAAAGAAAAAAAACCTGTGTACATGTGAAGGTAGGTGACTGCATGAGCCACATCAATTGCAATGTCTAGGCGTGCAGCGAGATCAAGAACGTTACCGTGCAAGCCTGCATTGATTTGTTTCCCGAGTTAAAAAAAATAAAAATAAATAAAAACGAGAGGCAAAACAAAATAGAGAATGAAGTCACATAACAAGATGAACTCACAATCCAAGTGTTCTCTTAGAGTTCCATTGGGAACATACTCCACAAGAACAATTCTTTCATCTTCATGTTCTAAATACCCATATAATCTTACCAGATTCAAGTGCTCCACTTGTGCTAGCGTTCTAATTTCATTCTGAAACTCTAAACCTAAATGCTTATCATACACACTCTGCAAAGAAACACATCAAACACCTCTCATTTGAAACGAAAAGCAGAAAAATAAACTATTGATGATTTTCACAGTAATAAGTACTAAAAATAAAAAATAAAAAACAAACCTTTTTGGCGCGTTTGATTGCAACCAAACTTCCATCTGCAAGTCTTCCCTTGTAGACTGTTCCAAAACCACCTTGTCCAATCTTGAAAGATGGGGAAAAGTTCTTTGTGGCTTTGTAGATTTCCTCCATAGTGAATCTCAGGCTCCCTGGTAATTTTCCATGAACTGAATTCTGTGGACTGCCATGAATACCTCTACCTGATATTCGTCTTCTGTCTTTGTTGCTTCCTGAGGAATCGGATATAACTGACAATACAGAAATTAGACAACTTATTCTAACAACTCGAATTAATATTAATTGTTCTTGAAATCTAAAAGAATAATAATGGTTCCTCTGATGCTAGAGATATAAGCATCGAATTTTCTCGACACGTGAATTGATTCCATTGAAGCCATTAATATCCCTTGAAGATGCACGATCTAAACAATGAGTTAATTGAAGTAGGCGACTCAGAAAAAATTTTGTTTCAAAAGGGAGAGGCTTCTGTCGAGAGAGAAGTTTTCGTTCACCACAGAAAGTGGGAAAGATTTCTCCTGGTAGCCAGTTTCGAACAGAATCATTGAGCTATTTGATTGCAGAGAGAATATAGGAAGAGAAAAACTAAAAAATCTGAAAATCCATGCTATTGTAATTACAATGCATATTATAGTCCAAAGAACAGTAATAAAAACAAACATCCAAAAAAAAAAAAAAAAAAAAAAAAAAAAAAAATATGTCGAGTCTTCTGTCATTTGTTGCTTCACTGAAGGAATCGGATAATAACTGACCAATACAAGAAATTACAGACAACTTAATTCTAACAACTCGAATTATATTAATATGTTCTTGATAATCTAAAAGAATCAACATCAAATGTTCCTCTGATGCCTGAGAGATATTAAGCATCGAATTGTTATCCTCGACAAAGGAAATTGATCCATTGAAGCCCAATTAATGATCCCTGAAGAATGGCCGACAGATCTAAAACAATGAGTTAATTGTATAAGTAAGGCGACTCAGAAAAATTATCTCGCTATGGATTTCACAAAAGAGAGAGCTTCTGTCGCACGAGAGAAGTTTTCGTTCACACACAGAAAAGTGGGAAAAGATTTCTCTTGCTGGTAGCCGCAGTGTTCGAAACAGAATCATTGGAGCTATTTCTATGATTGGCAGAGAGAATATAGAAGAGAAAAAACTAAAACAACATATCTGAAAAAAATCCCATGCTATTCGTAACTTAACGAATGCATATTATTGAGAGTCCAAAAGAACAGTAATAAAAACAACGATCCAAAAAAAAAAAAAAAAAAAGAAAAGAAGATGAATAACTGCTGCGATTAATCAAAAGAGTTTATCTATTCTCATGTTCTCCGCTACCGCAAAACAGAAAACTAAGTATATCTCAATTCAGGGTTAATAAGATTCAAAAATAGATGGGAAAAAAAAAAAAAAAAAAAAAAAAAAAAGAAAGAAAAACTCTCGTTAATCAAGGTTTTATTTTCTCCGCTACCAAACAGAAACTAGTATACTCTCAGTTAATAAGATTCAAAAAGATGGATGAAACAACACAGAAGAAGAAGCTCACGTCTAATCAACCAACGATAACCAGTCAGGTCATAAAATAAAGCAGAAGTTACCAGAGGGGGGTCTGAACTCTTCAGAGTCACCGTAATTCCGTGAGATGGTTGCCTCCGGCGGTGTAAAGCAAGCCACAAAAACTCCGACCACCGATTTTGCAGCGGCCACCAGCGTGTTCGGCTTTCTGACAGTAGAAACATCGGAGTATGTGGAGCTGGTGGAGTAGTGTAAGCGGTCTGGCGTTGACCGTGTTACGGACCTGGCATTCCGGTGACCATACACAGATTGTGGACTTTTCATTATTAAAGAGAGAGAGAGAGAGAGAGAGAGAGAGAGAGATTAGCGTATTAGAAATGGCGGGTAGTTGTACCAAGGTGAAAGGCAGAGTAGAGATTAAAGAAGACTTTGAACTTTCGTAGGTGGTTGAGGCTAACGTGCGCCGTTAAAGTTATGATTACCAGTTGGCACCGGCAATTTTTGAGCAGTAAGTTAAACAAAAAAAAAAAAAAAAAAAAAAAAGAGGTATTGTTGTCAGATTCTGTTGGCCCTGCACCATGTATATGTCAGATGTATACGAAGTCTCCGAAGTGATCGATGCCGTACAGACACGCCAATAGATAATCAATGAAATTACGTATTGCTTGATATTTTTTTTAAATAAAAAAACTTAAATATTCTTTAATTTGTTCAACCAATAATTTATTGAATTGAATTGCTTACATGGAGACTACAGAAGGGATGTATCGAATGGCAACTCATATAAATATATAACGGATAGAGCTAATGTTAAAAAAATTCCAAAAAAAAAAAAAAAAAAAAAAGTTGTTCAGAATTCTTGCCCGCACCATGTATATGTCATTTCAATCCGTACATGCCTAATAGAAATAGTTAAAAAAAACTACTATTTTTTTTTAATAAAAAAACTTAAATATTCTTATTTGTTCAAATAATTTTATTGAATTGAATTGTTACATGGATAAGTCAATGCAATCATAATAATAAGTATTAAAATCCGATGGAGGACCTTCCATTATCATTTATAAGTTTGCTTGAATTTGTAAGTAGGTTTACTTGAATCTAAGGATAATAATTAAAATTTTATCCTCTTTAATAATGAAAAGACCAAAATATCCTTCTTCTTTTTTTGTTTGACTAGTTTTATTAGATAGGATAGATATATGGATGAGCTCATACGTTAACTATAGACAAGTATATAGCTGGTAATTTTTATTGTATCAGAATTAAACCGTATACGCTCAAGTATTTAATCTTCGAATGGTACGATCTCTCCATCGCCCTCTAGAATGAAAGGGCGATCTCGTAATTTTTATTATAAAAATTTTAATTAATTCGGTGAATTAAAACGATGTTATATTTATTATTATTTTGATTTGATGGCCCTTGAATGAATAAAACAATATTCAATTTCTAACATTAAAGCACTCATATTATTATGTATCAATAATGTGTATTTTATATTTATAATTTATTTAATTAAATATTTGGGATATAGTACTTTTGCTGAACGTGCATCCAGATTAACGGAATCAGTAAATCCCAAAAAGGCTAAAGTTATCGTATTGATCTGTCTGCATTATGCAGTTACAATTCATAGTCAAAGGGTCAATAAAGTAAATAGCCCAGCAAGTAGCTTAGCTGCCTTCCACTCAAACAATTTGTCTCGTGGGGAAAACTCTAAAATCAGATGCCATTTGCGCGACTGGAAGCAGAGCCATTGACTGTTGACGTCACCACTATACTATGCATATTGCATAGTCAAATTATATTAATTAAAATTGGGTATATGATGTAGGGACATTCGCTACAAGTGGATGGATAAATGACAAAAAATAAATTTATATTATTTTCTTAGAAAATTATCTAAAATTAAATACTATATATTTAATCCCAATATTCAGTCTTTTTTTTTCTTTTTTTTGTGTAGTATGATCAAAATTGGAATAACGGTTGTTTTCAAACAAAAACACTGGAGGAGTGAAAATAACGGTTCGTTGGGCAAAAATTCCTGCGAACCACTTCAAAATAGAAACGGATACAACTGGTTGTTGGAGACATGCCAAGTGTCACTATAGGGGTCTATCAGACTGGGCCCCAGATTATGCTCCACTCATTTGCTCTTCACTGAAGAAGAAAATAATGGGAATCAATTATTCTTATTTTAGATTTAGAGCATCAGAAATAGCATGTGAATAATAACTTTCAAGACCCACAAAACAAAGATTTTTTTGTAACATCCGTGAATATTTTCAAAATGTATAATAAAAAAAAATTTTTGAATTTCTGACTTTTGTAACAGAAATTTTATTAAGACAAAATAAATTAAAACAGATTTTTATATTACAGTTGATACGAACAAACTCACGGATTTACATTTTACAATCTGTAAAAGCAACAGAATAGACGTAGAACCAGAAACATACAACACGTGTTCACTGCACGGGAAATAAGCACTAATCTCTTCCATTCCAAGTCAATCAAGTGGCGTCTGTAGTTAAGATGGAGTTTATCAGAACCACAAATAATTATTTGTACTAAAGTTGGAGTGGAGAACGACAGAATTCTGTAATTAGTTGAAGATTGTCCAAGTTTCAAGGAAACTGCTTCCTTCAATACCTATTTTTGAAATAAATAGGAATGGGTAAGCTAAATTAGTTCAGGCTGATATTAGAGAAATGAGATAATTTAATCAGATATCAACCTATTTCAAAATGAGCAGCTTCAACTGCACACTCACCAGGTTGGCTTATGAACACAATGAAGGTGGCAATGAAGACGAGTTGAAATGACTCGTATTTCCCTATTTTCAATAAACCCTGAATTAATCTCACCTAAACGAACACAGAGAATTGATTGGTTTCATTTCTCCAAAATAAGGAAAAGAAGGCTAGGTTGGCTTACATTTACTGTCAAATTGACATTACATGAAGCCTAACATGCTCCAGAAAGAAGGATTAAGCATCACCTCATTTCGTGCAAGTTTATGTATAAGAATGGAAACTTGACACGTGAAAATTCATGAAAAATAAGAATGCAAGTTAGAGATGTTAAATCCCCACCAAAACCCCCAAAAGAAAAATATTTTAATGCAATTTCAAAGTTAGAGAATTATTACGATTTTGCACCAATCATTTGGCTGATTTGGCTGGTTCTGACCCCTTGGGATATCAAGTTATTCAGACCCCCTCCCCCTGGAATGTCTTACCTTTTGCTGCATGATTTGAGAGATGTGTACTATCCATGTCTCTGATCGTAGTTCTTCGAGTTTTTGCTCCCCCTTGTACCAAAAAAAAAAAAAAAAAAAAAAAAAAAAAAACCAAAAAAAAAAAAAAAAAAAAAAAAAAAAAAAAAAGGAAAAGATTACGATGAATACAAATACGTTGAAGATCCAGAGACATTTAGAACGGTAAAAAAAAAAAAAAAAAAAAAAAAAAAAAAAGGAAAAGATTACGATGAATACAAATACGTTGAAGATCCAGAGACATTAGACGGTGCAAAGGATATGCCGACTGCAGTAACATGTAAATGATTGAGCTACTAGGCTAGAGAAAATGTAAAATATACCTCAAACTGAGAAACAAACTTATGTTTCATCACAAGACTTCACCACCTTGTTTCTAGGCAAGGCATCTGATCATCCAGAGAAATTATAGTGCACATTCATCCAGCAGATTTTCTTGCATGGCATGCAGCTTGGAAATTGTATTTTCATCCCTCATCAGCCCAAACAATCTCCCTAGCATGCAATAAACTTCTAAACCTTGAGGGTGGCATTTATCACTTGACACAAACATGTGTATATCACCACCAAGTTCCATCCAGCTAAAACCTGGAACTTTGTGATCACACCTGTCCCTCATCAGTTTGCGCACTTTTGCCACATCATGCCACTGACCCTCATTAGCATACATGTTAGACATAAGAGCATAATTTACAGGTACATGTGGCTTCAATTCTAAAAGCTTTTCCATGGCCCATTTAGCTGATATCACATCTTTGTGGATTTTACATGCCCCAATAAAGGCTCCCAAGGTGTCTGATCTGTATTCAATTGGTATTGTGGTCAAGACATTAAAAGCCTCATCCAAAAGCCCAGCTCGACCAAAAAGGTCAATGAGACAACCATAGTGCTCTGAATCTGGAAAAAAATGATAGTGTTTTACCATCAAACGAAAGTAATGAAGCCCCTCCTTAATTAACCCTGCATGGCTACAGGCAGAAAGAACCCCAAGAAAAGCAATCTTATCTGGCCTTACACCAGCAGATAACATCTTCTCAAACATCTCAATACTATCTTTTGGAGGACTATTAAATGCATAAGCACAAATAATTGAAGTCCACGTAACAAGATTAGGCTCTGGAATTGAGTTAAAGCATTTAAGTGCACTAGCAATTCTACCACATTTGGAGTATGCATTTATCATAGCATTTCCAACCGATAGAAAGGATTGGAAGTCAATTTTTACTATATGTGCATGGATTTGCATAATTTGACAACAATTTGATGTACTGCCACATGAGCTAAGGACGCTGGCTAGAGTTAGTTCATCTGGAGCAAAAAATTCTCGCAACATTGCCTGTAGAAATTTCATAGCCTCCTTCCCATTTCCATGCTGCCCATAAGCCACGACCACAGTGTTCCAAGACACTACACTTTTAGCGGTCATACCATCAAAAGCGTTGCGAGCATCCCCTATATTTTCACTCTTTGCATACATATCTACAACTCCACTAGCCACTAAAATATCTATGTCAAAAGACAGTTTAATAATAAGACCATGAATTAGCCTTCCTAGTTCACAAGAACGCAAAGTCGCACATGAATTGAGCATACTAGAAAAAGTAAAACTATCCCCTATCAAGTTTTCCTGCTGCATCAAGTTAAAGACTCTGAAAGCCTCTTCTCCCAATAAATTGAGTGCATAACAAGAGATCATTACATTCCACAGCACCAAATCTCTGGACAATACTCTATCAAAAATTCTTCTTGCCTCCTCGACCAATCCACATTTCCCATACAAATCAACAAGAGCACTATTGACGAAACAACTTAATTCAAATCCTAATTTCACTATCAAACAATGCACTTGTTTACCAATCTCAACGTCATTTAGCTCAAGAGAGGCACGAAGCAAACCGTTCAATGTAATAGTATCCAAACCTACTTTATCAAGCAACATTCTCTTAAAATAAGAGAAACCAATGTGGAGACTGGCCTCGTAATCACGACCGTAATTAACAAGCCCACAAATCACCGTGTTCCAAGTGACCACGTTTCTCACAGTCATTTCATCAAACAGTCTGTACGCGTCACGGAATTCCTTAGATTTGACATAAACATTCAAAATCTGATTTTGCAAAGAAAGCATTTTATACAGTCCTAACTTCATCAGACGAGCATGTACTTGTTTTCCGTCTCGAAGAAAGCCCATTTTAACGGACACTTTGAGGGCTTTTGAGAAAAAACAATCAACTGTGAGACGATCGTTTAAGTTGTTTGACCCGGCAATGATTGTAGACAATCTGCGTTGACCGGGAAGAAAGTGTGAGAAAGTTTTGGCGAGATGGGTTGTTGCTCTGGCCCTTCTGGGAGACATTGTCTAGGTCTGGGGCCTATGGGCCTCTGGTGTGGTTAGAGAGAGAGAGAGAGTCGGGGATTGGCGGGAGTGATAATTATTGTTTTAAATTGACGGTGAGGATTGAGGCGAGGCGGCATTTTTCAGACTGTAGGATGCTAAGCAAGAATACCAGTTTGAGGGTTGGATGAAGCCAATTTAATTTTTAATTATGAAACTCAAATAAATAAATAAACAATACATGTGTGTGTGTATATATATATATATATATATATATAAGGAGATGAGTTTGCTTTTATATGGAAACCAAATGTAAACCTCTGAAAATATCAAGTATGAGGAGGGCAATAATTATTTAGAACGATTATAAGAAGATAAGGTGTAATGACATCAATTGTAAGAAGATAAGTTATTTCATATTTTTAAATAATGTGTTTATAATAATAATATCTATGAATTACATCTCATCAAGATAATTCATTAAATTAAATTAAAATAAAATTTAATTAAAATACAAATAACTCAAACCATAAAATAAGAAATACTTAATTTATACTAGCAGCTAGGTTGTACGGACACACGACACAATATACGAAATGTACAGGATATGATAATAAATAAATAATCATTTATAATAAATAAAAATAAAAAAATATTTAATTTTTTATTTGGACCACACGACACAATATACGAAATGGTACAGGATATGATTAATAAATAAAATAATCATTTATAATAAATAAAAATAAAAAAATAATTTAATTTTTATTTTTAATATAATTAGTTTTAAAATTAAAATTAAATTAAAATGCCATAATAACCCAAACTATAAAATAAAAATATTTAATTTTTTTATTTTAATAATTATCTTGCGGTATAAGGTAATCTTATATACCAAAAGTTAGGTTGCACAGACACGAGACACAAAATACGAGAACATACAAAATATGATAATAAATAAACAATCATTTATAATAAATAATAAATAAAAATAAAAATTTTTTATTTTGATATAATTAGTTAAATTCTCAAAATTATTATTACCGTTGAAAAATCTATATCTATCTATATCATATATAAAAGTATGATAGTTTGTTTTATATGGAAGCCAGGTATAAATAACATAGTTTACCACGTGACATTATTTTGGATTATAGAACAACGGATGTTAGAATATACACAATTTAACACAAATGTAAGAATTGTAAGAAGATCAATTGTTTTATATTTTCAGATAATCCCTCTATTAAGATAATATCTATAAAAAAGATTGTTTCTAGTATTTAATTTAATATATTAATACAAATTTATTTCTTCTTACAAAACAATTAATAAGTAATTCACCCGCTTAAAAAGAGTGTGAATAAATAATATATAAGCAATTTAAAAAAATATAAATTGTAGCGTACAAGATGCGATAATTTTTAAAAAAGTAGGACATCCACACGCTTATGACACACTACACTAAATAAGTAATACATTAATATTCAAATAAATAAACAATAAATTATAGACATAAAATAACAAAAAAATTAATTTCTTATTTCAATGACATAAAAAAAATTAAAAATACTTCATTTTTTATTGGTAACAAAAAAATCTTGGTTGATTAGCTTGGTGTATAGAGTAGTCTCATATACCAGAAGCTGAGTTCCACAGAAACGAGATACGAGATACAGAATATACGGGATATAATAATTTTTTAAAAAGGTAGAACATTCACTCGCTTAAAACATATTACACTAAATAAGTAATTCATTAGTATTTCAAACAAATAAATAAATAATCATTTATAATAAACATAAAATTAAAAAATATTAAATTTCTTCTTCAATGACACAAAAGCAAATTAAAAAAAAAAGCAAATTAAAAAAAAAAAAAAACACTTCATTTTTATTGGTAAAATAAAAAAATCTTTAGTTTGATTAGCTTGATAATAATGAAGATAGACTTATATACTAGGAGTTAAGTTTGCATAAACAGGACATTGAGATACAAGAACGTACGAGATACGAATAATTTTTAAAAAAGATAGGAGAATCTCCACATGTTTAGGACACAGTATACTAAATAAGTAATATGTTAATAATTTCAAATAAATAAATAATTATTTATAATAATAAATTATAAACATAAAATAAATAAAAATAAAAATTAATTTCTTAGTTCAATGATATCAAAAACAAATTTAAAAAAAAAAAACACTTCATTTGTTATTGGTAATAAAAAAACCTTGATTGATTAGTTTGGTGTATAGAGTAGTTTCATATACCAAGAGTTATGTTGCATGGAAACGAGTTACGACAATTTCTTAAAAAGATAGGACATCCACACGCTTAGTACATAGTACACGAAATAATAAATACATTAATATTTCAAATAAATAAACAATCTTGTAATAAATCATAAATATAAAATAAAAAAATACTTAATTATATACTTAATTTCTTATTTTATATTAAATTCTCAAAAAATTATTATCACTATTGAAAAAATATATTGAATAGCGTGTATGCATTTTTCTTATGTGCTCATAACATGTTAACTTTTACTATTGTAATATTTTATGAAAGTTCATACGATTACTTGGAGAAGACTATCTTAGCATCGCAACTTTTCAGCATATCGCAATGATATAATTTATTATTTTATTATATAATTTTACTATTTTTAAATAATCTTATAAAATACTATTTCATCTTTTAATATTACCTTGTGCATCGTGCGGATTAAAGGGAAAAAAATTATATTTTCAGATAATATCATATAAAAGGAAAAAAAAGTTAATATTAATAAGCAAAAACTATTTTATTTGGAAAATAAGAAAGGAATATAAGGGAAAAGAATTCCTATAATTTCAAAAATAAAAAACTATAAAAATAAATTTATAGAGAAAAATTAATTTTATTTTTCTTTTATATAAAAAAAGTAACAAAAAATTTTCTAAAAAAAAATTTAGTCCCTTCTTTTTTTTTTATACATTAATGAAAAAAAGATACAAAAATAAATTAAAAAAAATAATACTTCATCATGCCGATACAATAGAATGTAGCAATAACGACAATTTTAAAAAAGTAGGAGTTACTCCCTTCTTTTTTTTTTTTTGATTATACATTAATAGAAAAAAGATACAAAAATAAATTAAAAAAAATACTTCATCATGCGATACAAGAATGTAGCAATACGACAATTTTAAAAAAGTAGGAGATTCACACGTTGAGACACTCTATACTAAATAAATATTATATATTAGTATTTCAAATAAATAAACAATCATTTATAATAAATCATAAACATAAAATAAAAAACCTAATTTCTTTTTTCAATATAAATTATTAAATTCTCAGAATTATTATCAGTATTAAAGAATACATTAATAACGTACGTGTATTTTTTGACACAGGTCATAATAGGGGTGTCAAAATGGGTCACTACATGTGAACACAATTCGCATAACACACGAAATAAATGGGTTAAAGTTGAGGTTAAACGAGTTCATGTCATAAACGAGTCACCTATTTATGACACGAATATAAACGTGTTGTGTCGCGGGTTTTGCTAGTGACCCATTTATTTAAGAGTAAAAAGGTAATTTTAGTGTTAGGTATAAACAGTCTAACTAAAACCTATTTAAATTTTATTGTTGTATTACTTTTTTATTTTAATTATAAATCTTGAAGAATTAATATATTTTACGTGTGAAAATTTATTTTTAAATATGATTATAGTTAAATAGCTCAAAAATTAAAAAAACTATAAGTAGGTTAAGTGAGTTATATATAGGTCAATATATCCACTTAACCTATTTATGTTATTAAGAGGATTATATGAATTGTATATGGGTCAACACGATCTACTTAACCTGTTTATGATATTAAGCGAGTTAAACATGCTGTGTTCGTGTCAATCTTCTATTTTTTGTGTTGCATTTGTATTGAAGTTATAAAAAATTATTTCATCGTTAAATATTTTTCCGCATGCGCGTGGCTTCTAATACTAGTTATATTATATTTTATGTCATTATTGGAATCGGCTTCCAGATCCCCAGTAGTTATTTATTTGTTTGTTTATTTTTATCAAATTCTAGCTATAGCATCATAGATTATTTATTTCTTTATTTTTTCTGACAAGAGTTTATATTATACTACTCTTTTATTTTTATGTTTTTTTTATATTTATCCCATTATCATTTAAGTAATTTATTTTTTTCTGATCCACCATACCATTTCTAATTATTGAATTATGTAAGTGAATGAAATCTATACCTCCACATAAGCCAATGGCCACTCATCAGTAGTTGTTGCTATAATGAATCTTGTTTTCATTTTAGCCAAGGTCCCTCACATGCACAGCAAATATGGACGTGGGTCCAAAAACAAGCGCAAGATTCTTCCAATTTTACTATATTTGACTTATAGATTCTTCTATTTTTCACTTTAGCCCTCCATTTTGCTTCTATTCACATACACCCCCAAAGTAAAATATTAGCCAATGAGAACGATATGAGTGGAGGACGCGTACTATGCAACTAACGGAGTATAAAGAACAAGTACAAAATTCCAAAACCTCTCTCTTTTCGTTTTCTTTTCACCGATTGGAATTTCTTCTTCTACAGCTTTCTCCCTCGCTCTTTCTCTCTCTCAAATTAGGGTTTATGCTTTTTTGACGGCCACTTTCCGACTAAATTTCGATCGATGCTCTTGCTCGTATTACCGGTATTGTTAACTTTGATCCTTTGCCGGAATTTGTTTTGTTTAGCTGTACAAAGTTTACCTCTGTTTTCTATTATTCTTTTTCCAAATTCTTTTCCGTCTTAAATGTTCTATTTGATATCTGGAATTGTTTGTAATTAACTTATCGAGCGCCAAATTTCACGAGGGTGATTGTTGCTTGAGCTCGCCATTGCTAATTCTGTTGGCTTATGTTATCTTAACCGGTTCAGTTATTATTGGTGAATTGAGATCGTTATCTGAGTAAATATTTTTATTTACTTTCCTTTAATGGAGGAAAATGATTCCTACGAACTAACTCCAGCTAGATTAAGTTTTAGTTGCATTGAGTTGAGTCCTTGTTTTATTTTGCCAAAATTGGGAACATTTGTTTCTGTGTCTTTACTTTCCAATTTTAGTCTCGTTTCTAGGTGGATTTTATGCATTGCTTATTCAAAACTATGGTATTTTTTATGGTTTTCCAAATGTTTTAATTAACTTTATAGCATTTTGACTGCCCTTTAATTCCAGAGAACCAATAAGTATGCACCAAAAGCTGGTGACATCCACTGAATAAGATAAACAATTGCAGGGGATGGGAGGTTGCTGTTGTTCTTCCAGGAAACCTCATCTACATGGAACACCTGTGTATTACTACGTCAGTAAAATCTTTGCCTTCTCTGTATATGCCTCTGGTGCCAAGCTTATATTTGTTTCGATTTTGTAATAGAATAAAGAACTAGTTAAAATTTATAAACTAGTATAACTCTTAGGATGTCTGGTTTTGGAGATTACATTAGTGGAAAAGTATTATGCGAGATAACATTGCTTTATTTCCTCTGCTCCAGACACATATATCCTTTAGTTTAGATGGTGGAGTAATCTTAAACTCTACTATCGAATCAGCCTCTCTTAGCCTGAGAAAAGAAAGGTGAAAAGCAGTCACATTTTAGCTCTAAATGATCGTCACCCGGATTGGAACTTTTTTTTTTTTTTTTATAAGCACTTATTTTTAAGTTTTCTGTAATTCTGAGACAGCTATATCAAAGAATATAGGGGATGAAACATTGTAGTTTGGTTTATATGAAAAACATATATGTTCATCTGAAACTATAACTTTCTATTTTTTCGTGCCCTTGCAACATGTATACGTCATCAGGAAGTAACTTGTAGTGAGTGGGAAAGAAGCCACTATGTCCTCTACTGCTTTTTCCCCTCTTCTTTCTTTCCCTTGCTTATATCTCTATATCATGATGATTGATGGGTGTGAATTGAAATCCTCTTATAAGTGGATATAGAAGTTCTTTTTGAGACTTGAGTTAAGAATGCTTAATTTTGTCAAAGTGGAATTGTGTGGCCTGATGTAATATGGTGAGATGTAGTAGATGAGAATCCTTTGGGCAACAAAAATATTATTCTTGAAAATTTCAATACACGTTTCTGCAGTGTCCCCCAGCTTTGGAAGAGCATGAGTCCTTAACAACTCACAATGGCGCAGCCTCTGCATTCACTGCAGGTCTCCTAGCTGAATTGAATCTGAATACATCAACACCTGATACTTTCCGGCCCCCTCCTGCACCTTTGCCATATGATCTGGTGTTGGGATGTCGAAGATCTTCAGATTCTGAATCTGTTAGAGAAACAGTTAGTGGTGGTAGTTTTGAAACTTTAGCAACGTGTGAGGATCTTGAGGAGCCAGACTGCAAAACTCTAGAAAGTTCATTACCTGTCTCACCAAAGAAGACAGAAATAGCAGAATTAGATGAAGCTATTGTTTTGACAACAGAAGAAGAGGATGCTTGTCCCATTTGTCTTGAAGGTGGGATAGTGTCATTGTCTTGGGAGATGAATTCTGTAATGATTCTGATTGTGCACAACCCTTTCCCTGACTGTTTCTGCATTGAATTTATATTTTAGTATCTCAGAAATATTCATCAAACGTCTGTTCGTACTTGCAGAATATGACACACAGAATCCAAAATTTGTCACCAAATGTGAACACCATTTTCACCTATCATGCATTCTGGAGTGGATGGAAAGGAGCGACACCTGTCCTATATGTGATCAGGTTTGTCCTTAGGAAATGACTCTATTCTGCAGACAGCTAGTTGGTGAATTTTTATAAAAAATGAAATCACTCTCATATCTTAGCTTTCCTCATATTGATCATAACCCTAGTCCATATCAAGTTCCACTTCTTTTTCTTCTATTTCTTTCTTTTTTTGATGAATCACTTTTGTTATTGGGGGGGTGGCTTGTTTCATGAAAGTTGGAATTAATAAATTAAGGGGAATAAAAGGGAAAAGGATCTTGCTTTCTTTTACTTTCTTTTTGGCTCACCATCTCGAGTATATTTATTTGATGCCATTTAAATTTTTTAAGGTAAATTTGGCATGTTCTAGTCGTAAAATTCCAAAAGAGCTGAACAATAGTTTCAAATTGTTTTTTACAACAAAGCAATAAACAAGTGTGCTTCCTGAGAAAACAGTTTTTAACCTCAGTTCCGACCTATATATAGTGGTAATTGGTAATGATGAATATATCTTTTATGAGCTGTTGGTTTTCATGCATCCAGATTACTTTGTTCTAAGCTGGTGGTATACTTACACTTTGCTTCTTAATTGTTACAGGAAATGGTGTTTGACCGCACCTTCAATTAATAGCTAGTTAATTATTTCCTAGGTTGAAATTTTATTAGTGTTCTATTGAAAGCTGGCCAACTTAGTGGGGCTTCAACTGCATGTAATTTCTGTCTTACGACTGGTCAGCTGAGTGCCCACTGCCACATTTTAAGTTTGGTCTTGGTTGGTTTGAAAGGTTCATAATATCAGTGTTTCATGAAGATTTACTTGTGGGAAAGCCAATGGTAAACAGGTTGCCTGTTCATAGCCGTATTCCCTTTTGTTAATTCCTTGGTGGTTAGTTTTCAATTGACCCTGCAGATATCATCAGAAGTTGTACGCACAGTGCTTGACGAAGGAAGAAAACCAAGTGGTCGATTCTGCCTTCCATGTTTCGTTAATGGACTTCTCTTGTTTTGTTTGTTGTATGCTTCCAATATTTTGATTTTTCTTTTCTTTTCTTTTGTTGGTGCTGGTTCTGTAAATTAATCTATTAGTTTTTGTTTCTTCTCACTATCCATTTAGGATTGGGAACCCGATTAGTGTATGGAAAGTGTAATGATCAATGGAAAGATATACCGTGTTTATATGAATTTAAACTGATACAACATTAAATTATGTGTATTAGAGAATTTTTCTGAGAGGTTATTGTTTCAATTTAAAGACATAAGGACCAAAAAAAAAAAAAACCCAACGACATTTTTCTAATTTTTATGTATCTTTATTTGGTAGGAAAAACATGCAATCAAAGACAAACCCATATTGACACGATAAAAAAAATTTCAAGAAAGAATTTCATAGCGATCTGTCTAATGAAATTGATTAGGCCAGGTTTGAAAGTTATGTTTTTAGCTGAAAATCGAAGTGACTGGCTGCAATACAAAGAATAGAATTCACAATTTAGTAGCCGAAAACTCATATTGACAAATTGTATTAGTGTAGCATTAGGTGGTCAGTGGAGGAATGGAAGGCAAAGGTCAAACTAGGGACTACGTTGTTGACTTTTGAACCCCTTTCACTGGTATGGTTTTTGACACGTCTCCGTGCCTTTTTTTTTTTTATTTTTTGAAATGACCCGTCTCCGTGCCTTAATAGGCGATCAATGGCATGGTAATATGCATATTATTTTTGTTTAATTACGGTTTACAATTATTAAAATTTTACTGCTATTATTATATTATTATTCATTTAAAAATACTTTTATTGAAAAGAGATAACCTCGTGAGTGGACTTTCGTGCACTTGTCTGCCACGACGTCACTTTCTTCAATGGCCCTTTTCTACCTTTCACCCTATGATTTTACCTAAATAACCCTCATCCAATTTTTTATTAATGATGTCTTAATAATAACACATCATATGATTGTTTTAGTTATTTTGTCGGTCACCCAAAAAAAAAAAGTTTTACCTATATCTTTTTTTTTTTATTTTTTATGAAGCTATCTAGTTTTTTTATTAAATTTTTTACTCTTGTTGCATTATACATAGGTGTAGTTTCGCTTTCACGTGAATTAAGAAAAATTAATTATTATAAATAAGTAGTTAAATTATATTTTTTATTTAGATTTTTTTTAAATATCACTCTATATTAAATTGTGCACATATAATTGAAAATATACATAACATAAATTATTTTTTAAAAAGAAAATAGTTCTACATTTTACTTTAGGACAAATCAAAAAGAAAAATAAATCTATATAGGTAGGGAGTATTAGATTATAATAAAATATCAATTTTACCCTTTAATACGATATAAAAGTTAAGATCTCACTAATGTAATACACCGTAAGAACCTACAAAGAAATCTTAAACGATGATGCAATCTAATAATCTAAGCAATTAAGTAGAATCAATCTTTTAAGATCATATCAAAGATATTGCTAAAAGTAAAGACTTCAATGAATTGGCACTTAAACTCGGAGGACATTTCTGTAATATCACCAAATACTTCCTTATGACTTTTATGACCTTTTTGTCCTTGTATGTTTCCTCCAAAGGCAGCTTTTTCAGATAATCTATACAAAATCGAAATCTCCATACTTTCTCATTCTCTCTCTCTCTTTCTCTCTCGCAAAAGTTGAATTGAAAAGCGAATTGCAGGGGACTTCACTGAAACCATCTGTAGATTCCGCCATGTCCTCTTACAGTTGAAAGATGCTTTCTTTTTCCTCTTTAAATTTCTCGGGCAAAGGCGGAAAAAAGATTACGCGCTGATTGAACTCAATGAAATGTCACCGGACTCACCGTCACCAATCTTCACTTCCTTTGTTACTTTCATGACTTCTGTTTCTATCTTTCTTTTCTTTCTGTTAGTAACCTCTAATGCTCTGTTTGTTACCAAATTTGAAATGAATGGCAGCTTCTCCATCCCCAAATCAACACCAAATCTTAGTGACAGACTGCCTAACTCCTCAAATTTCGCTTTCACCGCCCAAAAACTAGCAGATATTAATCGACAGAGAAGAAGCGAGAAATTGGAGTTCAGCAATGTTATACTCAGTGGAAACTCAACAATTTCAAGCGAAAATAGAACTTTCCAACTGGGTTTTTTTAGCCCAAATGACGGTTCGAAGTGGTACTTAGGCATTTGGTACACTTCTACTCCCAATCCGACTTATGTTTGGGTAGCGAATCGGGAAACACCCATTTCCAATCTCGCCTCTTCCACTTTACTAATCACCGATGCGGGCAAGCTAGTAATAATGGAGTTGCCAAATTTAGTCATTTGGCAGAGCACAAACACAGAGACAGCAACTGGGTTTCGCTTTCTAGACAATGGAAATCTGATTCTGTTATCGGCGACGAGGTCATTGTTATGGCAAAGCTTCGATTATCCGACCGACACGTGGCTACCCGGCATGAACCTCACCAGAGACCAATCTTTGGTCTCTTGGCGGAGCTTGTCCGACCCATCCCCTGGTTTATACTCTCTCAGGCTAAACCCACGGGGTTACAACGAATTCGAGCTGGTATATAACAAAAGTGTTAAGTATTGGAATACAGGTAATTGGACCGGTACGGCATTTGCCGATGTACCCCAAATGACAATACCGTACATATACAGATTCCACTTCGCTGATCCTTTTACTCCGGCCGCGTCGTTTTGGTACACGGAAACAGCATTAGATAGAGCGTTGCCGCCGACGCGATTTCAAGTGGATGTCGACGGGCAGTTGAAACAGTACACGTGGTCGTCGCAGGTCGAGAGTTGGAACATGTTCTGGTCACAGCCGGAGAATAAGTGTAAAGTTTATAGATTGTGTGGAGATTTTGGATTTTGCATAAGCACCTACGGAGCGCCAAAACCTTGCATTTGTCTTTCAGGGTTTAAGCCTGTTAGCGATTACGGTTGGGAATTTGAGGATTATTCTGGCGGTTGTGGAAGGGAAGGTGGGGATTTTTGTGAAGAGACCGATGGGTTTAAGGATGTTGGGGTTGTGGAGTTTGAAGGAGCAAGTACCATGTCGTTTCAAGGGAGTAGGAGCGCCTGCGAAAGGTCTTGCTTGGGTAATTGTTCGTGTATCGGTTTGGTCCATGACGAGAGGACTAATTTATGCAAGAATATATATGGTTCTTTATTCAATTTGAGGAATCTGAGCTCGGAAAGCACTGATCAAGATATGCTGTTTGTTAGGGTTCCAAAAGAAGGAACTACGAAGAAGAATGAGTCAAATTTTGTGCTTTTAATTGGTAGCATTCTCGGTTCCATTGCCCTTTTTGGGTTAGCCATTGCAATTTTGCTGATTCTACAGATGAGAAGAAGGAAGAAGGGTAAAGGAGAAAACGGTGGTGGCTTTCCAATTTTTAATTTGAAGGTTTTTTCTTACAAAGAACTGTATGCAGCAACTAGAGGTTTCTCAAATAAACTCGGGCATGGTGGATTTGGTGCAGTGTTTCAAGGTGAGTTGTTGGATTCTACTCTTGTTGCTGTGAAACGCCTTGAAAGGCCGGGGAGCGGAGAGAAAGAGTTCAGAGCAGAGGTATGTACCATCGGGAGCATTCAACATGTTAATCTTGTTAGACTTAGAGGGTTTTGTTCAGAGAATTATCATAGGCTTTTAGTTTATGATTACATGCCAAATGGTTCTTTGAGTGTATATTTACGCCAGGACGGTCCTAATATTAGTTGGGATGTTAGATTTCGTATAGCAATTGGAACTGCTAGAGGCATTGCATATTTACACGAGGAATGTAGAGATTGCATTATCCATTGTGACATCAAACCGGATAACATCCTTTTGGATAGTGATTATACGGCTAAGGTATCGGATTTTGGCCTAGCAAAGCTTGTTGGTCGGGATTTTAGTCGAGTATTAGCCACCATGAGGGGTACCTGGGGCTATGTTGCACCAGAATGGATATCTGGAGTGGCTATTACTACAAAAGCTGATGTTTATAGTTATGGAATGACATTGTTGGAATTGATTGGAGGCCGCAGAAATGTGGAGGCACCACCCTCTGCTGATGGGGATAAAGAAGGCGAAAAGAGGGAGAAATGGTTTTTCCCTCCATACGCTGCGCAACAAATAATTGAAGGCAATATAGCAGCAGTAATAGACTACAGGCTTGGCAATGCATATAAAATTGAGGAGGCTGAGCGCGTTGCATTAGTAGCAATTTGGTGTATACAAGATAATGAAGACATGAGGCCTACAATGGGCACGGTTGTGAAGATGCTAGAAGGAGTAGTGGAAGTGCCATCTCCTCCAGCACCCAAATTGTTACAAGCACTGATTTCCGGCGAGTCTTACCATGGGATTCACGTAGATTCCAGCAGTGGAGCACCTGTAAGTGGTGATTGTTCTGGTGATTATACGGGGGTATCTAGTTGTGGTTCACAAGCATCTCCTGCTAATCCTTCCTTCCCTGTTAAGGGAAATGCTAATGTTTAACTATAGATTATAAGAACATGACTGACCAAAGCTAATTTGCTACGCAGATCAGTTGCTTATGTTTTTGGATTTTTTTTTTTTCTTTTTTGATGAATTGTAGAATACCACCATGTGTGTAAAGTGAGTTGCTGTTGTAGGAAAGTTTTGGCTCAATCATGCATGTCCCTTAAAATGATTATTAACCTATGTACGATTGAGGGCCCAGATTCACCATTCTCATCATCACAATCAAGTAGAAATTATGGAACTGCTTGAAGAGTTCGAAGCTGCAATTTATTAATTAAGGAGTCAATCAAGGGCTTGCCCATCATTTTCAATTTGGAAATTATGCAATTGGTTAGGTTTGTAGTTGATATTCAACTTCATTTTCTATTTTCTTTTAATGGGTTGGTTGGAAGATGATCGTGCTATCACTTTTCACTGGGTCCTATTCTCTGTGTCAAAGTATATAACTACACCCACTTTCATCTATTTTGGAATTTTAGCTTTATCGTATCATATAATGTATCAATAAAGTCCATGCCAATTTTGACAGCCTCTTTTTCATTTTTTTTTTTTATATTATTTCTGACAGCCATTTGTGTTGCCAATGTGGTATGTTTTTTTAGTTGTGTGTTAGCTATTTTATTAGCAAGCATATGTTATCTATTAGCTAGTTGTTTAAATTGAAAGTATTTTGTAAACTGATAATTAAAAGTATTATGTAAAAACTGTTTAATTTAAAATAATAAAAATAAAATAAAATTAGCTGTTTGATTGGCTGAATTTAGAAAACAATGGATATGATTTAAAAAAAAAAATATTATGTGAAATGCCTAGTGTGAGAATACTCTAAAAGCTATTATAATTAGCTTACAAACTGTTGCGGGGCAGCGCACGATGTGCAACATTTTACATGGAATCACCAATATGCTATACTTCGTCTGGTTATAATAATAATCAATCAATCTATTTTAACTTCTATGAGGGCTTTATAAGGCCCATATATGAGAGCCCTGGCCCGTAAAAGAAAACGCTCTGAGTACGGAGTAGCTGTTGAAAAATAACAGAAACCAAGAGACTCAGTCAACCAAACCATCCCTCTCTTTCTCTCAATATATATATATAGGTGTAGCCACCCATATGTGCAATGCGTTTTTTCCATGGCTATCCTCATTTATAGCTACCAAAGTTGCAGCCACCCATATGTGCAATGTGTTTTTCTCATCGAAAACAAGAAAGAGGAACAATTTTGAATTTTTCTTATGCTCAAAAAAACAATCAAAAACTTAAACAAATAAAATTGCGTTTGATTAAAAGAAAGCAAAGATTGCGAATAATAAAGAAAATGACTCAAACAAAGCAGAGGAGAGCAGTAGTTCATCCTCTGCTAGATCCTCTCCAAGGCAAAAATCTGCAACCCACACCACAACCCCATTCATCGATGGCATTATACAGAGCGATATTCCTGTCACGGATTACATCTCCATTTTTGAAACCACTGATCTCCATCATGCACCTCCTACATTGCTCAACGATGAACAAGGAGACTATCCTCCGATTCAATGCTTTGAGGATGCAAAATATATTTGCATTTTGGAGTCTTCCAAATTATGGTCTATTGCAGCTCCGATAGCGTTTAACATCCTGTGCAATTACGGAGTTAATTCGTTTACAAATATCTTCGTGGGTCATATCGGAGATATTGAGCTATCTGCAGTTGCAATTTCTCTATCGGTCATCGCAAACTTCTCGTTTGGCTTCTTGGTTTGCTTCTGCCCTACTCTTGATATCATCTGTATTCATTTTTCAATTTCTTTTCTTTATTATTCTGTTTCGAATTTTAGCTGGATACTAATGCAAACTATTTAATTTTGGTCGATGCAGTTTGGTATGGGAAGCGCATTGGAGACATTATGTGGTCAAGCATTTGGAGCAGGGCAAATATATTTACTTGGAGTATATATGCAACGGTCATGGATAATCTTATTTGTTGCTTGTTTCTTTCTATTGCCGCTTTATGTATATGCAACTCCAATTCTAAAGCTACTTGGAATAGAAACAGATATTGCAGAACTTGCAGGCCGATTTACAATTCAAGTTATACCTCAAATGTTTTCTCTAGCCGTAAATTTCCCTACGCAAAAATTCTTGCAGTCGCAAAGCAAAGTTGGAGTTTTAGCTTGGATTGGTTTTGCAGCTTTAATTATACATATTGGAATTCTTTATCTCTTCATTATTGTATTCGAATGGGGTTTGGCTGGTGCTGCTGCGGCTTATGATATGTCTGCTTGGGGTATTGCTTTGGCTCAGGTGGTTTATGTTGTTGGTTGGTGTAAGGATGGGTGGAGAGGACTTTCTTGGTTAGCTTTTAAGGATATTTGGGGGTTTGTTAGACTTTCTATAGCTTCAGCTGTTATGATTTGTCTAGAGATTTGGTATTTTATGACTATAATTGTTCTTACTGGGCACCTTGAAGATCCTGTTATTGCTGTTGGCTCACTTTCTATCTGGTTAGAAATCGCTTCATGATATATGTTTTACATTTTCTGTTGCAGTCGTTCATTTATGCATTAATTGTTTAATTGTTTAATTTCTTTTTACAGCATGAACATCAATGGCTGGGAAGGCATGCTGTTTATTGGAATCAATGCTGCAATAAGGTATATATAAAGTTCAATAAAATTCATTTTCCGTGAGAACACCAACCATACCACGTGTGTTTGGCTGGGAGATTATTAAACTGCAGCAAGTCTCATGCACTAAAACTCTCTTTCTTACTTATGAATTCCTTTTATCTTGCAGCGTTCGAGTCTCTAATGAGCTTGGATCAGCACATCCTAGAGCTGCAAAATATTCAGTTGTTGTGACGTGCATCGAGTCGCTGCTTATAGGAGTTTTCTTTGCAAGCATTATTCTATTAACTAAAGATGATTTCTCCATCATTTTTACTGATAGCTTAGAGATGAGGAAAGCAGTGGCTAATTTAGCATACCTTCTGGGTATAACAATGATATTAAATAGTGTTCAGCCAGTAATATCAGGTATTAGATTAGCAATTATTACATCCTAATTAACGTTGGATTACCAGAAAAATATATAAAACTCTTTGCCAAAATTGTAGGTGTTGCTGTGGGAGGAGGCTGGCAAGCCTTGGTAGCTTATATAAATTTGTTTTGTTATTACATAGTTGGACTTCCTCTTGGGTTTCTTCTTGGTTATAAAACAAGTTTACATGTACAGGTACAACTCTTCATTTCCAATATTAACTATTTATGCACAACTATTACATCTAATCCAATGGTTTAAAGAAATATTTTACTTATTGAGAATTAATTAATTCTTTTTAGGGAATTTGGATGGGCATGATTTTTGGAACTTCCCTCCAGACACTAATCCTAATTTACATTATCTGTAAAACCAACTGGAGCAAGGAGGTGAGTAGATACTCGATTCTGAACTATTAATTTAATGGGTGGATGTTGTTTATTTGATTTGCTGTTTTCTAACTTCAGGTTGAAGAGGCATCTGAAAGAATGAAAAGATGGAGTGCACAGGATGATGATCCATTACCCACTACTGATACAAATTAAGTTCCAACTTAAATCTCTTCTCTGCATGTATTTAACCATTGATTCCTTGGGCAGATTTTATTCAAACATGTTACTTCTGGCACACATCCAATCAAAGTCTAATTAGAGTGTAAATTCTCATTACCCTTTTTTGTTTTTCCATTTTACCATTTCCTTATTGAGTAAAATTCAGTTCTAGAATGTTACATTTTGAATCATAAATCATAAATCATATCAATATAAGTTTGTCCACAGTTTTTAAAAACGAGTTAAGTTTGTGGTTACTTTTAGGATTTACAGGAAGTGGAGCGCTTTAATGCAAATACATAATGTTCAAACCGACGTCAAGAATCTGATATGTAACCCCCTTTGCTATTTATTATTAAAACATTGCCACCAACTATTTGCAATTGCCTTATGAACCCTGGATTTTAACTTTCAATAATTTCAGTTTCGCCCCATGTGGAAATAGCTTATCACGTGCTATTTCCAATTCGTGATCGCGTCGCCGGACATCTATTATTGTCCGGCTCACTCACCGGCTGTAACGTAAGAGTGAGGATTTCAATTTCGTCCGATCACTTCGTTGGCAAAATGGAATCAAATCTAGTTTCACGAGTTGAGTTCCTACTTCTTTAAATGTTACTATAAATTAAAAAAAAAAAATTAAATAAGTAAAAACTGTTTATTGTTTTTTTTTTAAATAACGTTTATTATTTTTATTTATCTTAAATAGTAAATATAACTATTGTGTATAAATTAAAATCAGTAAAAATATATTCTTTTTTATTTTTCTAGTAAAATAAAAATAAACTAGTCATATATTGTGCAATGGCAAGTTGTGCAATTATATTTTTTAATTAATTTAGATGGGTAATTTTTTTAAAAAAACATTTTGATTTATATATGTGTTACTTTAATTAAAATAATTTACTTATATATTGTGATAAAATGATGGAAAGTGAAATTATATATTTTTAATATTTTTCTAATTTATTATGTTCTATAGTCTTACTTGTGTGTACTAATTGAATTCTAATACCGTTAAAAAAAACTTTAATTCATTTTATAATATAGAGTTTAGATGAATAAGTATTTTGATATACTATTTTATTACGCGCAATGTAAATCTTAAAATGAATAGGAATAAGATTTGAAAAATCTAAAACCTAAAATTTAGGAAATATTATTAAAAAATCTAAAAATTTTATTATTTGAAATAATACTAATGATAGCATTAAATAATATTATTAATTTCATCAATTATTAAAAAATAATAAAATATTTCATTACTTAAAATAACATTATTAATTTAGTTGAGCATTAAAAAGTTAAATTTATAATACTTAAGAAATTAAAGAGTTCCGTTATTTAGAATAACTGGTTGTCTTTCACGTTTCGTGTGCAGATATATAATATTTAAAAATAAAAATGCTATTTTATTATAATTAATAATTACTTTTAAGAATCCATATATCCAATATTATATTTATTGACGTACAAAAAATAAAATAAAAAATAAATTTTTTTATACATTCTTACAAAATGATGAATGTATTTACATATGTATACATAAATCAAGTTTATAATTAAGTTTAAAATTTTTAATTTTTATAGATATTTTAATAGATTTTAAATTAATCTTTTTAAATATCAATTATTAAATTCATTTTGAATAAAGAATCTAAAACATTTTTGAAAATAAATATTTTCAATAATCTTTTTAAATATTTTGAATAAAAAATATTTCATCAAAGTTTATCCGATTTGAAGTAGATTGAGAAATACTATCATCTTCATTCATAAAACATAAACATCAACTTTACCATTAAATATTTCTCCATTTCACATATTAATGACATTAGAAAATGAATTTTAATTTTAATTTCATTAAAAAAATATGATGAAAAATATTTTATTATTTAGGTGGCATTATACTGAACAAAAATAAACACTTAATTTTAGTAACAATAAATAAAATGCTTTTATATAGAACATACGCTAATAGTTATGGAACAATTTATTATACATCACAAAATCACGTCTTAGTAGATCATTGGAAATTGAATAAATTTTGTAATTCCATCGTTATCACCATATTGATCAAATTATCATCAATAAAATATCATAAAAATAGTTTTATATATATTGTTTGCAAAGAATTCATTTCTTATTGTTGAAAGTATGATTAGATTTTCTTTAGATATCTATGCAAATTCGGTAACAGTGGAAAAAGAAAAATAAAGAGAATAAATATTAATGATGTTGTTAATTATTTTAGAAAAAAAGTGAAAATAGTTTAAAATACTAGTGACATTATTAATTTAATTAATTATTTAAAAACTGAAAATATTATTAATAGTAAAAATTAAGGTATCTATTAATTATATTAAAATTAATTTTTAAAAATATAAAAATTATTTTCAACTCAATATATAGGCTAATATTTTGCACATAAGCATCTTAATACTCTAGAATTGTGCCACATAAACTTTTGTGTCTTAGCTTTTATATATTTATATAGATAGATAACTATGACATTATTAATTTAATTAATTATTTAAACTGAAAATATTATTATAGTAAAAATTAAGGTATCTATTAATTAAATATTAAATTATTTTTAAAAATATTAAAAATTATTTTCTAACTCAATATATAGGCTAATATTTTGCACATAAGCAATCTTAATACTCTAGAATTGTGCCACAAAACTTTTGTGCTTAGCTTTTATATAATTTTAGTAATAGATAGATAGATATAGATAGGATAGATAAATAGATAGAAGATATAGATAATTATAATATTATTAAATTTGAATTAATTTTACCTGCAAAAAATAATTTTCATGATGATTTAAGCATCTTAATACTCTAGAATTGTGCCACATAAACTTTTGTGTCTTAGCTTTTATATATTTATATAGATAGATAGATATAGATAGATAGATAAATAGATAGAGATATAGATATTAATAATATTATTAATTTAATTAATTATTAAAAAATAATTTCATGATATTAATTCAACTCAATTAATGCCCAATTAAAAAGAAAATGAAAGGATGAAATAATCAAAAAAAATTAATGTCATTAATTTAGTTAATCATAAAAAAATTGAATTCATAACACTAAATAAATTGAAAGGTTTAGTTATTTAAAATAATATTAATGATATTAAATTTTAACTCAATTTATGTTGAAATAAGCAAATAAAAATTTTAAAATAATAAAAAAATCAATTCATCATGGACATGTCAACTTAGCATGAATGATCAAATATGCCAACTCAAATTTTCTGCTTAAAAAATTATAATTTTCACATTAATGCTTAAAATAGCAAAGCCCTTTTTTTTATCATTGTATTGTGAAATTTTGTTTTCAAAAAATTAATTTCAACCCTATATAAACTGTGAAAGTCTTTCATATCAAGTAAAATCTTAACATAATTGATTCAAAAGGTTGAAAACCATGGATTTGTTAACTACAAAAATTAATAATAACATATGAATATCATGAAACATAACTATTATATTATATGAATAGCTAACCAAACTAAACCAAGATAAGTCAGTTTGGTTTGGTGGTTCTGCTCAACCTTAATCTCAATTTTAATTGTGGTCTTATTTGATAACATTAATTATTTTAGTACTTGTTAGCTATTTTATTAGCGATTCATCAAATATTAAAGCGAATTGAACATTTTAAATAATAGAGATGATGGCCTAGTCAAAACATTAAAGCTTATTCCACAAAATTAATTATTTTAATGGTTAAACTAGTATTTCATCAAATGTTAAAAAGAGTAATGTTTCATAATATGCTCCATCAAATTATAAATACTAGTATAAATGATATATTTCACTCTCCGCTTCCATTTGCAGAAGTCAAAAATCCACCCTGCATTTGCGCCGGACTTAGTAGAGATGGATAAATTGTCTGCAACTTGGGATGGACATTTGGTCGGTTCGGTTAACCGTTTATCCAATTTACATTTACTGATTTAAAAATTGAGTATTTATTGTTTACCGATCGATTTAAATATTTATCAAATTTATCATTTACCGGTGAAACTTTACAGTTTACCAATCGATTTATCGAATTAATCAATTTATCTTGTAAAAATTGACTTTTTTTAAACGAAAAAAGAAATCAAAATGACACGAATTTGAGTAAATTATAAATTTCGAATTTTTTGAATACTTTATCAAACTATTTATCTTCTACCGAATTTTCTTTGAAAAGTTTATTGATCATTTACCATTTACCGAACCATTTTTAGCGAATACCATCGATTTAGTTTGGTAAATCGATAATTACTGAAGTTTGTCCACCCCAAGCTGCAATTTTATGAATACTGTGAGCATTTGACTCATCATTCTCAATTTTAGAAAACAACAACATACAAACTGAAATTTTCACATTTTCAATGATATTTTCCCTTTTGTTGGATTTTCTTATTACTTATGGAACATTAATCGGGGGTAGTGTGGTAGTTGTTCATCAAGATGGCACAGATTAAGGTGTGATCGTTGAATATAGTTACACGTAAGTGTTGAGAGATTGTGTTCAAATCAAAAGTGGAACAGTGAAAGTCACATTTTTATTTTGTTGAAATTCTAAACAAATAAAACTCCTCGTCTAAGTAACCTATCGTCTATTTCATCATTTATTACCATTTTATTGAGATTCAAGGACCACTTAATATCGTTTCAAGGGTAAATTAAGAAAAAGTCCATAAAAAATCAATCTCCATACTCTTAGTGAAATTTTAACTCTGTCTGTATCAGAAAAATATGTGTCAAATTAACTATAGATATTATAATAAATATAAAAGTCCTTGTAAATTTAAATTACCATCTCTATTAAACTCTAATTATATAAGAACTTTGCATAAACAAAAGACATGAACAAAAATTACTATTTGTCATATTTTTCTTTTTAATTCTTCATTTTATATTATTTTATAATATTAACATTGTTTTAATCTTAAAAATAGAAGATTCTTATAATTTTGAAAAATATTTATTTCAGAAACAATTAAATTATTTTCATTTATATTTTATCAGAACTATTTTTAATAAGAATTTATATTATAATTTGTGCAATACGAATGAACCACTACTAATTTTAAAAAATAACTAAGAATTAAGAATGTTAATTACAAATATAATTTTGGGTGGGTCCATTTACCATGCATGACCACTTGAAAAATTTTTCTTCCCAAAAAGTCCTTTATTCTAATAACAAATACCAACCTACTAAGAGCTTAAAAAGCCCTAAACTCAACCCTAGAGTTGAAAATTAACCAAGGTTAGCCAATCATTCTTCACTATAAATAAGGGCTTTGTGTCCCTTCACAAAACCTTGCTCTATTAGAAGCTCTTGTTGTATAGGAGTTTTTTGACACCCGAACCTCAAGGAGGCCTTAAAATAAAAGGGTCATACGTATAAATATAGATATAGGAGATAGATAGGAGAGGCGAAACAAAAGGCCAAAGAAAGGCAAAAGGGGGGGGTCAAGGCAGTAGTCACCAGAGGGTCTCATTGAAACCCCCATCTAAATTACCCACAAGGCTCTTCTGGTACGTCTCTCGTTTTTATTTCCCTTTATTTTCTTTTTAACCCAAACAATAAACAAAACACACTCTTTTGGATTTTGAAGACGAGGGTCTGTATCTGTTCAAAACTCGAATTCTAGCCCCTCTACTCTTATCTTTCTCCATCTCGCTTATTACCCTTATAAAATCTGCAATTAAACACAGCCATGACGCGCGGGCGGCCACAAATTTTCGTAACCCTAATTATTCCTTTTTCCCGCCAAAACATTCTTTACATAGATGCATATATGGTACATTCTAAATATGAATCTGAATCTAGCTTAAATCTGCACACTAACAACACCCTCTTGAATGATTACTCGTAGTGTTTTAATTTTTTGTTTTATGTTTTTTAGTTTATGCTTTCGTTTTTGAAGATTACAAGAAAAAAGAATGACTCGTTTTTAGGGTTTTTGAACTGGAAATAATGGCAGGGTGGTCGATGATTGCTGGTGACAGGTGCGCCTTAGATAGCTCCAAAACCCCACAAAAAGAACTCCACCAAGAAGGGTTCTTGGACGGTCTTGACCCGTTTTCACAATTGTCCCGTCTAACAACAGACTCTGACGCCAAGCTTCGATGCCAGTTTGATAACTGTTTGAAATCTTTAAGGAAAGAGATCTGTGTCCTAGATAGTGCTTTTCCTCCAATGCTTGGAGATGGACAACCTGTGGATTTGCTTAAATTGTTTTTGCTTGTGAGGGAGAAAGGTGGGTATGATGTCGTCTCTAAGAATGGTTTGTGGAGTGTGGTGGCTCAAGAGTCTGGGTTGGGCTTAAACATTGCATCATCTGTCAAGCTGGTCTATGCCAAGTATTTGGATACATTAGAGAAATGTTTAGAGAGAGTTGTTGATGATAAGAATTCAAAAACCAAATCGAGTGTTAGTAGCCCGAATGTGGGCGGGATTTCAATGGAATTAAGATCTGAGTTTAAGGGGTTGTTGTCCGATATACCAGAGTGGAAATCTGTACTGAATGTGAGTGCTGAGGTTGATCCAAATGGAGATGAGAAATGCATTGTTGATGATGAAGAATCTGTGCATATAGGTACTGGAAAGAGTGGTGTTGATTTTGTGGATGTTGGGAAATTAGGCTATAATGTTGCTAAGAGCTCTGCTATTGATTCTTTTTCTGATGGGGACAAGAAGTGCAAAGATGATCAGGAAAACCTAAGGTCCAATTTAACAAGCCTGAATGCATTTGATGAGGATGAGGTGAAGAGTATGGTGGTGGAAATAGAGGATGACAAGAAATGTGAAAATGGCGATGAAAATGATGTTATTGTATTAGATTCAGATGCTGTTAAAGACTCATTTTCTTGCCTTAAGAGGAAAAGGAAGTCTGTATGTAGAGTGCTAAACTGGATTACTGGGGTTGCAAGGAATCCATGTGATCCTCTAGTTGATTCATTACCAGAGAGTTCAAAATGGGGGTCTTATGGGAATGAAGAATTGTGGAAGCAGGTTTTGTTGGCTCGGGAAGCATTATTTCTGAAAGGAAATGTTGATTCAGGTGCTGAACAGGTATCATTCAGTTACTAAATGCCATTATTGTAAAATTGATTTGTAAGGATACTCTTCACTTCTATATGGAATTACTCTAGTTCGTTTACTTTCATATTATGATTGTCATAATTATAATTTTTATTTGTTAATGTTTATATACCAGTTTGTAAATAGAGATAATGGCCGAATACATAACCTGAACTATTCATGTTGTTTATCAAACATTGGAATAGGAATTTTTTAACTCCCGTTCACTATTCCATTCATTATTCCAATCCATTCCAGCTACCAAATGTAGCCTTAGAAGATTACAAAAATAATTTTTTTATCTTATGTTTATTTCTATTTTTGTTGAACTTGAAACATAATCTACTTTTAGAGGATGGTGTGGTTGCTTTTGCCTTCTCTCCTGCCTATTGTTAATTTAGCTCAATCTGTGGATTATGTAGATTATTTACTGCTGTATGTGCTAGAATTTTCTAGTTTTTTTTTCCCCCTTTATATCCTGCATATGAGAAAATGCACACATCATACTATATGCTGCACCTTTTAACTATAGGCAAATTTATTGTACTTAGATGAAATGTCAACTGTTGTAAATTTTGAATTTGGCAACTAATTACTCTACCTAATTTTCCCACTTGATAGAAAAATCGGAAGATGCACCCATGCATGTATGATGATCCTGTTGGATCGGCTTACAATTTCAGAGAGAGGTTAAAATGTACCAAGAAGCTGCTACATGGGAAAACAGCATCTCAAGGAGAGGCTTGTTCACAGTTATCATCTTCAACCGCTGAAACTGAGTCAGACTCCTGCACAAAAAAGATTTGTGATGGTCATTCGTCGACTAAATATTCAGTGATTGATATTCCAGTTGAAAAACCAATTCCTCTGGGCCCAGATTTTCAGGCTGAAGTACCAGAATGGACTGGCATGGTTTCTCAAAGTGACTCAAAGTGGGTTGGAACCCGAGTTTGGCCACCAGAAAAGATAGATAACAGATTAGTTATTGAAAGGGAACCCATTGGTAAGGGAAGGCAAGATTCATGTGGGTGCGAAGTGCCAAAATCTACAGAATGTGTCAGATTTCATAGCACTGAGAAGAGAATGAGAACGAGGCGTGAATTGGGGATAGCTTTCCTTCATTGGAAGTTTGATAAGATGGGGGAAGATGTTAAACTTTCCTGGACAGAAGAAGAAGAGAAAAAGTTCAAGGCCATAGTGCGGTTAAATCCTCCATCTCTTGATAAGTGTTTCTGGGATGAGATGTTCAAATTCTTTCCCACCAGGAGAAGAGAAGACCTGGTGAGTTACTACTTCAATGTATTTCTTTTGCAGCGCAGAGCACACCAGAATAGATTTACTCCAAATAACATTGACAGCGATGATGATGAATCAGAATGTGGATTAATAGCTAATAGTTCTGGGCATGAAGCACCCAAATCACCAGGCAGCCTCTTATATTCTGCAAAGAAGCCTCGTAAAAATGCTAGATGATGCCTGTTTATTGGTGGAAGTGAATTGCCTTACTAAGATATATAAAATTTTGGCTGTTTTTTCCTCCTACGGTTTTGATATTTGGCAATTTTCCATGGCTGTCTTCGTACGACACCAAAAAATTTTTTGCTGCCTGTGAAAGCTTAAGCCATGTTATTAACATTCTGCACTTAATGGTAATTCAGTGGAGAGCATCGATGATAGATATATTTTGGCTGCAGCAGCAAGCAGGCTCAAGCTTATGGCTCTTAGCATGCTTTTGTTATTTGCTTTCAGTTTCTGAGACATACTTCCTGATGATTCATATATGATATATGCCTACTTCACGTGCAGGTACCTAAAACTTGAACTTCATTAGTTTTCCTTTTTCTTGTGACATGGCTGACATGGAAAAAATGCTTAACAATTATAGTAAAGAATCCTTAGTTTAGAGGGGATATGGATGCAAGAAGATAGTATTCTATGATTCAATTTGTAGTCTTTTAGTTATGGTGCAAACTGTTGATGTTATGATGGTTTTTGGAATGAAATGGGTCATGACATTTCCATTTTGATGTCTCTGTCTTATGCATTGAATGGTGTTTCACGTAGAAATGCTTGCTTAAGAGATATAGAGTTTAATTTTGAGCAATGATATCATACGTAGGTATAATATATAGTTCCAGCTTAAGTCTGATTAGAGCTATTTGATTCTCCTTCCTAATAGTTAGGAAGGAATTGCTTTGGAATTAAAAAAATAAAACAATAAAGAGAAGAAAGAAAAGATACAAATTCCAATGTTACATATTCTGAGGGTGAATTATGTCATTGGTTACTTAATTTTACACTTTGTTTTACTAAGGTCATGTAACTTTAATTTATCATTTTTAAGTAGCTTATCTTTTATTTTTGTTCTATCGGGAGGTCATTCACCATATTCAAGTTTTTGGAGCATTGTTCTTGCGAATATTCTACTTGACTCTGCCTTGTTTAGGACCCGTCATTAATCCCTCTCAACAACCTTGTAAATCTCTACAAGGTTGTTAAACTCTGCCTTGTTTAGGACCCGACATTAATCCTAAACTACCCATCTCACCAATTTGCCATTATGAATCAATACCCACTCTTATCATTATTTGCACTAAAATGCTTAATAAAACTTGATCATATTCACCAACTCCTAAATTCATTCACCATCACTTGGAACTTTAGATCCTTCTCCTGAATCTCTATTTTTTTATGTAAAGTCATTTTGAGGTTTCAATTTCTAGAAAGTCACATTCTATATATTTGCGTAATGTTCTCTTCAAATTTTGTATTAGAGAGTCTCATGTAGATTTGGTTTCTCGGTTGTATAAAGATTTGGTTGTTGCAGGTATATTGTAGATTCTTGTACTTCTAATCTTTTATTTGATTATTATTTGATTTTGGTCATTTGGAGGATGCAATGGAGTTGTTTGATGAATTGCTCGAGAAGGGTTGTAAGTTCAATGAGTTCCATTTTGGCATTTTGATCCATAGTTATTGTAGAGTTGAGTTCGCCACCAAACGGTTGAAGCTTTTGAGTGAAATGAGAAGTTTTAGTTTTTCGTTAATAGGTATGTGCATAATACCTTGACTTTGTGTTTTTGTAGGGAAGGTAAGATTAATGATCCCGAGGAATTGGTACATGATTAAGGAGGATGGGTTCTTCACGAATGTGGTGACTTTAATTATAGAATGAGCTTTTTATGGCTCAGGAACGATGTTTTGGAGCTTTTGATGTGAAGATGAATCTCTTTAAGAAATGATTTGAGGAAGCTAAGATTAGGAATGGAGGCCAGACGACTATTTTCAAGTACCCAACTTGCTCCGGCCATTTATTACTGTGGGTTTCAAGTAGTCATATACTACTTTGCGATGGTGATATGGGTAGTAAGATCATCTATGACGGTTTCGTGTTGGGTACTAGTTTTGGTCTAGGGTCTAGGGTACTAGTTTAGGTCCAAGGATGAAAGTAGTACATGTATTTTAGGGTACTTGTTTGGCTCTAATCCGCTGTAGTTATAAATGAGTTTGGGACGAGTATGAGACATAAAGTTATTATTCATAATGGTTATGGGTAAGGTACGAATATAGATATTTGGATACTCACTGCCCGCTATCTTCTATATTAAATGAGTTTGATAGTGGATATCTATGGGTACCTTATTCATTATTAGCGAAAAAAAAAATGTATTTTGAATAAGTTTGAGTTTAGATATTTTAAGATTTGCGAGTACCCTACCCGTTTAACGGATATTTTAAATGAGTTTTGAATGAAAATGGGTATTAAACTTTTAAATGGGTTCAGATACAGATATGGATACTTAAATGGATATTTAAATAGGTTTGAGAGAGTATGAATAATAAAATTTTAAAGGACACAGATATGAATATGGGCATTTAAAAATTTACGGGTATTTGCCCACTTTCATCTCTATTTAGGTCTTTAGATTTTCATTACTTGTTATCTAATATATTAAACGAATTTACGAATTTAGTTGGATGCCATCACATATCCACTTTAAAATTTGTAGGAATTCCCTTCTCTTCTGTCCCTAACTAAAATTGCAAAAAAGAATGAGATAAGAGGAGAAAAAAGAATGAAAAGAATAAATTTTTAGGAACCTTACATTCTTCGAAAGATTTAGATACATGTATTTAAATGAATTTGAAATAGATATGGATAGTCAAATACTAATTTATAAACGGATTCAAAACACAGACTATTTTAAAATTTTAGGGATTTACTTCACTCTCATCCCTAGCTAAATGAAAAAAAAAAAAAAAGGGGGCAAAAATAAAGAATTTTACCACATAATTTTTTTATGAATCCTAGATTTTTGAGGAATCACTTGAAAGAGTGAGAACAGGATTGATGAGAGAGGGGCTTATATTTGTTGCCATTGTAGAGATTTGTTAGGTTGTTGAGTGAGATTAATTAGTGTTTAATCGAGTAAATTTTACATGTTTTAAGTGTTTAATAAAATGATTTCATAAGTGAAAGTGTTTATAGATATAATTTTATAAATTAAAATGTACAATAGATCAAAATAAAAATTAAAGGCGTCATAATATTTTTTTTTAAATTGTACATTTTAGATAAATGGTGATACATATATTGAATCAAGTATAAATATATAATTTTGTTTGCTAACGTTATATTAATTAGTTATTGTGTTCGCGCTAAATATCACATTACTCTATGAAGTTATATTCAAATATTATATAAATTTAGACATAAAATCCATTTATTTCTATAAAATAACTTTCAGAAAAATATTTTTCATAATTTTTAGTTGTTTGGAGTATTCATAAAAATAAGTCAACGGTAAATATTTTTTTAGTTAAAGGAAAATTAAGTCATTTTTAAGAAAAATGACTTTTCATTTTCAATATCGTAAAATATTGTTTGGATTTCGAAAAATTTATTTTGACTTTATAAATTCATATTTTTTTAATTTATTAATCATAGATAGTCATTATTAACACTCATCGTTTACCACCGGTAGCCGCCACCGGTCATCAGCATTCTTCATAGTTTATTATTATTTTTTTCATTATTCTCATATTTAATAATAATATTAAGAAAATTCAAAATTTATATTATTATTATTATTATTATTATTATAAGTTGAAAATTTTATATTTTTAATATTGTAATCAAATATGAGAAATAAGTCATTTTCAAGAAAAATATTTTCTAAAAATATTTGTTATTTTATGGAAAAAACGAAGTATAAAAAGAAAATTATAACAAATAGTTAAAAAACACACTCGTTCTGGTACGATGTTAGCGGATAACCGTGACCGTCAAACCACCTTGATTGCTGGTAGTGGTTCCACAAGTCATAGGACTAGGCATGTGACGATGTCGTTTCTTGCTTCTAAAGCATACAAAGCCATTATGTTCATCAATAAACAAAGTAGTATTGGATCATGTTCTAATGGAGCAACAAATTCTGAGTATACTGACATTCCAATAAATTAATGCTAATATTGTCTTTTAAGTGATTGAAAACACTTTCAGCCTTTTCATGTTCTATGTAATTTTATTTTTATATAACTAAGAAGTTCAATCATTTCGAATGATAGATCGTAAAAGTTTTTAGCATTTTTAATAAAATGTGCGTAATTAAAGATCGAATTTGTATTTTTACTTTTATAAGAACAGAGATTACTTCAATGCCTTATTAGTCAAGCCTCATGTAATTTCTACTTTCGCACTCGTTAGAGCAAAAATTGTATCATAAAAGTAGAAATTAAGAAGATCTGGTTAGAGCAAAAATTGTGCTTTTTGCACTCATCATCGATGTATATTTACACTATATGCCTTTAATTTTCAATATCTACCCCACATCATCCCCCAATAGACCAACTTGTTATTTGTCTTTAACAAAATCTTTGCTGCCCATTCATTATTAGGGATAAGACTCAATTAGCGACCCAAATTTTTTTCACTTGGCCAAAATTTTTAAACCTCATCTTGTAAATTTTTTTTTTTCCACGTTGGGTGATGTACATTTTATTTATAGTCCACAAGGTTTCAACTTTGGTGATGTACATTTCTTGATTTATTTATCTAAATATATAATCATTAAATTATTAATTCGATGATTTTCTTTTAACTATTTTAGACGATTTATTATTTTTTTTTATACTTACTAATGAATTATAATATAAAAAATAAATAGTTAAATAAATAATAAACAAATTAGAATAAAAACACTAATAATAACTATTTCACGGTCAGTTCAAATGATAACACTAATAGTTGGACAGTAGGGCGAAAAATTACAATGTAGAGACTAAATAATGTAATTTTGAAAACTGGAACCTTATTAATATATTTGAGACAGCATGTAGTAATTATCTCTAAATAGGTGAGAAAAGAATGAAAAATGTTAGTGTATTTAATTATTGGGTGGGACCCATTTAAGTTGGAATTAGGGTATTGATTAAATTGGGTGGGACCCATTTAAGTAGGAATTAGGGTATTGATTAAAATTTCACTATGTTCAAGGAGGAAGAATCTTGAAACTCATACAGTTGAACCGATAATTGCACGACATATCAAAAGTTACCTAATTCCGTTTAATTAAGCACAGATACAATTTGAATTTAGGTACAAAAACGACATCACCAAACGACTGACAAAATGGTATTATGGTTGTTTTATGTTAATTTACTGCATATTATCCATAATTAAAGACCTGTTTAACAGGTAATTGTTATTTATTTATTTATTTTATTATTTTATAAAATGGGCAATGTCGGTATTATGTTATCATATCCTGTTTTATATTTCTTTTTAATGTCCAAGGACAGTTCTTGCTTGTCTCAGTTGAACAAGCAAACTTGATCTTCTCCTTAAAAACTCGTCTTTGAAACTGTGAAAGAAGACAGCAAAGCAAAAAGAAAGGTTAATCATGTCCTCTCCAAGCAAACGCAGAGAGATGGACTTGATGAAATTGTTAGTCTTCTAATTGATCTCCTCATCTATTTTTCCAGTTCTTCTACTTTTTTTTCCCTTTTAATTTTTTTTTTTTTTGTTTGGTAAATTGTGGTTTTGAATAGGATGATGAGTGACTACAAAGTTGATATTATCAATGATGACATGCAAGAGTTCTATGTTCATTTCCATGGACCCAATGAAAGTAGATCTTCATTTCCCATATCTTTTTCTTGTTTTCTTTTTCTTTTTCAGATTTTTGTGCCTTTTCTTTTTCAATATTAGATTCTTTTTATTGGGGAACCCTCAACTAATCAAGGTGATTGATTCCTGTGTCTTTCAATGCTTTTGGTAGTTTTATGCCTTTTGATCCTATAAAGAAGCTTAACTTAGGTAGTTCTTGTTTTCCTATTGCATTTTCTATGATCTTTTTAGCCAAATTAGAACAAATTCAGTAATCGGAAGTTTTTCTCGCTAAAACTGCCTCCTATTATGTACTCATTGCTCATTAATGATTTTTAACGAATTTAGTGCTAAATTGCAAATGAATAAATTTAATTATTGGAAGAATAAGCATCTTCTACTCTTATCTTCCATGTGATGAATTATGGCAGGTCCTTATCATGGGGGTGTGTGGAGGATAAGAGTTGAGCTGCCTGATGCTTATCCATATAAATCTCCATCAATTGGTTTTATCAATAAGATATACCACCCAAATGTTGATGAAATGTGAGTTAATTTGTCTGACTGGGTGTATCATACATTTTTTCTATTTAAATCAAAATGCTCTGTGAAGCTGAACATCTTAATTGACATTAATTCAGGTCTGGCTCTGTTTGTTTAGATGTTATCAATCAGACCTGGAGTCCCATGTTTGGTAAAAACTTTAACCGTCTTTGAGACAAATACTGTTTCTACTTCTAAGTTACTTATTAATGCACATGTTCTCCAGATTTGGTAAATGTATTCGAGGTATTTCTACCACAGCTTCTTTTGTACCCTAACCCATCTGACCCATTAAATGGAGAGGCTGCAGCTCTGATGATGCGTGACCGGACTGCTTATGAGCAAAGAGTTAAAGGTAACAATCTGTTTTCCTGAATTCTGGGTCAAAGTGTTTTCAGTTATGTTTCTGAGTTGCAGTTATAAAGGGTTAATTGGTAATGGATGGCATGCTAGAAACTTAACTGCTCTTCTGCATCACAATACTTGTGGACTTCACATTTGAATGGTGAATTGGTGATTGGCAGTGACTGCTTATCATTTAATATCTTGGAATTAGAAAGTCTAGTAATTAGTTCCTAATCGATTCAACCACCTTCTCATTTAAAAGGGCATTACCTGCAGCCTATATTATTAATGCAACATTTGATGCTACATTTTTTTTATGTTTATGCAAATTGTTTTCTCTTACCAAAAGCCAATTAAAAGCAAACGTACTTGTGAAAGAGGTTCTCATAGGAAGTGTTAAAGTACCGACTTCTTGCTATCTTTAATAAAAGGTTTCTCTGGAATCTGAATAATCTCTCTTCTCTGTATGAGCTTTTTATGCCGTGTAAGTGGGATTATGTTAATTTGTGACATAACACATGAACCCTGCTTTTATTGGCTCATCAACCAGAATACTGTGAGAAATATGCCAAGCCAGAAGACATAGGGGCTGCCGAAGAAGAAAAGTGTAGTGATGAAGAATTGACTGAAGATGAATACGAGTCTCACGATGAGGAAATGGCAGGTGAAGCAGATCCATAATTAGATTGCAGCCAATCCTTTGAAGTGTTGTAGTATTTGTACATGATGATTATGTGTTTAGCTTCTGTGAAAAAGAACTCCAACTGACACAATGGAGCTGTGTATTATTGGGTAGGAAAAGAAAGTTATTTTAGTTTCCTTTGTAAATAAATGTATCATTGCTTAATGTTCCATCCCAGTTATTTGACATTGTTAATTCATCTCCTGTGGTATCAAGCCATGTTTTTTTATTTTTCTTAAGAGAATGGGTATTCATGAACATTTTCTCTTTACTTTCTGACAAATAGATGCAACTATTAAAATAAGATATAGTTAGTAAAAGAAACATTGGAGGAGGAATACAAATAACATGAATCTTTATTTGATATGGTTTTATAAGACTTCATTTCGATCGGATCTTATGAATTAATATTTATTTACCTGAGTCGAATTCAAATCTTAACTCTTATAGGGGATATGCAATTTGAACTATGAAGCTTAACACTGGAGAAGAAAGGAGCATAGTATAACTGCAGGACGCAGAGGTGAAAACTATTGGATTTTCCGAAAAGCAGTATACAATGGAGGATCAATGACCTACACTATATTAACAGTATGGGCTAATTGCACTTGTTACAGGCCACAAACGGCCACTAATACACTCTGCAGCCTGACAAATTTTTCTTTTCCATTATACACTATCCTTTAAAGAAAAGTCATAAATGGCTTGGCCTCCTTTTACCAGCATCTGTCCTCAACCTCTTTACAGGATTTGCCCAACCAACACTTCCACCGCTACCACCACCATTATTTGCCGATTGAGGTTGGTTGCCCCACCCTTGCTGATGGGAATTTTCCCGATTCACCTTAGCAACTGAACCTGGAATTGGATTCATCATATTACGACCCATGCTAGGGGGAGAAACGGGGCCACTTGATCCAGTCCTCGACTTCACTACTGACTTGTCTCGGTCTTTCCTCTTCTTCTTGCAGATAACCAATTCCCCTGGATGCAAAGGAGAACCGTCCTGCTGATATTGTTCCCGGCTACTACCACTTCCACTTGCATGCCTTGTTTCCTTTGGCAAGTGGACTTTGACTCTGGTGTTGGTGTCATTACCTATAGGAATCGATCCTCGTTGGGTTGGCTTATGGGTAGGAATACTGTCCGGTTCCTCATTCATCAACCTGTGTCTCTTGTTTTGACCTACAGCTGCTGGTCTTGGAGATGGAGCAGAACCGGAGCCAGAAAAGGAAAGTGCATTTCTGGCTTCTCGGAAATCTGTGTCAGGAAATGCAATCTTCAAGATGTCAAAAAAGAGATCATGCACTTTCCTTGCTTCAGATCTAACCTGCATATGATATAAAATAATCCTTGAGATTCTGACCAGAAATAAAGTTAATCAATTAGTATACGTTACACCATAACTCGTCATTGAGATTATTAATTGAAGTAATAGATGCAAAATTATAGAATTCTTGTTGTGACAATCTATCAAAGGTAGTATTTTGCAACTTCATTCAGTGGAAAAGTCTGAAAACTAAGAATGAAAAAAGAAAATATTTCTCGAATCCAGAAGGAACTTTAGGGAAGAATTGAATTGAAACAATGGAAACTTAGCACAATTCAGAATATCATTTAGTTTAAGTTTGTATAAGAGAAAGAATTGGGACAATACAGCACAAGAGAGACTGCTGCAAATGCCTGGCATAGCAGAATTATTTTTGCACTTGTTACAAACGGACATCAAGAGGCTCAAAAAGGAAAACCATGCTCCTGAAGAGTTGCCTCTAGGAACTACCTTTATAGCAGTTCTCATAAAGAAATACAATGAAGGAACAATTGAATGAGATTATCTAGAAAAAAGATGAGTCGAACGGGCTACCGTACCTCATGTGAGAACCCATAGAACTGCATTGCACCTTTTAACATAAATTGCACATCAAACACAACCTCCATTACCCCATTGTACTCCAATCTGTCAACACGAATTTCAATCTTCCGCAAATCCAAAAGATTATTTCCAGAACCACCCATGTAACTAGAATTTTCGATCCTCTTCCACAAATCAGTTAGGAGAGGTACAATTTGTTGGCCTTCCTTATCTATTCTCCTTTGAAGCTTGCTAATTACATTCTTACACTGCAGAAACAAGAACTTTCAAGTTTAAATAGATGAGAAATGAAGCAAAACTATCATTTCATCATTTATGCAATTAAAATCGCCATTCCAGTCATTACAATCTCATGTTTACTTCAGTAATTTAACTTACAAGGAATTTGTTAATAAAATAACAAAACAAAATCAAATCAATATAAGAGAGAAAAAGGCAATTAAGAAAAGCTCCATTGGTGAATTATGGCATATTGACATTCTTCCCAAGATAAATTAATTATAAGCTATTAAATGCACCAAAATGATACAACAATGCTATTTGATTGTCAACAAAATAAAGTCAAACCTTTTAGCAATTTTAACTTGCCATAATAAGCAGGAAATTCTAAATATGATTATGAGCAAATTCTAGCCCTATATTTCAGCTGCCATAAGCAGAAGAATCACATGAAGGATAAATAATAAATTACCAATATGGAGAACAACATGAGCTGCAAATATACAACCAAATAATGCATACCCTTCTTTGGATGACATCTGACATCTTAGAGCCCATGATTGAATTCCCACTTGTATTTGTAACTTTGCCATCCCAATTCTCTCTAGTGTGGTCAGCAGCATCTTCTGCAGGAGCAGACTGCATATTCAATCTGCCAGATTTTGGCGAGGCATGCAACTTTGATGTATTAGCTATTCTCCTTGCAGGTAAGTTTCTTCTGCTCTTTGATGAATCAACCTGATCATGCCGAGAAGTGGTGGGCTCCCCAAATGTTTTCATTTCAGCATCAGATCTCAACTGTGCTTGATACTTATGGTCCACTTGGAATGGCAACAAATCTCCACGCTGTGCCTCAGTGCCTGGCTTGTCCTCTGGCCTCTCCAAGGTATGGCGAGGTCGCAGCCGAATACTGCGTTTTCGTTTAATCTTAGGTTGCAGAACTTGTTCATCTTCACCTTCATCACGATCATGTATCCAACTTCCAGATTGCTGGTGATCCATGTGAGAATCTCCAGACACTGCAATTTCCCCTTCCTCCAGTTCATCTGGCTGGAAACAAATTAACAGAAATATGTGAGATATCAAGACCAACCCAATCCAAATGACATGGCACTAGTACAGGAGAAGAACATACCATTTTTTTAGAAATAGAACCTGGTCTAGCATCTAATGCAGACAGAGACCCAAATTTCTGTGAAGAAACAGGAGACACCATTCTTGTCATTCTTCGGCTATCAGAGGAAGATCCAGAGGAACCACCTTCTTCTACTACATGATTATTCCTAGTGCTTTCTGTAGCCTGGGGATAGTCATACCGACCATCACATGCTGGACCATCATCTTCTGATTGGTCTTTATTGATGGGAGGTGCCCCAACAGCACCAATAGACTCGTCGTCTTCAAATTCTTGAATTTCTCCCTCCTCTTCATGTGCTGAATATCCATTTCTCTCATCAGAGCTTGCCTCGGAGTAGTCCCCATTGTCATCATCAATTTCCTTGTAATTAGGAGATTTTTTCCCCTTGGGTCGTCCCCTTCTTCTTTCAGTTTCCATTTCACTAGATTCCATACCACTAGCAAACAAGATGTTCTTTGATGGTTTCTTTGATAATTTGGCAACTGCAGCATTCACATCTCTTGTACTTGCTCGAAGCCACTTGGGTACTTGGTCATAGCTTGTCATCTCCTCAGTCCAGTCCAGCTCTTCATCCATTTGATCAAATAAGTCAACTTCATCTTCACTCCTTGCTATCATGCGATTTACCTCTTGCAGTGATGGAACATCATGTAAGGTTTCTTGATACCGCTCTTCATCATGTAATAATGTCTCCAAGGTCATGCGTCTTTCTTCATGTGTTGTTCTTTGGTCAAAACGTCCAGCATTGATAACCTCATCCGCCATGTCAATCTTATATTGTTGAATGTTATTTCTTATGAGGCTTTCAATAGATCCCATATATCGATCCTTACCTGCAAGGTCATCTTCTAGATCAATTGTACCTCCGCTTCTTAATTCATCTTCTTTCTGATGGCTAGAAATTTTGTCAACAACTGCTTCCATATAAATCACTTTAACTTCTCTTGTCTGTCCAATTCGATGGGCCCTAGCCACTGCCTGTTCCTCATTTTTAGGGTTTGGATCGGGATCATATATGATGACTGTGTCAGCAGACTGAAGATTAAGACCCCTTCCAGCTGCTCTAATACTAAGCAAGAAAATAAAGCAGTCCGAATTAGAGCTATTAAAATCCACAATGGCTGATTCACGATCTTCTAGGCTAGTTGTTCCATCAATCCTTCTGTATACTAGCCGTCTCCATTGCAAGTATTCCTCCAATATATCAAGGAGTTTTGTCATGGTACTGAAGAGTAGCACTCGATGCCCCGTCCTTTGAAGTTTTATAAGGATCCTATCCAGAATCCACAACTTCCCACAAGATCTGACAAGGAAGTCCTTGGAGAAGTCATTAAAATAAGGGTAATTAAGCAAGGGATGGTTGCAAGCTTTCCGAAGTTCCATACATCTGTTATTTAAAGTTCTGTACACCTTAGGCTGATATATTGGTTTTTTTTGAGCCTTACGTTTCTCTTCTTCAGGATCAACTCGAAGAGTACCAGTGGATTTTATCCAATCATATATGGCACTTTGGATAGCAGACATTCTACATCTCAAAACAATGGAAAGCTGCAATCCAATGCTCGTATTAGAATTAAACAGACTAAACAATATAATAAACTGTAACTGATGAAAGATATAATAAACTGTAACTGAACAAATCCATACCTTTGGTGGAAGAGAACCTTCTACATCTTCAACACGACGCCTGAGCATAAAAGGCTCCAAAATCTGATGAAGCCGGTGAATGATGATGACCTTCTTTTCAGTTTCAAGCCAGTCATCCTCTGCATCATGTGTGGGACCTTCCTTTTGAAAAGGTTTGGAGAACCAATCATGAAAAGCTTTCCGGTTATCAAAAACCTCAGGCAAAAGTAGATTCAGAAGCGACCAAAGCTCCTTCAAATCATTCTGCAAAATTTTTGGTCCATTTCAGAACACATTTCCCATTCCAAGTCAATATACAATTCCATGTTATGCCTCAATTTTCTTTTTGCATTATCACAATGAATCTTCATACATGTGAAAAAAAATTTTTCATTTTCATCCGTACACTGCATCCAGTTCATTCTATTGACAAGAATTCGAGCCCTTGATGCAATTTTGTAGACATGTATAACTAGTTGCCACAGAAGAATTTATGCAGCAGGAAAAGAAAGAGTAGGAAAAAGCAAGTACTAAATCGAGCAACAAAATCATCCTTGAGCATAACACAGTCAAGATTTTCAAATCTTGCTTAGGCTTCATTTCCAAATCACGGGATCAGGAATACTTATCAAGTCTTTTAGCTTATTCTAGCATGTAAATTTGAGCCTACCCAACCTCAGTACATAAATTTTTTTAAGTTTATCCAAGTACATATAGATGTGACAGACATTATTGATCAAAAAACAATCTTTTATGAGCTTCAGAACTCTTGCTCAAGCATACTGCCACCACTTCTTAATAATTTAGAAGTAAACAAATACATGCTTTTGGGTAATTTAAGATATCTTATGTAGAGTCTGACTGTCCAATATATATGCAAACATATGTTCCGTTAGTCAATTTAAAGTTGAATTGAACAAATAAAATAAGCTTTCAACAAGACCTGCAATGGTGTCCCAGTAAGAAGCAAGCGCCTGTGGCAGCGATATCTGTCAAGATCACGGGCTAAAACTGATTCCCTGTCCTTCATTCTCTGAGCTTCATCAATTATGATATACTTCCATTCCACTTTAGAAAGTTTCGATCGATCGTACATGATAAATTCATAAGTTGTGACAAGAACATTAAATTTCATGGCACAAACCTCCTACAGAGTAACGGTAAAAGAAACTTCAGAAATCCATCAGAAAGTCAAAAGATCAAGTGAAGGAGTAAAAATTGTTTTCCTTACTTGAGAAAATAATTTTGACCGCTGATCTTTTCCACCAACATAAAAAATGCATGATACAGATGGCAGCCAGTTATGAAACTCACTCTGCAGCATCAACTTAATTAGAGAAATTAGACAATAGAAAAACATAATAACAACAGACCCTCAATGTGCAACCAAAATTAACACACCTTCCAGTTTACTAAAACAGCATTAGGAACAATTATAAGATGCGGGCCATAGTTTCCTTTAAATTCCATCAGATAAGCAATCAATGCCATCACCTACACAGGAAAGAAAGCATTTAATAACAGCACCGAGTGTATGAAAAACAAATATAGTGCCTTATCTCATACATGAATTATGCTAATAAGATGAGCAACCTCAGAGTTTCTAGAAACAAAAATGTGAATTTTTGCTCTAGGTTTTCTATTTTCTAAGAAGATGGGTTTTAAAGGTTTAATGCAGAACTGACCTGCACAGTCTTTCCGAGACCCATCTCATCTGCGAGGATTCCATTTAATTTATTGTTATACAAGGAAAGCATCCACTGCAACCCTACCTGAAGGGGACACATGAGATCAAAAACATAATCAGCTTAAAGTAGTTATTCGCAACAGAATAATAATGGTATAGAGAAAAAAATGATATATACTCAACATTAGGAACCTACAAGCTGATAGTCTCGTAAAGTTCCAGCTCGTAACATGGAGGGCTGCCTTACGACCCTCTCATTCACAGCATGAGCAAGATGGTAATACCTGGTGACCACAATAAGGAAAAACAAAAGTTAAACCTATTAAATTATATAATAAATTTATCAGGAATATTAACTCAAAGCAGAATAGTTGTTGCATATCCTAGATAAATGTAAAAATTGGATTAGCACAAAACTTTCATCTGATTGAGCTGACCTCCAACTCAGCATTTGAAGATCAAATGGACAGTTCCCTAAATCTCTTGTAAATGCATGGTCTCAAATAAAAACTTACTTGCTAACTGATGAACTGTCCCTAGGAGCATTCATTTCCATAAACCTGTTTCTTATCATTACTTCCTCTCCAGCACAAGCTGCTGCTGCCCTTACTTCTTCTTCTGACAAACCCTTTATCAACAAAAAGAAGATTAAACACATTAGTAAATCTGAAACCATTTATTACATAGAGATTATGAAACAAGAATGGAATTGTTTTTTTTTTTTTTTTTTTTTTTTTTTAAATTTAATATTTTGACAACTTAAAAAGCTGTCGCCGAATACATCAATTTAGCAACCATAAAAGGGAAGGATAATCATATTAATGTCTTTTCCTCATAATGAATAATCAACTTAACTAATTTCACTTTCTAATCACAAATCAACATCATTGTATGAAAAGTACTATATGCTTTAGAAAAAGCAATAGAGAGACTTGAAGCAAAGCTTTAGAATATAACCAAACAACAATTATTATCAACCTTTTAACTAAGGACCATTGATTATGTAGGTATCAACCATGACAGGCTACATATATTAGATACTGCATTAGCTGGTAAGCAAAGATATTTTTCTCATTTTTAGATATTAATTAAAAAAAGTGTAATCAAGAATCTCTTAATAAATTTTTTTTTTTTTGTTTATAAATAAAGCTTAACTATAATAATTATAGTAAAAGGCAAATGAAAATGTAAAATGAAGGAAAAAGGAAAAACCAAGAAATGAATGAAGAGAGAACCCTAATTTTTATATAGTGGAGTGGAAAGGAAAGGAAAATTTTGGAAGGTTTATAATGTTTCAATTGTTTAAGGAAGCACATGGTAGAACCCTTCAAAAGGGGCAAAAGGGATCTTCAAAAGAGCATATAACTTCTTTTTACTAATTTAGATGGTCACCATTTCTTACAGCTATCAAAAAAAAAAAAAAAAAAAAAAAAGACCAAAACAAGACCTTTTCTATTGCCTTTTGCCCTGGCATCAATAGTGCCTTCTTTCACTCTTTTGTTTTTGGCTCCTAATTTCAAAGTCAAGTGAAAGTATAGAATACCCAAACTTTGCTAATCTTGGCAAACATAATTTCTTTTGAGTAGTTTTTCGTAAAAAAACGACAATAGCTTTTTAAGTAACTTTTAGCGTTTTGACAAGTTAAATGTTAAGTTTTATAATATTCAGTAACATAACGTTTGAATTAGCTTTTGGAAATTAATGTAATATTTTATAAAAAGTTAACTCGTGTGACATTTTATAAAAATTAGCATTTAGCTGGTGAAAACGCTACCTTAACCTTTGAAAGTTAGTTCAAACTTTGTGTTACTTAACACTATAAAAAATAGCATTTAATCAAAATGCTAAAAATTACTTAAAAATTATTATTGAACACAGTCTTAATAACTGGCAGACTTAATAGGGATTAAGTAGACTAAGAAAGTGCAACTTCTCAGAAGTGTGTATTATTCTTTGTTTGATTTCCATTATTAATTCAATTTCCGAAAAAATGATTCTAGAATTATCAACGTGGTACATGGTATTTGAAAAAAGAGAGAGCAGAAACATTTTTTTAGGTAAGAAAATTGAAAAAAAGAACAAAATATTTTAATTTGTTAGATAAATAATGAATTGTTAGAAATTACATTATTAGAAATAACAGCTAATGTGATATAATTTATGAAGAATATTAACCAATATGGCATGATTCTCTTAATCAGGGACCTTAAAACTTAAGGAAGCAATTTCTATCAGTGATTCTGTGATGCCTATTCGTGTCATTTCTTGAAAAATAAGAAGGAGGGACAGAGTCTCAGAAAATATCATTTTTTTCTCATTAAGGTATAGAAAAATTTATGCGGCAACTAGATTATAGAACACTAAATTATCATATTTTTAACATTTTGCCTATACATCGACAATTAGCAATCGAAAATGCTTGTTTCATTGGAACATTGCTACATTCTTTTAGATACTATAACTACCTAGCTTAATGTTTGATATTAATTTATAAGAATTATTAACCTAATAGGCCTGACAAAATGCCTCTTCTCTTAATCAGGGGTTCCTTTAAAAACTTTAAAAAGGAAAAAAGCATCAACAAAAAAATGTATAGTCTAATCTCTAGTAAGGAATTCACTGGTGAGTATGGGTAGCCTTAATTATATGCGGGTCATCTGGAAAAATTAGACTCAATTCATTCCTCATATTTATCACACTAGTCAAATGGAGAATTTAATGAATAATCATAAAGTTAAATTTGGTAAATTTGTTTTATTTTTTTATTATATTTATTTTTTTTGTTCATGATAATAGTACATAATATATTGAACTTGAAAGTACGACCAATGGGATATATTTAGTACTTGTAGAACATGATCTATCATGTTTCAGTGAATAGTTATAGAAAAAAACAAAAAATCAACAATAATAACCCCTAGTCTCCAATGGTTTTCGATTGTCCAATGTAGACTTATGGACGATAAGCATAAAATATGAAAAATAAATACAATATTTTTATTAATATATTGATAAAATTAATTTAAGAAAATTCACTATTGTTAGCCTTTCTTTGAACTGAAAATGATACCTCCAAATGCTGTAAACTTACGTGACAACATAAGATCTACGATGTTAAGAAAGGAGAAAAAAGTCAGAAAACCAAAAGACGAGGAAGAAAACAAGGTCAAGAAATTATGAATGTTGAAACAAAAAGAGAAAGAAGAGACGGAATAGATTCCAATAAGCAAAATAAGCATCCGCAAAGTTACATAAGCTTAAATAGAACAACGAAACTTAGTTTCCCAAATGCATAATTATTTGGGATTGTCCATTCGAACAACTCATCGCGTACAGGTTACACATTAAACAAAAAACATATCACACGTCGCTGATTCGTGGGATGTTATTTTTACTTCCCAGTTTGATAAAGATATTCTTCTGGTCTGAGTCTATAAAGAATGATGATATTAATTGAATTAACACTGAACACTAATATTAACGACCACTGGAAATCTCTTAAAGCAGCAGCAGCATCACCTGGAGGCAATGCTAGGTCATGCTGCCTCCAGAGCAAACTAAGTTTCAACCTTATACCTTTCTACAATGGCAAGGAGTTGGTTACAGATATGATAAGGAAAGATAGCCTACACCGAAATTTCCTTTTTATATTTCCAAGTTTAATGGGAATAATTAATATTACAGGGTCTTATTCCTGTGTTCTACTTAGCAATTAATATATGCTCTCTCAGAGCATTCTCATGCATTTCATCAAATAGGCTATTTAGTGGCAATGCTATTCTGCATGATAATTGGGACGCGGTGAGCTCAATATACGGCAGATGGGTTCATCACGGATTTTGATAGGTCAAGTCCCGAAGAGGTGGAGGCACTTTTCAGGCAAGCAATGAAGTTTACTCTTCGCCCCCCCACACTTGGAGAGATACGCCGTACGGTCTTCAACTTGTCTTTTCTAATTCACCTTTCCTCATAGGAAAGACGGCCTCTTTTGTTTGAGTACTTGGAGAACGGTGCCCTCTCGAGCTCACTTTGCCTTTGCTTTATCCTGTCTTTATCCTCATCCGTCTTGGTACTGCTCACTTCATTTAAGAGTGTAGAGAGATGTTAAAAGCAGACACATTCTTCGCGGGAAGTAATAAGGAATGACTCTGATATTTATTTCTGGTGGTTTGCACCCGGGTCTCATGTATTCCTCCCCTGCCGCTATAAGACTTGATAATGATTTTCTTGCTCTTAATGATACAGACTAAGTGTACTCTTTTTCTTTGTTTTGACTCTATTCGATTACTAGTTCCGGCTTAAGCTTGCACATGAGTTTGGTGATGTCAGGAAGGGAGGCTGAGGAGAGATATTTTTGGAGATTGACAGCCTAAGCTTTTTTTCTTCCGGAATTTTTGTATATTAGACCGGCGAAGTGAACACAGAATGAATTGCTGCGAATTCAATTATAAGTACACTATTGTGTCCTCGTACTGGAGAATTAATTCTTTTTGATCATGTTTCAGGGATAAACCAAGTTTAATGTGTTGCTATCTAGGTTGTTGAAGATGACGAGAATATTCTACTTGCTTACTTAGTTAGGACGCAACCTTCCATGCGCTGTGCCAAAGACTATACAACATAAGATTAGTAATTTAATAGTTCTTTGGGAGCTAAAAACTCATTTGGGCAATGGAACACATGCTGCAATTATGTTGTTGTCTAGGCCAAACTTTGGACAAATTTGAACCATTCATAGTTTCAAAAGAGTCTATTTTTTCGCTTTTATTTATCTTTTTCCTATATATCAGTTTTTATGTCATGGGGGCTTTTCTCCTTTTAGATAAACATAATTAGGTATAATATCTGGAACTATACACGGACCTCCTTTGACTCCATGAACACTTTGGCTCTAGGTCAGAGCCAACATCTCTTGTTTGCCGTGACTTTGCGGGCACACTGCTGTAGACGTGGTGCAGAGGTTTATCATGGTATGATCTCTGACTAGCTTAATTGGAAATCTTGATTAGACAATGTTGGTCATTATATATTCGAAAACTGTTTGCGGAGCAACTGCTTCCCCCTGATTTCTCTGACTCGAGTAAGCAAGATTTCACTCTTTCCTAAATCAGGATTTTTGTTTTCTTCTGCAGATTTCTTTTACGTCACTCGCTGGTCTGACTTAACAGAAAATATCACTCGCCAAGAGTTATAAGAATGTGCTGCTTCTTTTTTCCCAACCGCTAGCTTCCTCACTTTGATTGAGGCTAGGTGGTAGGATTCCTAATTTCATTTTACCACTCTTGCACGTCTTCACCTATGTACTAATGATCTAAATGCTAAGTTAGTTATCACTGTCATAGACATTTCTGGCGGATCTGTGTGGTGATCAACACAGAGCTTTCTTCCTATAATTTTGCATAATCTCTTTCTGTAACATTATTCATGATGCGATCTAGTGAACAGATAGGACGCCTTCGTAGCGTTTTATCATTTTTTATTTATTGGTCAATTTGATCATATTTGGATTCTTAGTTCAGACAACTTTATATAGCTCCTTGCTGTGGTTTCTCTTCTCTCAGAAAATCTCCAAATTTATTTTCCCTATGGCCATATCTATCCTGATAAGCGTTCCTCACCTGCCCACCATGGATAACGAATATAAGAAGATAGATAATGCTCCTGTAACATAGTATCTCTTGCAATTCAACTAGGAGTCTCGCATGTGGAGTGAAAATTTGGAATTTCATAGAATTTCTAGAATAGAACCTACGAAGAAGCTGATTCTATGGTAGGAAAATGTCGTGCCTCTCCTCTCCCTCGCTTTTAATTAAACCAGACTTGCCAGTTTGTTGTTTTTTTCTAGTCAACAAAGAAAATTAGTTGAAAAGAGGCGAGATGAAGTCGTTAATGTTAGCGTGCGTATTTCAATTAACTCTCTATGGAAATCTTATGCCATTAATCATTTTTAAGAAGTTTATAAGTTTATCTGTCATTATTTATATAATAATTATTGCATTATTTCTAATTTTTTTTTTTTTTTTTTTTTTTTGTTCATTGATAAGCAAAAAGGACGTTAGCTCTGGAGAAAACATCAAAAGCTAGCTGGTGCTGTAGCTGCGAACAAGAGAGGGAAGGAAGTGGAGAAGAGATGAGGGTTGAAAAAAACATGCCTGCAGTCGTGCAGCTGCTGCTGCAGCATTTGCTGCCTCCTCTACTTCCTGCTGATTCTTGGCTGATGTTATTTTACTTCCCAGTTTGTGAAGATATTCTTCTGTCTGAGTCAAGAATGATGATAGAACACTATATCTCTCAGCAGCATCACCTGGAATGCTAGTCTGCTGCTCCAGCAACATTTCCCTATACCTTTCTACATCATTGTTCTTTAATGCCTCCATCCTTTTATTCCGATCATCATCCTTTCTCTTAGAAAACTCTCTCAACATTCTCTCATGGTATTTGGCAACTCCTCTGTTGCGGGCAGTTCGTGCATCACGGATCGCCCAATGAGCCTCAAGAAGTTTCTTACGCCACTGGAAGATGGACTTCAATTGTTTATCTCTCATGGCTTTTTGAGAGGCCTGCACTTGTCTTGCTTGTTCCATCCGTTGACGCTCACATAAGCGAACAAACTTCCGATATGGCCTATCAGGCATCGCCATTATCTCCTGCTGCTGTTGATCTACTTCATCCCTTAAGCGCGCCTGAAGATCTAGAAGCCTAAGCTTTTTTTCTTCAATTTGTAACCGTAACACAAGATCTGGTCTAATCCTTTTCCTCTCTAAATTTACAGTTAGTAAACCATTAATTTTCTTCAGGTTTTCGGATCTCTTCTTGTTAAGCACTTCCATGCCTTCCTCAAAAAGAATATCTTTGACATCATATGCCAATGTTAGATTATTATTAGTGTTAATCATCGCTGATGACCCAACAGAGTCATGCTTCCTAGTAAAAAAAGGAAAATCAAATAACGGCCCATGATACTTTCTGGCAGAGCCAACATCTTTTGGCTGCGCTGGAGTGGTTGCTTGTGCAGGTTTCTTAGCTTGCATTGCATCAGACACAGGAAACTGTGGAGCAACTGCTTTTCCCCTGTCTGACATAGGATCACTTCTAACAGGAGTTTTCTGAAGACTTCGTTCCACCTCCTGGTCTGACTTAACAGAAAACACAGCAGTTTGCTGCTCTTCTTTTCCAGCAGCCACTGAGGTTGTAGGTTCCTTCAACACTGCAGCTGCACCTTGCATATGACTTGCTGAGACAGCTGCTTTCTCATCTGTGGCAAAAGCTTCCTCTTTTGCAATGTTCTGTACATTAAGAGATGGCATTGGCTGAGCGTTCTTCTCATTGGATTCCAAATGCCTTGCTTGGTCCTCTGCAATTTTCCCACCAGATCTATCCTGATTACTTCCTCCTGCAGGAAGAAGTTGCTGCTGCAACTGCAATTCAAGGGGCGGCGGAGCAATAGCTCGAAGAAGCTCTTGGGGAAGTGTACCTTCTCCTTTCTGCCAAGTAACAAAGAAGGCAATGATATCATCAACTCAGAACTCATTAACTAAAATTAATCTGCTTATTTTTTTTTCAAAAAAAAAAGTAACTAAAAATAATCTGCTTATTGAAAGACAAAAAGAAAAAAAAAAAGCACATAAGGTGGCAAGAAAAGAAGAGAGCACTTGAGAGATAGAACTAGCTTCAGACCTTCAGTCGCCTAAATGCTAGTATTTGCGCTTTAAGAACATGCAATTGCTGTTTAGTGAACCCAACCCGCTGTTGTGCCATTTGGACAGAAGGCCCTCCTTGTGGTGGAAAGTGATTGTTTGATCCTCCTTCATTAGAAGGACCAGCAGACTGAGGAGAAGATCGATTCACTTGCTTAAGATGCTGCATTTGTAAAGTTTCTGGACTACTAAATGAATTTTTTGCAGGCAAAGTCTGATCAGCACCTTGGCTCATGTTTGCAGATGACTGAGGGGGATGCATAGGAGGCATTCCATTTCCAAGCACAGGCCCAGTTCTAGCAGGCACTTGGTTCTCTCTACTGTGAAAAGCAAGCTGTTGCCCTGCAGGGTTGTTAGCACTGCTGACCATCCCTGCATTGGGATTTGGGCCAAAGGGGCCAGATGGAACACCCTGTCTTGCCTTAGGAGGGCCAGACTGCCCAGATGCATCACTGGAGGAATTAGCATGTGGAGAACTCTCACTGGCAACAGGTGGAGAAGCAACTTGATGCTTTGACACAGACACAGGAACAGACGATGCCTGTAGACCAGCACTGCTTTCATTGGCCTTTTGCTGCGCAGCCATCCTTGACTGCATGAGTGGAATGAGCTGCGACATGAAGTTTGCATTTCCAGGTTGTGACAGATCAATGTTGCGCTCAAGTGCCCATGCATGCATAGCTTGCAACTGGGCAGCCATTGCGAGCTGGTTGTTTGCCATAGTTTGGACGCTTTGTGGAGCCTGTGGTGCTTGCATGGGCCTTATGACATTACCAGGCATTACTTGTCCAATAACAGGAGTTTGTGTCGGAGGCTTTTGCTCATTTCTCTGTTCAGATGCTAGCTGTGGAGCTTGCTCCACCTGCTTTTCACTACGCGAAAAGTTCTCAGATGAGTTTCTGGAGGATGATGCCTGAGCATGATTAGCTGCCTGCATGGACATAAGTTCCTGCATTTTCAAATTCCCCACTCGCATGTCCTGATCCTTGCTGGTGGCAGAACCCAAAATTCCCATTTTAGCAGCTTGTTGTGACTGCATTGCCAAAGCAGACTTTTGTTGCTGAAAAGCAAACTGAAGATATGCCTGCTGAACGGGATTCAGCAATTGTTGCTCAGCAGACTGATTCCTATTCTGTCCATCCTGGGAGGAGCCATGCTGCTGAGCCAAATCAAAGAATTTCCTGGATTGTTGAGGCATTTGCATTGAGCCTGGAGAGGAAGCAAAATTGCTTCCTCCCATAACTCCTTGAAGAGCAGCTTGATAGGCTAGAAGAGCTTCACTTCCTTCAGGTTTTCTAAGTAATTGGTGTTGCAATGCCTGCATGGACAGCATAAAATATATAAGATTAAAAAAAAAGTTCAAAATCATATTTAATTATTGTTACTATGATGCTTATTACTATTACTGCTACTTGATACTTGATAAGGATGCCTTAGAACATAGAATGTAATTATACAAATCACCAGCTTCCAACAACCGGCTAAAATTTAACCGCAATAAACCAACTGAACTCCAAAAAAGTGAATGTTATTCAAAACTCTCAAGAAAGCAAAGAACAAAACAGAAAGCACCCTAATTCAATGCACATGGTTGCTAGCAGATTTATTATTATACAAATTACAGCGCACACAAGGCCAGGGAAAATGACTGAGAAAGATAATCCTTCCATCCAGAAATAGCAAGTAAAGCAAAGACAATAAAGGAAAATACTTGGCATGCAACCAAATTCAAAATTATTAAATGGAGTCAACCACAAACAACAGAATTGGAAAGAGTCAGAAAAATAACCCGAGATCATTCCTCCAATTGTACTTATCAGACAAAAAGGTGGAGAAAGAACATAAAACAAAATCAGAAAAGACAGGAATACAGGGTTGCATGGTACACAAAAATGATCGCCCATGGCATCAGATAATAAGGATAACTAAAAAGTAGCATCCATCCCGAGCGGACTCCATGTATTTGTAGTGATAAAACTTGCTAGAATCCAGAAAGAGCTCGGGGTTGATGCATAATTATAGCTAAGCAGCTGAAAGTTTAATTTGAGTCTGTCCAAAATTAGTTCATGCCTAGTTGGCCCCCTCTAGCCTCTGGGACACTTAAAAACTTACAGATTGATCAGAATTCAACCAAGTACCCAACTAATCATTTGCATTAACTACTAAATTCACTGATCACGCATCAATGATATCTTATCTATCACGCATTTCAGACCTACTTCTGTACAAATATCCTTAAATTGCAAACCCCAATGCGAAATCAAACAAATTCTATTCATAATCAAATAGAACTCACAAACCCCTACCTGCCTAGACCCTAATTGCTGCTGCTGTTGTTGCTGCTGTTGCTGTTGCTGTTGCTGCTGTACTGAGTCGAACCCTAACTGTGGTGTCGATACTGCAGAGGAGGAAGAAGATGGCGATGCTGCTGATGACGTGGACGCCGCCCGACCAGCCGGTCCCACCCGGCTGGGTCCACCACCACCACCAGCAGATTGCATGCAAAATTAATACCAAAATATATTACCAATTTTTAAGAATTTGGGCCAGAAAAAGGAAAATCAGAAAAAAAGCTGAAAGAGAGTAGAAATGGAGGAAAAAGCCAAATCCCTCCAAAATTTTAACAAAACCCCAATTTTACCCTCCCGATCCCAAAGTTCAAAACATACACAACAGCTGTAGTTTCTCTGTGTCTCTCTAGGTTTCCTTTTTTTTTATTTTTGTCAAATTTTCTCTCACTTCAAAAAAAAAAAAATAAAAAACGATAATTGCGGAGTGGAAATGGAGATGGATCTGAGGAAGGACAGAGAGAGATCGGCGATTCCAGTAGTGACTCACTACGACTCTCTGAGCTGTTGTAGGCTTCACGCGATTGGAGGTGCAATTTTCCTTTTTCTATTTTTCCTTTTTTTTTTTTTTTACTTGAAAAATAACAAACCAACTAACATAAATAATTTGTGTCCGCCGCGATGGAAGTGCAAGGGTTAGGAGGTATTTATGGACAGATGGAGGAACGATGCGTGTGATATTAGAACAAAATCGTGGAGTGAACACAGCCTGCCAAATACCTTTTAAGTCACTCACGTCCGGTCCTCATCCATCTGGCTAGGGATCCTACCACCACCACCAGCAGATTGCATGCAAAATATTAATACAATAATTAATATATTATAACTTTTCACCTAATTTTTTATTAGGTTTATTGTGTAGAACCAGAAAAAATAGAGGGTTAGGAAATACAAAAAAGATCTAAGTTCTATCCGTAAAAAAAGAGTTCTTGAAACAGAGTTAAGATTATATTGCACATTATAATATGTGGAGGTTAAAGCATATCTTAGCTCATTGGAAAATCCTCTCAACATTTTCCAAGATAACCTCTTTCCCTAAATTGACTTACAATTTTAAAAGCTCGAACACAAAATTAATCTACCATTTAGTTACAAGAAAACTCACACAAATTCCACAACAAAAGCATTCAACAACAACATTTCAAAGACAATCAATTTGAACATAGAGACTTGGGGTATAGTTTACGTCAGGGTGAATGTTTAATTTCAATCTCTAGGTTTCCATATATATTGAAACTACAATTAATTATTTAAATAATTTATGTCAACAATTTATCTCTCTATCCTTGATTACAATTATATATTCAAAAAATTAAAATATAGAAATATCAATCAAAAACTTAAGTTAACAGGACTTACACAAGCTTAATATTAAATATAGACCAGGAGATGGAAAATGGTAAACGATGGAGTATAATCTCTAGAGGAAGGAGCATAGAGAGAGTATTCGAGCTCGAAATTCCTTAAGTTAATAGTGTACTCACTTACGACTACAATCACTCTAAGAGAGAGCTACAGATTGGTGAAGGCTTCACTTAACAAGGCCAGGCATATAGGCCAGCAGGCAAGCGGTGCACGAGAAAGAAGTATATGAATGCCTTATATGACTGAAAGTGGTAATTATTCCTTATTTTTATTTATTATATTTTTTTTCCTCAGTCTCGAAGCCCAATTATATGGAATAATTGTGTCATATTAGGTGCGTTTGTTTAGTTTTATTGTTTATTTTTAATATCGTTAATTGAGAGGCAGGTGTTTTCTAGATTCTTCTAGATTTATAACATTATACTTCTTTTTTTAGTTTTGTTCATTTATGTAATTAAAATGAGGCTTATAAAGGCAGAGTTTGTTTTTATATTATCTGCTAAAGTTACAAATGTTCTGCGAGGTAATTATGCACCAGGCATAGAGCCTCTGCTCCTGACTATTCGGGTCGTCCATCTTTTAAGTGCATACCATGGAAAACCGCACGTGTGCGGTGGTACTTGGGAACCTCGTTCGGTTTGTCTCAAATCCCCCAGCCTTCCCAGTGGCTACTAGGCCTTTATAAACTTTCAGGAACTTGAGAATGGAGATGTGAGGCAAGGCGGCAGGTGCTGCGGAAAGAAAGAGGAGTCATGTATTCATTTCTTTGTACTCTTTGCCTCGTAGCTTATAAATGTTGGTCCCAACCCAATTTACAAGTCATTGGAAGTTAGCACTATTTCTCTCATTTGAAGACCTTACTAAAATTATGAATAGTACAGTAGCTTACTCATAGCTGTGCAACTTTCTTTTCTGTCGGGTCATCCTCCTTCTTAGCAAGAATGTGAAGGAAGAGTTTAGGAAGTCAAAACGCTTTTGAATTAGTTTTTATTTGAGGTATAATAATGTAAGAGGTGAGGGTTTTTATAAGATGATTGTATCTAAATTTAGTCAAAATGCATCGAAATGGGCTAATTTTGAAGTAGTACCTAGTAAAGTACATTAATATTAAGTTATTATTAAGGTAAAATTTCATGGATGGTGCATGATTGGAATTTCTTAGAGAGAAAGTGTGTAGCTTTAGATAATTGGTAGTAAGGATGAAAGTAGTTGGAAGCAAATTTTCATTTGCATAAGAGAGTCTCCATAGATATTATTAAAACTTTTTAGTTTTTTGGAGTGTGCCTGGATTCTGTTATCCACTAATCATCTGAGATTGGAGTGCTCGAAAAAAAAATAGTATCGCAACTAGCATGTGTTTTTGTGCGATTGCGGAAGCTCTTTTTGTGTACAAACCTTGGAGCGGCTCCACTCATCTGCTAACTATAATTTTATAAAGCATTATGGAGATAATATTTCTTACTCTCCTCTAAGCCTTTTTAATCTGGTATTTTCACGTTATTCTTTGTATCACAAACTTCCTCCACATGACCATCTGATTCTTCTACTATTGCATAGAGTGAGTAATTTGGTGAAATAGTTTGATGTTGCAGACATTTTATCGTTGAATGTATATGAGTTGTTTAACTTTTTCACAAATTGACGATCCATTTAATTTTACTTTTTGTTTATTTATGTTACAATTTACTTTTGTCGCTAATTATTTTTTAACTTATCTTCTCTTTTAGTTTTTTCCTCAAGTAATATAATAGGTTTGTGAACCCATATACTTATATCTCACGAATGAGAGAACTTAACTAAGACTCTTCTGTCTATTACCTCTTGTTATGACATTACATTAAAAATAATTCTTTATTAAAAAAGTTATATTATATAATATAAACTGGTATATTTCTTTCATAATTTTCGAAATATATTTCTGTAAAATTGAATCTATTGATGAACAATTCTTAATTGTATATAAGAAATAGTAGGATCGCTCCTTATTTATCAATCTCTTATTTAAACAAATTTTTTTCGATTATCTGTTAATAACTTTAATTGATAAAATTTTAATTGATAATATTTTACTAAAGTTATTAAAAACTTATTAATTGTAAATTAATCAATCGATCAAAATATCGATTTAGTATACAGACAATAGAACTATTTGGCTCTTTTTTTCACTTATATGGAGTATAGGGCACTGATTCTCGTCCTTATTTTTGCTCATAAAGGTGTGTTAATGATCCCTTTATAAATTACATCCTTAACATATTTTACACACTTATTTGACACGTGAAGTAGACTTTTATTTTAGAGTATCAAAAGCCATATATTATAACTACATTATGCATTTGCTGAGGAATTACATGGATGATCAATTTTAAAAAAAATCGCAATATGCCAATATAAACCGAAAAAACATATGATACGTATTGCGTCATGTATTTCATTCCTAAGTAATAAAATTCTCAAAGTGGAATGTAAAATTACCAATATACACGGATAAAATTAGAGAAAAGAAAGAAGAATATAATTTAATGAAATTATATTCTGGACGTTATTTACCTTCCGAAATCATAGAGTTATGAAAGAGGTTCGAATTTACGTGGTAAGAATTCGTATAAAAATTTACTTAATATGGGTACAGGACGCAAAAGACAAGAGAAAGTCTGGTAAATTAAAAAACACAATGGAGAAAATAATGAAAACAAAAGAGAAAATAAATTTGGAGAAAAAAAAAAATAAAAATATCAAACTTATCTGAAAAGGCTCGGAAGATAGATAATTATTTTTGGTAATATGCTCAATAAGATATCGCGTTAATACGTCTATTAGAAAATAAGTGTTTAATGAAACACTCTAATTCCCTTAAATACATACTACCATAACTCATGGAAGACAATAATAATTATATTGTGGACTTAGAGATATTTTTCGAGTGCACAGTATAAAAACATGTTTATGGCAACTTAGAGGACATATATTATCCTGATTAGTTTAAAAGCTAATTTTCTAGAATTACAAAACACACATTTGTATGCATATTTAGGAGTCGCGCTTCGCCTGTTTGGCAGGAATAAAAATGAACACAATACAAACAAAACATAAACAAAATTTTAAATTGTTGGTTCTCTAGAAAAATGTAATTTATGCTATATCAGAGAGAGAATTATAAGATTTATGTAGATACTAAGTTTGCTCTAGGCAGCACGGAATAGTGTTGCGTGCTGATTTAACATTGTTGTATTTATAATTCAACGATCTCACAAAATTCTGCTCTTACTTCCTTCTT